TTGGTATTTATAATAATTTTTTATGAAATGTGAAAGTATATCTCATAAAAAGCTCTCTTTTTACCGCATTGTCACACCTCACATAAAGGCACCTAAAGCTGAGATGGCGGGAGCTCTCTTTCTTTCACTTTTTTGATTATTCTCATTTTGGGTAAGTGGTGGTTTCTATGTTTTATTCTTTGCTAAAAAATATAGGGGAAGAAAGGGTGTGGTTTTGGTTCAGCTTGAGCTTCAACTCTGGGTTTACCATGACACACGGGATAGCTAGCTAGACTCTTAATGCTTTTTCCTTAGTAGCAGTAGTAGCAGTAGTAGTATACAGATCAATGGTAAATGTAACGTCAAATTGTGTAAATTCTTAGGTGAAGAAAAAATACAATTGAAGCTTTGAATGCACGATAATTTAAGTGATTAAAAAAATATCCAATACATTACATTTTACTTACGTACATAACATATATGTGACATTGACGTGTGTCATGCATATGATCATTCAATTTGATTAGATATTAGCAAATATATATTTGTCAAAGAGAAATACATTACACGTTACTCTTTTTACGTTAATGACTTTTAATAGTTTTTAATATAAATATTTTTATAAAATTTTAAAAATATTTATATCCATAATATATATATATATGTAGATTATTATTTTCTATTGCAGCAATTAATATGATAAGGGTTAACTTTACATTAGGATGAATTTAAAATATTGTAATTAATTGTTTTGTTTTTCAATCTATATAATATTCTATAAGGGCATCGTTTCTTTTGTAATTTATTATAATAAGAAAATTGTTCTCGGAACATAAAGATATGATCATTATTAAAACTAAAAAACTTATGAACATTATCACTTCTAGCGTTTGTAGTCCAACGGTTAGGATAATTGCCTTCCAAGCAATAGACCCGGGTTCGACTCTCGGCAAACGCATTACCATTTGTTATCATTTTTCATATAATTTGTTATCAGTAGATAAAACAATTTACACAATACATAAGTATTTTATTTTACAATAATATATATATATATATATATATATATAATAGTTAGTGGAACTTTAATTATATATTTTTGTTATTTGTGGAAGCCTTTTCTATGTGATCTTAAAAAAATAATTTATTTAAAATACCTGTAGCAACAAAAATAATAAGAAAAAGTTAACGTATACATATCTTTAAGACAGAATTATATGAGAAAAACACTAATAGATCTGATCAGGGGGAAAAAACCTATGGAAAATTGCAAATCCAGAAAATCATAATATATTATCACCGATAGATATATTGTATTTTATTTTTCATTACATTAAATAACAATAAATATAAAAAGTAAGGCTATTAAAATTTCATAAAATTAAAAGATAATTTAAAAGCAAGAGATATTATATGCATTTATAATACATTTTGTTCAAAAATTAAATTCTATAAATAATATGTTGTAAAATGATAAAAAAAAATTAGTAAAAAACTAATTAAAATTTTCATTATATTAAAAATATAAAATTAAAATTCAAAACATGTTAAAACCTCATTTTAGACCAATAAAAAAATATCGATACTTAACAAAATAAAAGATCAATAAAAGAAAATTCTTGCTTTTCTATGTTACTCATTTAGTTTTTTTAGAGAGAGTCAAACTCTTTAAATTTAGTGGTGAAATTTTTTATGTTAAATAATAATAATTTAAAGAATAAAACTATTATTTAGTAATTATGTAAAATTTTAAATTTTTTTTAAAGTCAAATCATATCTTTTTAAATTTTATATTCTATATAAAGGATTTCATTTCCTAGTAAAAACACACTTGACACTTAACATTTTTTTTTTTCCTTACACACTTAAATCATAAGTTCTCGTTAAAGAACGTCTCCACCATTTAAATCATTTATATCATCTTCATCTTTTTCTCATCGATTTGTCGAAGCATATTAGCTACAAGAATTTTTCTTTCTTTATTATTGTGAGATAGATATTTTGTATTTAGTTGCATTTTCTTTCATTTTTATGACTATATTTAATTGAATACCTCTTGAAATGGAGAGGAGGTGAATTCTTATGATGCAACACTCATTTTAAACCATAATTTCATTTTATGATATTAATGTTATTTGTATTTTTCATGTTATTCTTCTTCTTAAATTGGTCACTTAAAGATAGATTATAATTAATCAATTGATAAACGATAATATTATTAATAAATTAATAGAAATAAGACCTATTTTAAGGTTAGAGGTTAAGAGGACAAATCAATCACCTAGATCTCAATTAATCAATCACTTGTGATTTTTGGAGTAACCAATTCAATAATAATAATAACATTAAAAATGATTATAATTGATAAATAAATTAATATCATAAAATTAAATTAAAGCTTAAAAGGACTTACATCACAAGAATATATGTCAGTCTCATGGAAAAAATATTTAATTAAATATAGTCATAACAATAAAAACAATAACAAAAATAACTAAACACAAACCATTTATAATTACAAATAATAAAGAAAGAAAGCAAATATTGTGATTGAAATGCTCTCACTAAAGCACAACTTTGCAATGAGAAAGACAAAAGAGATGAAGATAATATCAATAGTAAAGACATTGTTGGTTAAAGGCTTAAGATTTAAGTGTATAAATAAGAAGGATAAGTATTAAAAGAGTAAAACTATTTATATAGAGTGTAGAAACTAAAAAATATATAATTTATTTTTAAAATGATATGATTTTATGTTATATAATGTCACAAGTTTTGGCTTAAGACGTGATAACGTCATATTTAAAGTTCATCTTTTCTTTGTTCATCTCAATAAAAAAAAAATTATAAAATAATTTAACATATTTTAACCAAATTACATTGTCATTATTTCCGATAACAAAATTAACAGAAATTTAGTTAATTCAAAGAATAAAATAACAAATCTAATAAAAAAAAAAAGCTAAAATTTTATAGATGGTAAAGTGACCCAATGACAATTTATCACTCATTTTTCTAGTTTACATAAAATTAAAAAAAAGGTGAAAATTTTAATTTTTTTTAAAAATAATTTAATTTATCTCTGTAAATAGAAATGTTTTGTATAAAATTATAAACATACCATCATTACGAATAGAAAACAATAAGTTAAATTAATGTGTGGTATGATACAAGATTAAATAGGTATACAATAAAAATGGGTATCAATTTATTGTAAATACTTAACGCAATACGTTAGAGTTGCTTAATCATTGAAGGATACGAATTATAAGGACGTAGTTGGTGCTACGTGGCTTTTAACTGGAAGACGTATAAATGCAAAGTTAATTATAATTAGTGCAAATTTGAAAGAATGGAGGAAAATGAGGTTTGGTAGCATTTCAAAAAGAACAAAAATGTTGAAAGATAGATTGATGAATATAAAAGAAAGCTCAAAATTAAAGAGGCAGTGAAAGATATATTATTATAATTAAGAAGGAGCTCGACAGGTTGCTCGATGAATAAGAGGTTTATTGGAGTCAACATTTTAGGACCGAGTGGCTGCAATGTGGAAGTAAAAATACAGCTTCCCAAACCATATATTGCACCTCACTATTTTTTTACTGGATTAATACTTTAATATGCTCAAGACCCAGTTCCTGAATCCAGTTTTTAAAACATTGGTTTGAAATATGGGTGCATGATGTGCTAGAAATTTCTGAACTTTTTTACTTTTGCATCTTCATCTATTCATTTAATGTAGTTTGTGATGCTGAAATCATGCTTTTTTAAGTTTCAAGACCAAAGTTCATATCACCGAAGAAGTAAATTTGCTCTCTTCCATTGATGAATTTTGTATAAAAGATGATCACTTGATTTTATTTTTTTAAAATTTTTTTTGGGGCAAAGATGATCACTGGTTTTAAGCGCGACAACAGCCATTGAGAGCTAATGAGAGAAAAATAGATGGAATGTTGGTCACAATTATCATCTTGATAATTCTTATCGACACGCATATATATTGAATGCACTTGTATGGCAGAAAGTTGGCAAAAATTTTTCAAACATCTAAACTATGGCAGAGTAATTTCACCCAACGATACCATTTTAGACCAGCCAAGGTTTTGGTCATATATAACACATGTTTGGATCTTTTTCTCCACAAGGTCATTGGGATCTTACATAGCCTTGGTTTTAGTTTTTGTTCTTTAATTTTTATTTGCAGGTTAGGGACAGAACCATATTTCTTTTCTCTCCTCTTGCTTCAGTATTAAGAAAATTTTAATTTTGAACTACCTTCATCCGCACAAATCTATATTCTTGAGCAATTAGATAGTGGACAAATCTCTCCAGTAAGTGGAATTGGAATCGTTAAAAATCGACGACCACTAAAATGATAATGTAATTCCTGAAGAATGCCTTCAGTCTTCTAACTTCAGTAATGCACGAACTAGAATGGAACATTACAAGCTAAATTCCACAATTTGGGGTTGAGAATCCTTAGAACTCGTTTCTACACATTATAAAAAAAAACCTTATGTAACTCAAACTCACTTGCGGAATTTTGCAATGGGAGACGCAGTATTATTAATAATAATAATAATTGACATATTATTTGATTGAAGGAAAATGAAGATGGGAGGATACTGAAATTCATCTCCACTTAATTTTAGCTCCCTCCATAATTAAAGATTTGGAAGGGAGAAATTATTTTACACTAAATAGATTAAATTATCCTTACAGCTTATTTGGTTTATGCTTGAAACGTAAGTTATACAACTTCCTAGGCATAAATCTCCGTTGCAATCCAGTGTTTCCCAAAGCAAAAAAAAATGATCAATTTTGAGTAATGGAGTTTTGAACTTAAAACAAACAGGCTATTAATATCTTTATTTGACCACTCAAAAATATAACAGTAAACTTATTTATTAATTCTCTCCTCTTCTTATAAATCAAATAAAGTGTCTCTCCTCTCAATTGATATATTTTCCCTCCATTAAAATTTCTCACCCCTTCCTTTAAAACAGTGCAAAAACGAAAGACCAAACTTGATAGTGTGTCCCACCAGGTCATGGTCTACAAGAAAATCAGAAGGATAACTAATCTCCATGCAAGCACCTACTACAATTGCATTGAAAACCAAAACCTCGAAACAGTAGCTCTTGCCGAGCATCACGGTCCAGGCTGGCATCAATATAGCAGATTCTGAGTTCTTCACCTGCAGTTTATCAAAAGTGAATTGTAGTGCATCAGCACTTCAGATCAGCAGGGAATACCCATTTCCTATTCTCTTACACCATTTTACACTGTTTCTTCTGGTAAAGATGTTAGAAACTGATTGTGGATTTTTATTGCAATAATAAAATCTGATGATAAACTTATTATACTTGTTTTTCCCTAATTAAAATCTACATTTTACTAAAGTATGGGAGAATTATTATGAATGATGGATGGAATAGTATGATGAATCACCAAGCATACCAAGTAAATTGAATTTTATTTTGATAGTACTAATAAACAATCAGAAATTACTGTAGATATGACTTCTAAAATAATTATTAAGAAAAGTCAATGATTTTTAATTATACAGTTATTCATGATTGGATGACAGTCTAAAACTTTTTTACACGATTAATATATTTCAATTGACTTAATAGTATTTTTTATCTTAGAACGATCACAATATATAACAAGATAAACTACATTCCATGATGGACAACATTGGCAATAGGTCAATCAAAACTTTTGTATGTCCTTTAAGCTCATCACAATTAACTTTTTATTCGATTTGTTTCATTATTAATGTGACATTGATTTGCTTCTTTACACTTCCACTTTGTATCTCCCTCATGAAAGGCATTGTATAGGCATTTGATAGTAAACTACGTCATTCACAGCCTGGATGGAATCAAATTTAAGAACTTTTTCCAGTAACAGCTGGGAATGAGATTGTGGTTGTGGTATCATTAACAATCATCCTCAATCCAAGGTACCATTAAGAAATCAATAATAACGAAAATAATTTGATTGTGGTTGAGTGGATGATGCCATAGCTGCCAAGAGAAAGTGAGAACGTTGGAATGGGGTTAAAAAATGTGATGGAATTAATTAAAATAACATACAGGACATGTCAAATACGTGACAATGTGAAAGATGAGACAATAATTACTCTCAACTCTCTAACTCACTCTCAATGTAATAGATTGAAGAGGAAACTTGAAAATATTATTGTGCTGAATGAATACAATCAGAGACCTTAAGCCTCTATTTATATAATTGTCTTTAACTATATTTCTCTTCAAAAACTCACTGTCATTCACCTAATGACCGAATTAATTAATTTCTCTGACTAAGTCAACTTTATAGCTGACAATTACAATAATACCCCTTATATTCAACTATTACAATTCTCCCCTCTTACAAAATATGGATTTGACCCCAAGTCCATCAATTAGCATGCCAATTAAAATTAGGAAACTGAGTTATCGTGTCTTGCAAGTCTCTCCATACTGCATCTTTTGGGCTTGTCTCCTGCCATTGTACCAAAACTTCAATAATGGCCTTATTGTTTCTCTTCTTCATTCTTCTATCTAGAACAGTCAGAGGTTGAGGTTGAGGTTGAAATGCTCCATCTTCATCTGTGTAAGGTAGTTCAATGGATACCACATGCTTTTTCAATAGGGAGATATGAAATACATTGTGAATTCTAGCTGATGGTGGCAAATCTAATTTGTATACAACCTTGCCAATTCTTTCAATAATTTTTAAGGGACCATAAAATCTTGCTGCCAGCTTGTGAAAATGAGTATTAGACACAATGTTTTGCCTATATGGTTGTAATTTGAGATACACCATATCACTACAGTTGTATTCTTTATCTGTTCTTTTCAAATCCGCATATAACCTCATTCTTTCCTGTGCTTTTCTGATATTCTGTTGCAAAAGCTTCATGATCTGCTCTCTTTATTTCACTGTATGTAGTATCACAGAATCGCCATGTAGTATCACAGAAGGAGTTGGAGGTGGATACCCATATAAAGCTTCAAAAGGAGTCATTTGTATAGCTGTGTGACATTTAGTGTTGTACCATAATTCAGCCAATGGCAAGTAAGAGGACCATTTCTTGGGAAGATCTCCTGTCATACACCGCAAATAGGCTTCAACTGATCTGTTTAATGCTTCTGTCTGAGGATGGAAAGCAGTAGACCTGAGTAACTTCACTCCCTGAGCCTTCATCAATCAGTCCAGAATTTGCTCATGAGGATAGAGACCCTATTAGAAATGATCTTAGTTGACCATCTATGAAGTTTAATAATCTGATCAAAAAACACTTGAGCAACTTTTACAACTCCAAATGGGTGAACCAAAAGCAACTTTCACAGCTCCAAATGGGTGAGCCAAAGCCATAAAATAAGCATATTTGGTCAGTCTATCAATTACTAGAAATATGACACTCATTGTTAGATTTAGGGAGACTAACAATAAAGTCGCTATTAGAAATGATCTCAGTTGACCATCCATGAAGTTTAATAATCTGATCAAAAAACACTCGAGCAACTTTCACAGCTCCGAATGGGTGAGCCAAAAGCAACTTTCACAGCTCCAAATGGGTGAGCCAAAGCCATAAAATAAGCATATTTGGTCAGTCTATCAATTACCAGAAATATGACACTCATTGTTAGATTTAGGGAGACTAACAATAAAGTCCATAGTGATTGATTTCCATGCTTCTTTAGAAATATCCAATGGTTGTAACAATCCTGTAGGTGACTGAAGTAAAGGTTTGTATTGCTGACAGATGCCACACTCCTGAATCTATTTTCTAACTTCTTTTTGTAAACCTTTCCAATAAAACTGCTCCTTGATTCTTTTGTAAGTGATATCGTTGCTAGAGTGCCCACCAATAGCAGAGTTATGAAAATGATGTAGAATTTTCTTCTTTAGGTCAGTGTTCGCACCAATTACCAATCTACCCTTCCTTCTCAGAATATTGCCATCAAAGCTGTAATGCTTATAAGACTGCTATGTTAGTCTGATTCTATCAACTATCTTCAGCAATTTATGATCAGTTTTCCATGCATCCTTTGCCTCAGTCATTAGATCAAAAGTAACTACCAATAAGGTGGCTAAACTGCCTTTACCTCCTTGCCTGGATAAAGCATCAGTCACCACATTTTCTTTTTCTTTTTTATATTCTATACTAAAATCCAAACCAAACAATTTCTCCAATCCCCAATTTTACATTAAAGTGGTAGGTGGCTTCTCCAAAACCTTCTTGAGTGCCTTTTTTATTAGTTCTGATTATAAAGTGTTAACCCATAAAATAGTGGTGCCACTTCTTTACAGCAAAGAGAGTGACATAAAACTCCTTCTCATATGCTGATAAAAGTTGATACTTTGGTCCCATTGCCTTACTAATAAAAGCAATTGGATGATTTGATTGTAAAAGAACAGCTCCAATTCCTATACCTGAGGCATCAGTCTCAATGGTGAAAGGTTCAGAAAAATCAGGTAATGCCAATACAGGGCTGAAGTCAGTGCTTGTTTGAGGGACCAAAAAGCACCTACTACTGCTGAAGACCAAGAGAATATAACCTCTTTCTACAGTAAAGCTGTCAGTGGAGCTGCCAACTTGCCATAATTGTGTATAAACTCTAATAATACCCAAAAAGGCCAAGAAATCCCCTTAAGTCTTGAAGATTCTGAGGTTTAGGCCATTGAAGTATTGCCTCAATTTTGGAAGGATCTGGTTTAACTCCTTTGTAAGAAATCTGATGTCCTAGATAGGCAATTTGAGATTTGCCAAAACTGCATTTTTTAAGACTCATAGCTAACTGATGGTCTTGTAGAATCTGAAGAGTAATTTGCAAGCAAGAGAAATGTTCTTCCCAACTCTTGGTATAAACCAAGATGTCATAAAAAAAACAAGTATAAATCTCTTTAAATGAGGCCTAAAAATGTCATTAATTAAATTTTGAAATGTGGCAGGAGCATTGTTCAAGCCAAATGGTAAAACTACCCACTCATAATGCCCACTATGGGTTCTAAATGCAGTTTTGTGTATGTCTTCTTCAGCCATTCTGACTTGATTATATCCACTTCTAAGGTCCAGTTTGGAAAAGAACTTAGCACCATTCAATTCACCCAATAAATCTTCAATCAAGGGCATGGGGAACTTGTTTTTGACAGTCAAGGCATTCAGTCGTCTAAAATATGTACAATACCTCCATGAACCATCTCTTCTTTTTGGTGGCGAGGATATATGTAGGACTTCAAACAAACAAGAACATCACTGGTTAAAGAGATCTTGTGATCATATTTTCTTTTTGGAGGTAGTGTAGTTAGCTTAAGAAATAGGTGCTGGTACTGCTTCAAAAGATAATCAAGTTGGAGTTGCTGATCAGAAGCTAAACATGCACAATTATCATCTACCTTGAGGTTGAAGCAATTAGACTCCTGAATTGCAAACAACATAGTTTGACCTTGAATTACTCTTAGATTTCCTGTTGCTTCTACTCCATCAACATTATGTTGCTCACCTTATAATATAACTGTATTGCCCTTATGCTGAAACTGCATTGTAAGCTTTGCACAATTCCAACAGATTTCCCCAAGAGTCATAAGCCATTGCATGCCTAATATAACACCAAAAGAGTTGCTAGGCAGAACTAGAAAATCTGCCATGAACACATGCAAATTAAATCTCCAAGATACTTGTGGACATCTTCTGTTGATTATGAGTTGCTTATCAAAGGCCACTGTCACTGGAAAATCTCTGATAAAGCAAGTCTTCAACCCTAGAGATTTCGTCCATTTCTCACTGATGAAATTATGGGTATTGCCAGTGTCTATTAAAAAAGGCACTTCTTGTCTTTTAATCAATCCCTTTAATTGTAAGGTATTATCTCCAGCCACACCTTGCAATGCATTAATGGAAATATAGACATTTTCATCATTTGACATTTGAATGCTATGTTCGATTAGATCTAAGTCCGTGTCATTTTCAATATTGAAGGCCTCTTCTAAGTGCATGCTATCTTGTTCAGTAAAGATTGCATTTAATCTTCCCCACACCTTACATTTCATTCAATGATTCTTGTCCCATTTATCACCACAAAACCAGCAAAGTCCCTTAGAAATTCTCTCACTAACTTCTTTCCTAGACAATGGATTAGAAGAACTTGTCTTAGAATCAGTAATTTGAGATGCTGACGATGTCACAGATTGAGAAGTTGTGGAATGAGGTTGCTGCAGTTTAGTTATAGGCTGATTTTGACTCAGATTTGGTGAAGAGGAGCATGTTCTTGAATATCTGAATTGTGACTCTGATGTTGCAGCTTTGGTATTGGCAAGTTTCTTGGTAATGTCTTGTAAAATCCTCTACTGAGGTCTTGCCAAACGAACTGCTTCTTGAATTGAAGAAGGTTTATGTAATCTAACAGATTTTTCTAATTCTAAATTTAATCCAGAAAGAAAGAAACTGAGAGCTATATCATCAGGTAAAAATACTCGAGCCAATAACATATCAAATTGCTTAAGATAAGAGTTCAATGATCCTTCTTGTTGAAGCTTTGCCAATTCTGCCACTAGATCGTCGAAAGCCTTGTCATTAAACCTGCTACCAGTGTCGTTCAAGATATCTATCCAAGTCTTGGTTTTGAATTGTGGGCCCTGAGCATAATGATGCTGCCATGAAAACGCTTTACCATCCATGGAAAGCAGTAATAAACGGCTTCGTTGTGCATCAGGAGTTCCTTCAAGATCAAAGAATTGTTCGACTTTGGCTTTCCAAACTCGATAATTGGACCCATCAAAGGAAGGAAATTGTAGCTGAGCACGTTCTAGAATGGACGTGGTAGAATCTTGTGTCCCACTAGTCGCTTCTAACTTTGGCGTAAATGTTTTACTGGCAGCCAAGGCTGACATCGCGTGAACCAAATCTGAGATGGATTTCTGCATTCTTTCGAGCGTCTTCTGAGTCGTTTCTTGAGCATCTAACATGCAGGTTTCTAACTCTTTCATTGTCACTATCGTTACTGGCAATACTGATACCATGAGACAGTAATTACTCTAAACTCTCTTACTCACTCTCAATGTAATAGATTGAAAAAGAAACTTGAAAATATTATTGTCTTGAATGAATACAATTAGAGACCTTAAGCCTCTAGTTACACAATTGTCTTTAACTATATTTCCCTTCAAAAACTCACCGCCATTCACTGAATGACCGAATTAATCGGTTTCTTTGACTAAGTCAGCCTTATAGCTGACAATTACAATAAACCCCTCATATTCAACTATTACAAACAAAGACCTAGGGAGTTGGAAAAGAAAAATACAGATAGGTAACTGCAGGGACTAATTAAGGGAACAGACAGTGAAGTGTGAGAAGAGAACACAAAACAGGGAGAAGTAAAACAGAACATCTATACAAGAATAGAAAGTGGTCAAAGAGTTGTGCCATAATGCAAGAACAGAAGGGTGGTCATCAAGGATGCTGGAGAATTGTGGTTAGCTAGAAACAGTGCCAGAAAGCTTTGGTGCAGGTCGACTTTGGTTTTTGTCTCAAATCAGATGAAAGGATGTTTTGACTCTAATCAGAAATCCTAAGCATTTATGATGTAAGACAAGGGGAAATCGCAAAATACTCATAAAAACAAGTTCAGTCTTTATTTGATGATTTCTTCCAAAGTTCTATCATGGATTGATGTCATAAATGATATGATATGATAAAGGTTAGGGTAACAGTCAGAAAAACCTAAGAACTGTCACATGCAAATACTTCAAAATATGCAGATTTTCTTCAACAATCACCAAATGGCAAATGCACTACTTACTATAAGATTCAACCTACAGAGTTACAAGGGAAAAGGCATTCGATTAAATAAAATAAGACAGACCTTCGTCAATGTCACGGAGTGCCTTCAATTTTGCATCAGCGTTATCTATCCATATAATGTGTGCATTAGGATCTGCAAACCAATTGAGTTAGATTGCTCATTTCTCAGGGTAAAAAGGCAAGGTAGGATTGTCAACTTTTTTTCTCTGTATACGCACACGTATATGCATGTAACCTTTTAGTTACACGTGCATGCATATTTGTTAGAATTAAACTTTTCTTGTTTTCAGTCATCTGTGCTTGATGAATAATGTGAAGGATCTGATCCAGTGGGAAATCTTGATCAAGCAACCAAAAGATGGAAAAAGAGAAAAGTCATATAAGATCCTTAGAATGATAGAAATCAAGCAAAATAAAAGAATATTGTACCACAATCATGATTGTAGAAGGATGGAAGTATATAGACAGCATTTCCAACAGCAGCTTCAGCTTCCACAGATGCAACTGCTGATGCAAAAAGATCTTCATATAGTCCTCCAGCCAACTCAATACGAAATGCATTGATTCGAATTCGTGCCAAAACATTAATGTACCATTGCTTAGTCAAAACTTGAAATGTTAAAGAAAAGCTGACTCTAATCTTATAATTCACGTATGTGCTGCATATCTACTTCATACAAAATGTTCCTGACTGAAGAAGGATACAGGCAATATTTTCATCCGCAATAAGTGCCTTTGTGAAGGCATTCCTTAGCAAGGCAAACTCTTCTTCCATCTGAAAAGTGATGCTATGCATAAACAGATCACAGCAGCAAAAACAGATGCCAAAACTGTCCAATTATGATACCAATCAGATTCCGATTCATACATCAATAATTGTTTCATCCTGCTGTAATGAATAGTTTATATAAAAAGTGGCCACTTATAGCAGAAAGTTTGTCCTTTCAACACTACGGTGTGCTAGGCACAAGTGAAAAAGGCGGATGATAAATACAACCTACTCGAACATAATATAAGTATATACACACTTTCCACCTCTGCATTGTCATTTTTAGAAGAAACCTGCTAACTAATATAATTATTATCTGAATTTTATTGTCATTATCCTAAACTTCTAAATGACTCACCTCTAAAACCATCTCAGGCATCAAATTGGCAGGCTGAAGTATGTCAAGACTGTCACTTTTGGCATCTCCTGATATGACCATGCAAGCCAATCGCTTTACCAGAAAGGGATATTTCAAACCACGGGTCCTTTATAAAGAGATCAGGTAAGTTTCACTGGGATAATTTAGGTACAATAAAATACTAAACAATAAGCAAAGGTGTTAAGTGTTAAAAAACACAAAAAAAGTTTCAATCGTTTATCATTAGGGCTATGCACAACATTCAGATCAACTACAAATTCACTAATTCAGAAGTAAAGTTTCTGTCACGTGACAAATTAAATAATTTTGTGTATCAAATCAAGTTTCAAACCACCAACACAGGTGACAAGAGCATTCAATAAGGCTAATAAGGGATGAACATAAAGCTCCTTTTATCGGTTTTCTCCTTTCTACTGTACTCTCTGTATAATACATGCCAAGGTAAAGAGAAAAGTGAGCTTCGGGGAAATTTGCATTGAAGATTCATGAGTTATTTTTTGGGTGGGAGGGGAGGAGGGTTGAAGAATTATAGTGCATAGAGCAAAATTAGTCCCATTAACAATGAGGAAATGAAACGATCCATAAATCTTTTTTCAAGTGAGATATTTAAAAGATTGTTAAAACCCATCATAATTGAAGATGCCAATATTTTAATGCTCAAGAACAAACTACCATACCGGCAATAGTCATCAAAAGCCCCCCAATTTGCCTTCATCTCAACACTGTGATATCCCTAAACAACACCACATTTCTCATTAGTACATATCCGCAGAGAAGAAAAAATACAGGTTTGATCACATTCACGTTTCTTTGACATCACGAGTCATGTCTGATATTTTATAAACTTTAGTTGTCACTTACTTTGTAAAATAACATTCACATTAAATTTTTTTAATAAAAATACCATGTGAAATAAGTACCATGATTTCGATGTTCAATAAAATCATTCCGCTGAAAATCAATAAAACATAAAGTGGTCTCCTTTTTCTTCATCAAGTTTACCTACTAAGATGTCTGCATGAATGTGATATCCACCAAGACAAAAGTAACACTTCAACAAACACACAGAAGTGCACTTTAGCTAATACATAAAAAGTGCATTAAAGTGACAATAAAAATAAAATAAAAAATAATAATGTTACCACATTGTTTATATAAAAAAAATTATATTGAGAATTAATTAAAAACTATCTTGAATATGACTTTCAGTTTTATGATAATTTACAATTAAACAATAATATAAAAATATCCACATTAGTAATATATTTTAATTGAAATTTTAAAATAAATGAATTTTTAAAGTTATAAACTAAAAATAAATAAACATTTAGAATTTAAAATGACCGAACCATAATAAATGTGAAAACGCGAACCTCAGAGCGTTGGAGGCAGTGTTGGCTACAAAACGACGCGCGTTGAGGGAGCGTGGCAAGGCAGGAGTAGCAGGCTGTGTGGGTGGCGGGGTGGATGACGGCGGGTTTAGCGGTATGAATGAGGTGGCCTCCGGCGATTGGGCGGGTGGCGAAGACGGCGCGGCCGGCGGATTCGGTGAGTGCGACGCGGATGGGAGGCGGTGGCGATGGGGTGGTGGAGAATGGCTTAGCGAAGAAGCGTGAAGCGAAGCGGCGTGAGAGTGAAGGTGAAAGAGGCATTTTCTTAGTTTTGGTATTGTTCTTCTTCAACTGATGCAATGGCCTAACATGAAAATAGCCAAGGAAGTGATTAATGCAATTTCAAACCTTTTGTTTGTCCAAACACAGCATAAACTTGTGCGCTAGCGGCCTAGCACATTTTCTAGAATTAATAATTATATTTCACATTATTTTTTCAATTAGATCAATTGTCGACTTGTCGTTTCTCTCTCTTTATTTTATTTTTTTTAAAAAAAAAATATTATAATAAGGAAACATTTCCTTTATTTAATACTATTAAATGTGTTTTTAATTATTTAGATTTTCACCAACTTCAATTATTAACGATAAATAAAAAACAATATAAATGCTTCATAAAAATTATAAAGTATCTTATAAAATGAATTATTACTAAAACTTTTTAGAAGATACCGTATAAAAAATATCAGAGTAAAAACGAAGGAACGAAGGAAAGAAATGGCTTCATACACAAACCAACTTTCTTATCAGCACAAGCCACAAAAAAAAGAAAAATCAAATTCCATATCAACAACCACTAGCTGCCATCTATTACCACAGAATGTGAAAGAGGGTAATACAATTAACAAAGCATTATACATGTTAAGTATCAATTAGGAGTATATTTATTATCACTTTAAAAGTGTATTGTTATTCCTATTTAAGTATCTTTGTCTGAAATACAATTTTTTTTTCTCTTACAACCATATTAAAAGTAAGGATATTTCAGACAAAAATCACTTAAATAAAAGTGAGAATAGACAAACACAAGCGACAATAAACACTCCCACGTGAATTAGCATCAACCAATTTGTTTAGCACAAAAATAGAAGCACTTAAAACAATTACAAGTTTCTATAGTACCATCATCTATGCCAGGGTGATGATCTCCAATCTAGATCATCATCTGGACAACAATCTCTCTGCAGTTCCTGAGGTGGTATGAAACAGTCCATGGACAAGCCTGGCACATTGAATGCAACATCATCAATGGTCCATGATTCTTCCAACCTTGTGGTGGATGGACCAGCCTTGAGGTTGTCTCCAAACCTTGTGATCAACGCGGTTGATGAGCCAGTATGTGCAATCATCACACCATCTACAGCTCTGTAGTCCTCAATTTTTGTTGACATTGTAGTTTCCCAGTATGTGGGGTGAGAACCTGGTGCTTGAATCCTGGTCAAGTAAGAGTCCTCTAGGTACACCAAAAGACCACTTCTTTGGCTGAAGTAACCAAATATAGCATGCTTGATCATCTCAGCTGTGTTGTCACTGCGTTCCACGAGGTCCCTTTGATCAGCTGAGAGTTTCAGCACAAAGCAATCCATACCTGAGATTTGTTTCTCCCCCATGTATTGTGCTGTACAGAATACAGCTGACACTGCCAAAGGGTCTAGTCCCTACAGTGTACAACTATAGTGTCACTTAAGGTAACAACAAAAACAAAACCACTCAAATCAGTGTCAAACAGATACTAAGTGCATGTTTGTTACGATTTGTTTTAAAGAAATGTTTTTCTTTTAGCTTCCTGAGAGAGCTTGTGAAATAAAAGTAATTGTTTTCCTTCAAAAAAGTTTTCCCATTCATGCATTATGATGGCATTTTAGATGTTGATCAAGTCTCAGTCTCACCTTGGAGTGGACCCAGTAGGCTAAGAAGTCAACAGTAGCATTCATATTTTATGTGTAAACATCAAATTTAACTGTTTTATTTTAGTTTTCTTCTTGGGCTTTGGTCTTAAATTAATAGGTTGAGCGAAAAAATTTACACGTGATGGTTGATGATCAATTGATGTATTGGGAGGAAGCTGAGAAATAAAGAAAAGGAAACACAGAATATGGTTAGATGGAACAAATGAATGAAATTTAGTAGGGAAACAAAGATCCATCATATAGGCCGGTACCAAATGGATATATCAAAAGCCTTGCATTAATTAAAATGAAAAACAGCAGTCGTGTTAAGCTGCATTTATGACTATTAAAACAAATTAAAAATATTTTATTGCCACTCAACATCAGTTATAGATCTGTGTCAAGAACATTTTTTTTTTCTCACAATAACAATGTTGATTTCCAAACACCATCTTATCACATTAATTCAAAAGGGGTTTTTTCCTCGTATTTTATGTCATAACACTGAACCCCACCACATAACACTGAACACCACCCATTCATGGAGGTCTTCACACTTTGTTATAAAGAGAAGGTAACATAAAATTTTCATACTCAGCATCATCATGTGCTAACAATCACATTTAGCTGTCAATTGGAACAAAGCTCCTAATACGGCTTTAAAATGCCACCAAAGAACACCAACCAAACCCTGCTCCCCCAACCAACACAACAGTACACATAAAACCAAATCTGTTGGAAAATTTAAAACAACACATGATGATGATGATGATGAACTTGCCTGAAGAGCACGGCGAAGAGGGCGCACGCCGCCTTTGGCGGCATGCACTCCGAGCCAAGGTGTGTGGCGCCAAGCAATGGCACCATTGCTACCAGCCACAACCTTCTGGCCACTCAAAACCAGCTCTATCTGCCACTTATCTGGAACCATTTGCCACATCACAAAGCACCCTTTCTCCATATTAACACCACCAGCACCACTGGATCCAAGCTCATCCACCACATCCATAGTAACTTTCCCAGTAGTGAACACATTTTTCACCGTCCCCTCCAACTTCCTGCACCCTGTCGCTGCCCTGAAGTGTTGTATTATATACTGTGCCGAAGATGACACCTATAATATATAATCATACAAATGAACAACAAAAAAAGTATTGAAATATGCCTCTCCCTTTCTCCTTTCTCTGTGCTAGAAAAAAATAATAATAAAAATAAAACCTTTATATTTTAACTAACAATCTTTAGAGTAATCACTTGGTAACAAGATAAAATCGGTGGCAAAAAGAGGTTCATGTATAAAGAAAGATATTAAAAGATAACACTTTTAGCTAACTTTTTAAGCCAGCAACTATTTTGATATGAAAGAACATAATTTCCGATCATAATTAATAAAGAAAGCAAATTAGAACAATTCTAAACACCCAAAAAAAATTTACTTTTCATGTGAAAACTTTTGTAGAGAAATGAAGACACAAGAAAAACATTGAGTTAAAAAAAGGAAACAAAATTATGGTTTTTTTCGTCTTGTAATTATGAGGGGGAAATTATTTGTGCCAAAGTATATAGAGTAAACAGAAGTTTCAAAACAACAACCCAGCACCACATTTTTCTTGCATGGTGATGATGGCTTAGAATTTAGAAGGAAAAAAGTAGTGGAAATGAAGAAGAAAGAGAAGAAGAAAAGGGCTTGCCTCATTGAAGGGTAGTTCGGGTTGGACAGGGACAGGGAAAAGAGGGCAACCAAGAACACTAAGGAGGATCTTGAGGTTGGACTTCTTGTTGAAGACAAGGGAAAAATGGGTCTTGATCCAGTTCCAGTTTTTCCATGAACGAAGACCTTTCTTATTGTTGTTGTTTCCTTCATCTTCTTCGTTGATGGGTTCTTCTGATAATGGTGCAAGTCTACCCATCTCAGCTTGTGTTTGTTGAAACTTGACACACAATACAGAAAGAGGAAAATGCGTGGAAAGAGTAGACACTCTTCAAAGGAACACACAGTTTGTTTGTTACTGTTGTGTTGTGTTGTGTTATGTTGTGGTTTAAGCACTCGCAGGGTAAGTGCGTGCGGTGCACGATGTTAAAAAGGGAAAGGAAAAAAGCTTGAAGAACCAAAGTTAACTGCAAGATTGAATGTGATGTGACCTCAAGGGTCCAATTTTAAAGAAAATTATTATTGTGACAAAAGGGTGTAAAAGAATTAAAGAAGTGAGAAAGATGAGATAAAAGATAAGTGTGATCACACCTTTTTGAGCTTTTTTGATTATTGCATTATTTTTTAGTGTGGTCATAAGTGATCTCATCCACCTGTTGTTGTCTCTCATAAAGGAATCTTTAGCCTTTGATTTCTTGGTAAAATTAGAACCTATGCAATCCATGTGGTTGTTAGCATGATCCTAGTGCAGGTTTTCTACCATTGGGTGCTGAAAATGATGAACTCAAACACTATTTTATTTTTCTTTGAGGTTTTACCAATTCTAAATCATGTTATAATTGAAACAGCTCTTAAGCTAACTTTAACGTGAGTTCTTTACAGTTATTTCAGTTATTGTAAGAAAATTATATATATATATATATATATATATATGCTTGTAGACAGTAGAAATAACTTGTGTTTAGTATGAAAAAGTGGGTCTCATTTATAATTTTTATTTTATCAGATAGAAAATTTTCTTTTATGTATTTCTTTTTATTTTCATTAATTTTTTAATATATTTATCTTTCTTTTCATTTCACTTTATTTTTCTAACCTTTTTATCTCTCTCTTTTTTCTCTAAGTGTAACATTCTCTTTTATTTTCAAATCAAAAAGTGTGTCAAAAAATATTTTCCTACTTCAAATGAGGAAAATTTAGGGGGAGCTTTTCTAATTTATTTCTCAGAAACTGTTAAATAAAAATGTATTTGGATGAAAAGGCTAAAAAACTTTAATACATAAACTACACAAGACTTGCAAATATATTTACTTGACAATGAACAATGATCGATTGCAACGCCTATTAACACGATCATTTTAAATATTTACCGAGTTTTAATTGTGTTACATTTTCTTTGCCTTTTCTTATATATTACTACGGGTCTATTAGATGAACTATTGAAATCGATTTAAATTGCAGCGATTTTTTTTTATTTTCCCTTAATACTGTTGATATCACATAGAAATTCACATCACTTTTAATTTTAATTGTTGACATTGCTTTGAAAATCATGCACATTCTTTCAACTTCAATGCAAATAAGTTCTACTTATTATTAATAGATATATCGTGATAAAATAAACAAGTAAACTTGCAAACTTTCTACCTTGTTTAAATCTTCATTATGTTTTCTTTTTTCATCTGGTGAGGTGACATATGAATTGAATTAATTACTCCAATCAAAACCATGAGGCAGCTTTTTGAAGGAAAAAAGAGTACTTGATTATTTAAAACATACTCAAAAGATGATTAAGAAGAAGCCCACTAATTATCTGGAAAACTATAAAGGAACAGAAAATATAAAATATATGAGAAAAAAAATATAAACACATGATGACCTGCTTCCAACAATTCTTCACACACTGTTCTACATAAAGCATTTCACTAATGGTCGCATGTTGGCCAACAACTTTTCACCAATTGCTCCCAAACTTGGTCCATGTTTTCTTTATCTTAGGATTTGAGGTGGAAGTGCCATAGCAAGAGGGAGTCCTTGGTCCTCACCTTCTTATGATAATATAAAATTAACAACATTATCATTGTCAAGAACATATCATCTATCATTATCTTATTTTTGTAATGGTCAAGCACATGCATCATGTCACGTGCGTGCTGTGCATATTTTCTTTAAAATGTAACTAAATGGGAAAAATGGTACTTCAAAAATAGAAATGCAGAACTGTTTGAAACCTATTTTTATCCTTTTTCTGTTTACTAAATGACATTAATAATAACTAGTTTATATTATATAATATATTAAATAATAAATAAAATTTGAATACTTAAGTTTTGTAAAATCTTAAAGTAACATAAAATAAACTCATATATGTCTTATAAGATAAAAATTAAAAATAAAAAGTTAAATTAATATTTGAGTACAAAATAAAGTTGACATCGAGAATATCTATTTAACTTAAAATACATTTTTTACATGATAAGATTCCTAGCCAAATAAAGGAATGTTAGGTAATTGGAAAAGCTTGTGCTTATTTGGTTTTGGCAAATAAAATCGATTTATATCTCATGTTACATTTTAAATATAAAATTTATAGATGGTAATAAGTTAAACATACGTACTAATTGCGTTAAATAATTTAAAGTTAATTTTCCTAAATCTAAAGTAAATAGGACTACATTAATTAAACAAAAAAACAATTTTGATATATTTTCAGTACACAAATACTTACATTATCATAATTAATTAAATAAATAATATAGTATGATTCAAAAAATATTTTCAAAATAATTATAATAATTAATCAATAGCATAAAAACCTTATATTGTTAAATATTTTAAATAAAGTTTTATTCTTAAGAGAAGGTTAAAACCATGATAAATGCCCCCATTAAACTGATTTAGCAGGCGCGTGGGAATATTGATTCTTTAATGCGGTGTATACACATAGAGCTGTGGTGGGTTAGATGATGTTGTGAGTGATAGAAAATACAGAGAAGAGAAGGAGCTTTTAAGGGAGGCAATGCAATGCCGGTGTCACGTCCCCATCCTTTCCTATTTGTAATAATGCTTTTTCTGGTAGTTCGGTGCAAACATGGGAACATAGGATTTGTTGCTTAGTGTTTGGTCGGAAATTTCAGTTCATAGCCAAAAAAAAAAAAAATGGAAACTAATTTTAGCAAAGATATGAACTTCATCAATTGGAACACTCATGCCGGTTAGATTATTTATTAGGGTAACTGAATTGTCATTTTAGAGTTTGAAAGAGAACTCAGAATGTTCAATGATCATATAATGTAAAGTAGTTTGATTGTTCATTTCTTTTATATTGTTTAAATGTGGGACCGAGATGAAGATGAAAAAAGAATATGATGATCAAGTTGCGAGTTTTCTTTCTTTTAAAATTTTTAAGTGTGCATTAGTCAATACGAAATTACCAAGTAGTTTCACCTACTAGCTGGAACAGAGAGATGTTGAGCAGTCAGCGCATGAAAACGGAGTTTTTGGAGATCTCTGAGTCACGGCAAATCTAACTTCGTCTTATCTTCATGTTTAATTTCCTTAAAAAAAGTGTGTAATGATTTGTCCGTCAAGTGAGGTATATTTATCGAGGGTAAACTACAGTTATTTGATAGTAACCAAGTTGATAAAACATCCAATCGAATAATATATTGCTCTTCTATAAAACTTAATCTTGTGCTCCAATCAAAATCAAAACTTCACTTCAAAATCAGATTAATATTTAATATTGAATTTTATTACACCAGTCATTGTAGTAAAATTTTAGTTGTGATTAAAATAATACAAAAATATCTAAGACATTGTATGTAGATTTTGTTTTATTAAAAACATACAGTTTGCTATAATTCCTTTACTCCTCCATTTTCTCAATAAATTTTAAATTGGAAAAACAGAAGGCCTAAAAGAGAAAAATAAAGATAGAGAATATGGGTTTTGCCAGACCACACGCCACAGAGTGACATACAATTACAAACGTCCATAGAAAATCAACTTAGGCAAGGTGGTTCAAACAAGCTAAAGGGTCGTCAGCGGTATGGCTTTAGGGTGGAGAAATGGCAAGGTGTGGTGACTATTGGTTTGGTGCAACAACTTTGGCTACTGGTTGAGACGTGTTAGAAGACTATTCCGGCCCAGTGTGCAAAGGCTAGGTTGTTTGGTGGAGGCAATCAAGGTCTTGGGTTTCGATAGGGAAGGAATCGGTGGAGATGGTGGCAGCTCGAATTTTGGCTTGGGCGATATTGGCTCTGTATACGTGAGTATGGGCAACAAATTTTTGGTGAAAGGTTGGGTGGGGTTTTGAATGTGTTCTGGGACACTAAGGACAGGTTCATGGTACTGAAGATTTATGCTTTTAGTGAAAGGTTGGGCTGGGTTGTGCCCGATTTGGTAGGGATTGAAGTATTTATCTTCCATGATTATAGGCTAGGTTTGAATTAGATACATTATGCTTTTATATCCAATTGAAGCATCTTTTTGTATGACCATTCTCTCTTCCAGTCTAATTCAATGCAAATAAAAGAATGAGATGGAGGGGACGAAGACAGTGAGAAATTAACAAGTTGTGACAAAAAATATCCACATAGCTGAAGTAAATCATTTTGCCAAATGTGAATGATGGATTGGGATTTTGTTAGTCGAGTCATATTACTTAATAGAAGTCTTAATGACAGTAAGGATTAATAGTAACAACTTCTACAATAATTGGGAGCAAGTAAAAAATAATAATTAAGAACTACTAGCAAAATTGGATAATTTTTTAAAAATAAAAATATATTTAACGCTTAAAAAATTATAAACCTATAATCAAGGAAAAAATAACTTGTCATAAAATTTCAAAAAAAAAAAAATCATCCTATATGATTGTAAAATAACTATTTCAATGAATTGTCATCCGATAATCAATCACTTCATGCACCTTCGGAGTTCATTTTTACTTTAAAAGTTCGAATCCTATTGAAGCTAAATAAATGTCAGTCAAAGTTTTGTAATGAGATTTCAGTAAATATCAAATTGCAAATGCTAGATATCACTGTTGGCTGGACCAGTAGAAGCATTAGGTAATAAAAGTAAGGACCCATTCGATTATCTTTGAATAAAAAAATTATATAGAACTTATTAAAAAAAATACAATATTATTCTGGTCAAAAGGAAGTAAAATATTTAATTTAGACTACTTTAGAACAAACAAAAAAAACCTTCATAATTTTTAGTATTTTTTTCGAAACGTAATTTTTCATTAGAAACCTTTTTCTTTGAAAGAACAGACAAAAACAAATGAACCTAAATAACAGTGACAATTATCAAGTAGGAGTCAATGCGATGAGCAGTCTGCCCCGTCACCAATACCGATCATGCAATGCATCGCGTTCCTATCGTTAAGCACATTGCATCATTAAAGAAATATATTACAGTATACATGGTAGATCCATGACCGAATCAATGACAAGAAATGGATGCAGCAAAGCACAAATAGAAATCTTGGCCAAACAAGCACAAACAAAAGTTGTCTTGTCACAAGGCTGAAAGAAAACCACGACAGATCCTTTCTACCAGATATAAAAAAACTACTGAAAGTCTGATGTATTTGAGCACACAAGCCTCATAAAAAACAAATGAAAACTACAGCATTTTCCACCACATTCCCCAAGCTTGTATCAAGTTAATCACCTAGAGTACCCCGGACTTTGGCTCATGCTCCTGCTGTAACTCCTACTTCTGCTGCGGCTTCTCGACCTATAAGGTGATCGAGATCGAGAGTATGATCGCTCCCTAAAGTTTCTGTCTCTTGGTGAGATTGACCTGAATTATAATGATGGTTAATACAAACATTGCAGATCCTATACATCACAAATGAAATTTATTACATCAGCGACTGAACAAAAACCTGTAATATCTCCTCCGTCTTGGGGAAGGTGAATAGTCTGGACTAGGTGAATAGGTTCGTGCATAGCGTGGGGATCGAGAAAGACGAAGTGGAGATCTCCTATAATCATAGGATCGACCCCTAGTGATTGATTAAATAAAAATACACTTGAAACATGACATAAAAATAAACAAAAGCATTTACAAAAATAACATAATATACAAATCTGCATCTACTACTTATACATATTAAATAACATCATCACATACAACCAATGGGGTATATCTTTTACCTCCGATGTTCTCTTGCTCTCATTTCAGCAGGCTTCTTTCTGTTTTCTTCAGCAAAGACCACAATCAACTCCCGACCAAGAAGAATTTGACCATCCATGTGATACTTTGCATCTGCAGCATCAGCTGGGTCCACATATTGAACAAACCCAAAACCTCTTGGGTGCCTGTACCATAAAATCCAAAGACATCAGAGACACCATATGCGTGGTTTAATATGCAAACACACCTGCATATGTATGGTGGGATGATTGCAGATATCCACAAATAGGATCCTGACTTCAAGCTATCACATCACAAGTCACTCTCAATACTCCACAGAAATCAATAATAAACACCACATGGATGCTAACCTTGTAGAAGCCAAAGTACTAATTGAGATGAAAATCTTCAAGACTTGAACTTCTTCACAAGGAATTCAAACTCAACCTTCCGAACCTTCAAGGTCACTAACATCACCTTGAAAGGAACTCTTATTACTTGATTGGTATCTTCAACATGACACTCTTATTACTTCTTTCTTCTCTTCAACACAGTACTCTTATTACTTCATTCTTCTCTTCAACTCTTTCAATAGAACAACCAAATTCCCATAAAATAATTGGAGTATTAATTGTTACGGAGAAAAAGTGACAAAACAAAATAGTAGGGGAAAAACCACCACAAAAATTTCTGAAATCCCAATTCAGGAAATAACACAGCTTCACAGTTGGAAATGTCAAAATAGTTAAAGGAACACCAGGACTCAAGCAATTTAACGAAGAGGTTTCAACACAAAAGAAAACTGCATTTTAGCCAATGCAAACACCCTTACCCAGTATAATAATCTCGCGGCAGGTAAACATCCTTGAGAGGACCAAATTGACCAAATGGGCCATGCAAATCTTCTGGCCTGCAATAGTGCAAATCAGTGAAAAGCTAAATCAGCTCACAAGTGCATGTATGATTGGGATTTAGTTACTAGTCATGGAAAAATACTAGCTTTTTTCATCACAATCAAGCTCCCTCAGAAAACTAATAAACATAAGTAACCATTATCTCTACAAAACAAATTGATCCAAGTACATATAAGCATGTTAAATCCAGTTATTTTTTTTTAACCAAGAAAATAACCACTTTATTTCCAGCTCTATCAGAAAGCTGGAAAGAAAAATACGATGCATATATGACATACAAGAGGAAAAAAATTCTTAAACTCAGCCTCAACAAACATAAGATCAACCAAAGAAACATATATAAAGTGGGTAAAAAAAGCTAATATTCATGATCATCACACTACAACTGCAAAACCACCGTAAATACAATAACTACTGGAAAGGTAAAAGAAAAAAAACCTTCATTAACACAAACCTGCAATCTCTGTGGAGGTTCCGAACCAGAAGACTCGTTGGCAAATCCCTACCACGACCTCCATAACGACCCCTAGGGCTAGGACTGCGCCTTCTTCGGCTGTGACGCCTCGGAGGTGACGGGCTGTAGCTGTAGCTTCTTCCCCTCATGTTGATCTCGCTACACCTTTCACTGCACAAACAAAACCATATAACAAGTGTATAAAATAAACGAAACCAAACCCTATAACATCAATTCCAATACAACGTAAACAGAAAGCCTACAAACAGCAGTTCCCAAATCAAACTATAACTGAGAAAACAATATCACGCTGCCTTTTTTTTTTCTTTGTTAAACATAAAAGAAATTACGTTTCAGACGATCTCTAACAGAAAAGAGAGAGAGAGATTCCACCAACTAGAGGTTGTTTTTCGTTTTCTCGTCAATAATAGGTTCCAAAATCGCAACATATCAATCAACTCGTTCTATGCACCCAATCAATAATCATGGATCAATCAGATACACGCAATAATCGAATCAGAAAAAGGTCAGAGTTGCGTTGGATATGAGAACTTTACCTGCTTCACAATTCGCTGAACGCAAGCACTGATGCGTATACAGAAGAAAAAAGGCTTTTGATTCGGAACCGTAAATTCTCTGGTAATATTTGTAACCTCGCTCACTCTTCTATATTCGCGAAACTTCTCCATGGGTAGGCCCGGATTTAGTACATGGGGTCGCATGGGTTACGATGAGGATCAGAGCATCTCTACAGATAAGAATCAGCGGTTCAGAAAATAATTTTATAAGTTATTAGGAAATTATGATTAAATATATGTTTGATAAAAAAATTGTTTCTAAATAATATTTATATTTTCAAATTTTTTTGAAGAAATACTTTAAAAAAATTATTTTTTAAAAGTAAATTAAAGAAAATAATCATTCAGATTTTTTTTATATTCATTAAGATTAATTTTTAGTTTATATTTCAGTTAGATCAACACGTTAAAATAAATTTAATTCAAATTTTAAAAAAAACATAGTTTAATTCTAAAAAATTTGTTAAATCATCTCACAAATTATTTCATATTTTTATTTTTCGTTTAAATTTAATTTTATTTAAATTTAAAATTAGTAATTATTCCTATTATAAATATATATAGTAAATAATTTTTAAAAATTGAAAAAAAAATAAGCACTAATAAAAAACATGTCAATGTCTTTAAAATAACCCTAAAAATTTTAGAATTCATTTAAGCAGATAACAACTCGTAAAAATAAATCACAATATAAATAAAGATAAACAAATTCTTTTTTTAGTTAATACTTTTAAATATTTTAACCCAAAACGATCAGAATCAACCCCCCCGTCTTTCAACTTAAACCACTTTTTAGATAGTTTAAGATTTGAGACTATACTAATAATAAAAAAGAAGAAATACTATGAAGCATGACATTGTTGAAAAGGAAGTTTTCTTTAAAATTCAAAAAATAGTTATATAGTTTTAATTTAAAAATCAATATTATTCTAAACTAAGTCACAAAATCTTATTAATATTAAAAAATAATATTAATTTTCATAGTAAGTTGCAAAGTAAATTAGACAATAACAAAAATAAGATACTCAATATCTAATTAAAAATTTATTGAAGCCAAATATTGGAGCAAATTTGATTTAGAACTATTTATGTAAGAAAGAAAAATTAGAGAATTACCTTTGAAGATTGTTCAATCTCAATTAAAAGAGAGAAAAAATAAAACAAGTAAGAAATGTATTTTTTTTTAAATGAGATTAATAATTATACTGGTTTTGATAGTCAAAACTCAGCTGGTTTAAAAAGATTAAAACAAGTTATGCCAATATCTTTTAAAAAAATTATATTAAATAAGTAGAATTTTGTGTCAGTTAATATATACAATCTAACAAAAATTACTGTTATAGAATCAAATTCTTTAATTTAAATAAAATTTTTACCCAAAGTCAAAATAATTAAAGGACAATAATAATAATAATAAATATGTTTAAAAAAGATTAAAACAAGTTATGCCAATATCTTTAAAAAACAAACAAAGTTATATTAAAGAAGTATAATTTTGTGTCAGTTAATATATACAATCTAACAAAAATTACTGTTATAGAATCAAATTCTTTAATTTAAATGAAGTTTTTATTCAAAGTCAAAATAATTAAAGGACAATAATAATAATAAAAGAATAAAGTAAGTTTAAAACAATTATTGTACAAAAGTGTTTACTTAATTCAAGAAGACACAAATTTTAATCATACTTAAAACAATCATTATACAAAAAATGTATATGTTTAATTAAAGAGAAAAAAAAAAACAATGCAAAGCATTATCTTAAGGAGAACAAACTTGTTTATGCAACACTTTTTCTTACTATAAACATGTACATGAGTTTTGCATGAAAGAGGCATAACAAACTTAGCAATTTTTCTAGCTTTGAATTTAGAAAACTTAAAATCTTTGTTTATATCTAATTAAAGTTGATTCTAATAAAAAGGATCAGTCTATTATATACTAATAAAAGAAAGTCTTGACTTGGACACGTGTTATTTTCTTAAAAATTACTTTCTCAATCTAAGATTTTATTTTTATTTTTTTCCATCTACTTTGCACATCTAATTTTAAATTTTAGGCATTTGTCTTCTTCTTTTTTTCACTTCTAAAGCACCAACAACAATGACTTCATCGGTGTTCTCACAAAACATCAAATGTTATCAAACTCCTCTCACTTGTAAACCTCTTTCTTCTATTTTCTTTCAAATTAATAATTTTAACAACCTCATTCCTTTGATTTTCCCTAATTTCACTTCACTCTACATAATAAACAAATGTTCATCACATTTCTCTTTAACATTGCCTATGTTTTCATTTCACGTCACATACAAATCCTAAAAGTTACAGTTTTTTTGTCTCTTATTGTACTAAACTAAGCTACAATAAGTTTTAGTTATTCTCCACTATTGCCAATTAACCTCCCAAACTTATAATGAATATGTTCTCTACCATTGATTTGATGATTTCTAATGTTATTGTTCACCATTTTACCATGTGAAAAGTTGGATTCACAACAACTAAAAAATATTGGTTTAAGTGATGTTGAATATGGAGCAACAGAGGAAAAGTTACAAATGTTGATAATGAAAAAGTCATAGATTGGATCTTCAGGGCTATTTTACCGTAAATTTAGATATACAACTCATGAATAATATTAGGTTGACAGGCCCTAATGTATCTAGAATTTGTAAGTGTTTAACTTTTTAAAGATTCATAATCAAATTTTTATTCCTATTACCATTACCATAATATGTGTTAAATAATCTTTTGTTTTCCTACGGAACTTAGTTTGAGGATAAAAACATCTTTTCTTTCTAACGAGAAGCTTAAAGTGCTCATTTTGTGGAGTAAATTGGTGAATACTCTTAAGAATATATTTTTAGGTAATTAACACAATACTTTTTTTGATTTTTTTTTATAAGAAACAAAATAAAATATTTTCTTAGTCCTTATTATAAGAAACAAATAATAGATTCAAAATATATTAAGTACTAAATTTCTTTTATACTATTTTTTTATTAGTATTATTAAATATACAAATTATTAATTATATCATTTAATATCATAAATATTTTTAGAATAAAATTTATATTTATAAAAAATATAATATACTTAATTATTTTTTTCTAATAATTTAGTATTTTGTTTCTTATAAAAAAAGACTAGAGGGAGTAGTACAGTACGAGAAATCTTTGTTATAACTTCTACTTTAACTTTTTATAATTTAAAATATTTTTAAAAATGTAATAGTTTTATTAAAAAATTATACTTTTTTTTAATTCTCTCATTTTTTTTGTATATTTCAATTTGCATTCTAACGTATAACTAAGTCTGTATAAATATTAGGCCAACTATGTTACAAAACTTGTGCAATTTGTTAGTGTAATACTTCGTAAATCAACGTTGTGTTCCTAGAGACAAATAATCAGTGAACTAAACATCAAACACAATATATGCATACTAACACACACTTGGGGGGAGATTTACAGTTTAATTGAGCAACAGAAAATGACAATTCAAAAATAAGAAGATTAACAACAATGATAACAAATCAAATTCTCCATTTAATTCAATAACGAATTTATCATAAGTTACTAAATATAAATATGAAATATAAATTCTATTAATATTATTTGTTTTGACTTAATCACATTAGATAAATTTTCTACTGTGAATGGCACACATGTTAAGTGAATTAATTTTAGTTAATTAAGCATTTTCTAATCTTAATTCAGTTAGCATTATCCAAAATTCATTCAAACTTATATAAGAAAATGAAGTAATTTTGAATATGAAGAACAAGTAAAAACAAATTTGAATTTAGATTCAATTGAGAGTAAAATCTCAAAAATTTCAATCACTAAATTCGAAATGGAGAATTAATTTTGAATTATTTAGCCTTCAATGATTGAGATTCAAAGGAGTACAAAAAGATAAGAGAAACCTAAGCTTACAGAAAAATTAAAGATTCACTACAAGGTTATATACAACCCACGACAATAGTAAGATCGAGGAAAAATAAAAAACTTTCAAACACATGTTGATCAATCTCAATTTTGAGGCCACTTGGGTAAAGTTGAACACTTGAATTAGAGGGTGTACACATGTATAACTCACTTTAAATGAGAGAAAAAATTCAAAGTGTCAATATAAATTTGCAAGATTTTTATTTATTTTTAAAACTTTTTTTCAAGACTATTATTTATTTTTTGTAAATTTTTTGCAACTAATTTGTATATTATTACTCATGTTCGTGAATCGTGACTTTATTTTTTTATGACATTTTTTGTAATTATTAGTTTTTGGCTCAAATATTAATTTTTATTTTAAAGAGTGAAGGACAAAAACCTTTCAAAGACGTCTTAATCAATCACAATTTTGAGGCCATAAAGTTCAACACTTAAATTAGAGGGTGTACACATGCATAACTCACTTTGAATGAGAGAAAAAAAATTCAAAGTGTCAGTATAAATTTGCAAGATTCTTATTTACTTTTTAAACTATTTTTTCAAGACTATTATTTATTTTTATAAATTTTTACAATTAATTTGTATATTATTACTTATGTTCGTAAATCATGACTTATTTTTTTATGACATTTTTTACAATTATTAGTTTTTGGCTCAAATACTAATTTTTAATTTGAAGAGTGAATTGTGAGCTAATTCACAAAGTTAGTAAATTGACTTAAGTTGATTTTTTTTAACTTATCACAAAATTGATGTGAATTAGTTTCACTCATTGTTGAGTAAAAATTGTAATAAGTTAATATATGTAAAGTGATCAGTTTGACAACTTTAAAAAAAATTAATAAATAATTTATTCATTGGGAATATGAGTTTTTGCCTCCTAAGAATTAACTCCAAATTTTTTAATATATATATATATATAATTATTTTACACAAAAAATAGAAATTTTTTTTAAAAAAAGAGACCGATTAATGGAAATGAAAGTTCTGCACCGTGCAAGCTTTTACTCCGATATCAAAACTGACTTCATACATGAGAAAGGAAAAGTTTAAAAATTTATCTTCATATGAAATCTTAAAAATAACTAATATAAAAATAGTTTTCTGCTTTATTTTCTTTCAATATAGAGTTCAAAGTTTTAAAACTTAGCACAGAGAACATCATAGCAGCAAAACCATAAAAAGAATAATATAAAGACCTTGACATTTATTTTAATTTAATTTTTTTATTATCTTTTGTTTTATTATTTTAATAAAGTGACTTGATTTGACAAGCAACAGAGCAGTGTCTGGACTTCTGTTTTACATGACTTGTCATTCCTCATTATTTTTTTTTTCTTTACTTGCTACTTTATATTCTATTATTATTTATTTATTTTTGTATATTAAAATAAGCTAATCCACCGAAAGCTGTTTGGTCCGAAAACATTAGGTCAAAATAAAAATACTTTGTTTTATTTTATTTTTTTCTCACTTTTAGCCCAAAATTCTATTTTATTTACTTTTAACTAAATTTACTGAAAATATTTCATTTATTTATTATTATTATTACTATTATCATTATTTTTATCTTTAATCTTATTTTTAAATTATAATAATAGCAACAACTATAATAATAATAATGTAAATAGGATAGGAATGAAATGAATATAGTGCATTATTTGTATCATAATGTTCATTTATTGTAGTTTTTATTCATTTATTGGCATTAATGTTTTGTTATTATTATTATTATTATTTTTATTTTTTGTATAGAAGGAATATAATTTTATTTAGATTCATATTTTATTTCATGATTGATAAATTATTATCTCAAAATTATATAACAAGTGTAATAGATAAATATATAAAACCACTACAATGATTTATAATATTAACGTGTACTATCTCTATTATTACGCACTGTAAATCATTGAGATCCATGTGTATTTATGTTATCTTTGGTCTCATTTAAAATATCAATATTAAAAAAAATTAATTAATACTAATATTATTAACCAACCTTTTTTCCTTTAATTATCAAACAAACACTTTACTAATTCATTTAAGTAAAATAAAAATTAAATTACTTATTATGTACCACGATTTATAGTGTTATTATATAGCGTCTCTACCTTTATACGCTTTAAATCGTAAAGACTTTTGTGTACCAACGTTACCTTGAGTCTTATGCAATATAAATTTATCAAATAAAACTTTAATTATTTAAATTAAATAAATATCTTCTCTAATTAATTCAAAATATACTTATTCCTTTCATTAAATATAATTAACTTTATATTTTAAATTTTCTCAAGTCATATTTCTAATTTTTATAGTTTAAATAATCAATCATTTTTTTATTTTTTTTATTATACAAATTTTTGTAATATCGATGTGTGATTCACATTGTCTTCAATTGTCCAATAAATTATAAGAGATTTATGTATAGCTTACGCTATCTTAAATTTTCTTTCAAATCAAAAGTAAAATTTAAATACTTCATTTACTAAAAAAATATTTTTAATGATTTGCAGTATAGTTATGTGATATTCTTTACCTTCTGTATTGTTTTTCGTAGGGTACATATAATTGCGTTATTTTGTATCATAAACATTATAATTTTATGAAAATAACTTAAATTTCAAAATAAATTTTCTTTTACTAAACTTAATTTAATCAACCAATTTCGTAATTTTTAGATAGAACCACGTGAGTTTGAGTTCCCCATTGCACCAGGGATATGTAGGAGCCAGAACCAAACCCGTTAAGTCAAAATAATTTTTTAAGGTATCCATTAATATTTTAATAAATAATTTGTCTTCTTTTAAAATAATAATAATAATAATAATAATAGTTTAGGGGTTAAATAAATATTTTTTAAAATTGAGATTAATTTGCACAACTAATTTAAAGTAACCGTTTTTAACGGACGACGTTATATGGTGCTAATACCTTTTCTACACGTAAATAACTCTCGAACTCAGTTTTGGTTTTAAAGATCATATTATTTTTAATTTTTTCTAATATTTTCTTAAAATAAACTTTGGTGACGACTTCTTTGATTTTTAGAAAAATATTTTTATTCTTGAAAGATGTTTTTTTTAAACACGTTTTTTGACGTACCGTTGCGACCACTTGATTGCGACATTCATTATAATATCTATAAATAAAAAACACTATATTCACTATTTATAAAACAATAAATAAATAATAATAACAATAATAATAATTGTTTAGGGGTTAAATAATTTTTTTTTTAAAATTAAGACGAATTTGCACAATTAATTTATGGTAACTGTTTTTAAATGGACGTTGTAGGGTGTTAATACCTTCTCTACACGTAAATGACTCCCGAACTCATTTTTTGTTTCAAAGATCATATTATTTTTAAATTTTTCCATGGTTTTTCTTAAAATAAACTTTGGTAGTGATTTCTCTGATTTTTAGAAAAATATTTTTATTTTTAAAAGATGTTTTTCTTAAACAAGTTTTTTGCCATACTGTTGTGACCATCTGGTTGCAATATTTATTATAATATCTATAAATAAAAAACACTATATATACTATTTATAAAATAATAAAAACATGTTGCAATTGATTAAAAATACATAATTATAATCATATAAGTTTAAAAGCACATTAAAGAGAAAAGAAAAATGAAAAAAATAGTATTTTTAGGATTTGAGAAAAATTGATTTGTTGAGAAGGAGACACGTGTACTTAGTTGTACCAAAGTTTTTTTAATAATAAATAAATATTTTTTTTTGTCAATAAATAAATAGATGAGTGTTAACAATGTTGCATTCACCTATTTAACATGCATACTAAATAAATAGACGTATTTTCAAGGACATCATGGTAGCTTTTGATTGCGGGACAAAGACATGGAGACACATATATTATGTTTGTCTACTGTTTCCCTAGACAGATAAAGACAGAAAGAATATGCAAGATACAAATTTAAAAGAAACCAGTGTACCTATTGAAAAAAGGGACACTAATGTCCCAGCTATAAAAGGTAATCTTTTGAAGACAAAAATATCTCACATAATTTTAAAAATTAGATAAACTATCTTCATAATTTTTATATCTAAACACAATACAAAACACAATACACTATATTTTATTCTCACTTTTAAACACAATACATGTTTTTCATTATCTTAGTGTCTGTCTCCTCCCGTGTCCAGAAGTATCCAAACGCTACTTATGTGTCATATGGACATCATCATCTCGTCAGGTAGATTTTATCTGCTGACTTGGGCTTGGCCCATTTTGTCTTTTTATATGTTTGGGCTTGAAGACAGGCCCAATGTTTGTCCGAACGTGTTATTCTTCTTTTTCTTCTATTTCATTTCCCACCCTAAAACCCTTCTAAACCCTGCTCCTTCTTCTTCTTCGGCTTCAAGCGAAACAACGCAAGCTTGAGAAGCTAAGAAACAACAATAGTCATGGCACCGCATTCTAAAAAACCGCATAAGAAGAAGGTTTCAGGAGATAAACCAAAAATCAATAAAGCCTCTAAGAAAATATTCAAACCCAAGAGGGAGCAAAACGACGCCGTCGCCGCCGCTAAGTCAGAGACACTCGCTTTGCAACTCGAAGACGATGTTCCCGATTTCCCTCGAGGTTGCGAACGATCCTTCTCTCTCCATTTTCTGTTTTTTTTTTTTTTCATGAAAACTCACTTTCTAATTTGAATTTGCATTTGATTTGAATTGAATGTGTTTCTTCTAGGTGGTGAATTTTCTGTGAAGCGAAGGAATGATGATGATGAGTTTGGGGCCGAGGATCACTCGAGAAAGACGAAGAAGAATTGGAAGAAGGGGAAAACCACGTTTAGTAAGAGTAATGAACCCGCAGATGATTTGGGCTTGCTTTCCGGTGACCGTATCACTGGAAAATTGCCGCGGCGTGTGAATAGAATTACTCTCAAGGTAGCGTGGAGCAATTTGTAAAATGGAGGATACAAATTGGTTTTTTATGCAATTAAATTTTGATAGCAATGCAAATGTTAGTTACTACCTTACGGGTTGTTTTTAAGTGGTTTAAGTGCGATGACTAGTTTCTTCTGCTTTCTAGAGCGGAAATCGATTAATTCCATGCTAAGAATGTAGTCCTAGTGAACTGCAGTGGTATAGAACTGGGAGATTTTTGGTTTCATGATTGAGGGTTGAGTTTGTATGTTCGTGTAATGATGAATTCATTAACTTTTAAAGGTTTTTTTATTTTGAATTTTTCAATTTTATTTAGTTATACAACCAGAATGTTCCAACCAAGCTTTGTAATATGCTCTACTCTTAATTATTATCTTTTTCTTTATTTGGCTTGTTGACAATATGCATTTCGAATGCTTTTGTCTTTGTGTGTGTGCTGTGTTGAAACCTTTTGCTCTTGTACGAATGCCAGAATATAACTCCTGGAATGAAGCTTTGGGGAGTTGTCGCTGAAGTAAATGAAAAAGACCTTGTAGTTAGTTTACCTGGGGGTTTACGAGGATTAGTTCATGCTTCAGATGCACTGGATCCTATTTTTGACAACAAAGTTGAGGTGTGCAATAAGCTTTTATGTCAAATTTCCATCGTTGTTCTTCCTCCTCTCCTTACAAATTATCTTTACTAATGTCTCAACATATTTTTCTAGTTATTTTTTAATTTTGTTCTTTGTCTATCAACTTTAGCTCACCTCTCTGCATCTCTCTCTCTTGCATCAGGTTGCAGAAAGTTTCCTTTCTGGTGTATTTTGTGTTGGGCAGCTGGTTTCTTGTGTTGTGCTAAGATTGGATGATGACAAGAAAGAGAAAGGAAGCAGGAAAATTTGGCTTTCTTTGCGTCTTTCTTTGTTGCACAAGAACTACAACTTGGATGTTGTTCAGGAAGGCATGGTATGTCATTATTTTATTATGAAATTATTTGAAGTTATTTTCTTTAATCATTCATCTAGACTAGGATTTGGTTTCCTCCTTTGGTTTTTAAGAAATTTTCAATTATGACACACTTGGAGCCAGCTATATACATCTCAAGGTAAAGAAAATGTTAACCAAAATCATCATATAGAAGAATAATTTCAACAACATTCAAGCAATTCTACACTGACCCTTACCTTGGATTTTTTTGTGAGTATATTTGAATCAACATGTTTGCTAGTCTCCTGTAATTAGACTGTGGATGGTGGCATTTGAACTTGTATGGATGTAGGATTTATTTCACCCTGCATATGCCTACTTATTGTTGATATATATTCATAGCTTATTTTGTTACATTCTTTACAATTGTTCTGTTTTCTCATTATAAAGCAACTTTACATTAAAAATATAGAAATGGAACTTAGACTTTAATTTGCTAAACATTTAGACTGCTGAAAATTATCAGAATTTAGTGGTTCTGTTTGAAAACTATTCTTTTAAATCAGTTCTATTGAGAAGTTACTATCATATTCTTTTAAATCTGTTTCTTTAAATTTATATTTGTTTCTTGCATTCTAAAAGTGGAAAATAATTCCATTAGTTCATATTATATACATTTTATTATGCTATTCTGATCCAATATGATGATTGCAATGTATTTCTTATTATAAAGGCTGTTGTGTTTCTTGATCACTTTGCCATGTTCAGTGGCTTTCGAGTGTTCTAGGGTTATTGAATATTGATTGATAAGCTTTTGATTTTTGTGCACCTCATATATTCAGGTCCTTGCTGCATATGTGAAAAGCATTGAAGACCATGGTTACATTCTTCATTTTGGTTTGTCTTCTTTCACGGGGTTCTTACCGAAAAACAGCTCTGCTGGTAAACATCAGTCACCTGTTGTGAATTCTTGTGGCTTCATCTAGTCTGGCACGATTGAACTGAGCTAAATTTGTTGTTTTTTTTTTTTTTGCCTCTCTTTTGGTCCAATTCCTGCAGAAAGCTGGGGTGGTGAAGTAAAGATGGGAAAACTTATGCAGGGTTTGGTTAGGAGCATTGATAAAGTTCGTAGAGTGGTTTACTTGAGTTCTGACCCTGGTACAATGTCCAAAAGTGTGGTATGCTTCCTCGGTATTTATCATATTGTCATTTTGGTATCTTTCTTTAATGGTTCTCAATTCCTCTTTCGATTGGTTATTTTACCCGAGCATTTGATACAGACCAAGGATCTTAGAGGTATGTCAATAGATCTTCTAGTTCCAGGAATGATGGTTAATGCTCGTGTGAAGTCAATCCTTGAGAATGGTGTTATGCTATCATTTCTCACATACTTCACTGGAACTGTAAGTGTATCCTGCATTTGTGTTAGTGTTAGGTTGAAATCATAAATGATTGTTTGTCTAAATAAATTCTTTCAACAAATCCAATGTGCTCACATTGAAATCTTTTCATTGCAGGTTGATCTGTGTCATTTACATAATATTTATCCTGGAAATAACTGGAAGGATAAGTACAGTGAAGCTCAGAAGGTACTTGTGCATTTCACCTTTGCATGCAACTTTTGCAACTTGCGCTGCACTCAATTTTTAAATCGAATCCTAGTAATTATTTGATGCTCTGAACTACTTCAGTTTCAAGCTCCTTCTATATAATGTACTAATTTATTGAGTGCAAGATTTTTTGTGCATTTATGCATCATCTGATCTGATATTCAAGTGGTAAAACCTTTCTGATTCTGATGCTTTGCATGTAGAGTAATAGGTTGCATTGGCATTTTTGGTGTCTCTGTTGTTTCAGAGAGACAGAAACACCATTTTCTATGAAAAGAAATTCTCCTTGTTTATTTCTACACACCCCTCTGGTAGAAAACATTAGTTGTGTACTGATTAGTTCTTTGGCATAATTTAATTTCTGATTGCACTGCAGTCATAATGCATCATCGTTTTAATTATGTCATGTGTCATATGTACTTTACTGTAATGGATGTTCACATTTGAATTTGGGATTTGGTTTTTTTGTTTTTAACTTGATGCTCTCTTTTGGTCTTGTATTGTTCTGGACTTCTGGTTAGCTTCTCTTAAAATTAATTTTCTATTTCTCTAAGTGCCTTTTTTGTAATATAGGTTTTTTCTCGGATATTATTCATTGATCCATCAAGTAGAGCTGTTGGTTTGACACTGAATCCACATCTTATTCAAAACAGGGCCCCTCCTTCTGTAAGTACGGTAGCTTATATATTGCTGGTGCTTTTAGAATGGGACATTTCATCCAGTGGAATGGATTCTCTTAACTATGTTTCTTCTCTTTCCCTCAGGAGTTACCCTTCAATGCAGTTAAATGATGCATTTCTTGTCTGATGCTTCCTTAATTAAGATTTTTATTGATCAGAAAATGATTTTGAGTTACTTCAGTAAGCAAAAAAAAAAAAAAATGAAAAGGAAAAGATAAAATGTAAAAAATTACAACTAACCTTGTCACAATACTGGATGACAAAGCATGACAGTTGCATTATGTTCTTCAATATAATTGATAGGATTCCAAGGCAATAATTGATAATGTATTTGAACCAATCCTAAAAGCATTTCTAGCGGTCTCTGCTAGTAGTAGTACAATCTGTCATTGCTTGACTGTCATCAATCAATGAATCAACTACATGATTCCCTATGTATGAGTAGCATAGCTATGAAGTCTCTATACTATACTTTCTGTTGGGTCTGGATGAATCTGAAAGAGTGCTGAGGGTTTATTCAGAAAATTGGAGCCTTAAAACATTGTTTCCAGATATGGTGATTTTGAAAATCATATAAATTTAGGAATTCCAATAACTCAAATTAATCGGTTTACATTTTGTTATTCTAACTTCATAACCCATGGGTCCTTGCTGAAGTTAAATTAGCACATGTATAAACTAGCCTTCCAGTTTCATTGTTGTGAGGCATGAAGTCTACATGCAGCTTTATTTCCTGGTGATTGCGTTAGGTGCTTTACTATTTCAGATACAAGCAGTAATTCATTTCTCCATTGTAAAATCTCTCCCCGCCCTCCCTCCCTCCCTCCCTCTATCTCTCTCTCCCTCTCCTGACAACATTGTTTGTTGGATATATGGCCAAGGCATTATTTGTTTAAGTTAGTAATAATGTGTTGTGTGTTGGAGACTAATGAACTGGTTTTGTTGTGCAGTATGTGAAAATTGGAGATATATATGACAACTCAAGAGTTGTTAGGGTGGATAAAGGATCAGGACTATTGCTTGAAGTTCCATCTATTCCTGAGCCAACTCCAGCTTTTGTTAGTGTATGTAGTGACTGGACAAGTTTTAATGATGGAGAACTTTTGCTGTATGAAATCTGAATGTTTAACTACATTAGAATAACAATGAAGCCTTATCCTACCATGGAAAATGAGGATGATAATTGAAAATTATTGTTGATAGATATCTGATATTGCTGAGGAGATCCAAAAACTTGAGAAGAAGTACAAGGAAGGAAATCATGTTCGTGTTCGGATTCTTGGGTTAAGGCATTTGGAAGGAATTGCTACTGGAGTTTTGAAGGTTGCCATTATATTTTCATTTAATATAATTTCTTAAAGTGGTAAAAATAAAATGTTATTTGCTTATGATTTACGATTCATTCATAAGCTGATCAGCATATACTGGCTAGTTATGATACACTTATTTAATATTTAGTTGATCTACTCTCTACTTTGTGTGTGAACATTGCTATCTGTTGAAAATATATATATTATTTTCTTTATTAAATGTTTATATCCTGTGTCTAACTGGTGTAGACTATTAGGTGGTCCATCAGACAATTGCATTATTGTTTTGAAAACTCTTCTGAACTTGTATGCATCTGTTTTGTGTGTTTATGTGCATTTGAGCTTGGCCTTATGATGGATATAGGAGTTATCACATTCAAGAGTGCTTTATCCTTATTAATCTATGATTGTTTTGAGTGCTCAGAAATAAATGCTAACGGTACTAATCTGTTATGGAATTCCAAATGTAATGATTGTAAATTTGTGACATCTCTGCAAAGTTTTAGTCGTCTGTGAGGGCTCTAACAGATCTGGTCCTTATCGTTTCCTTTCAAAGTTCATTTTTAAATGAACTTGTTTCTTTATTATTGCATGTTAGATTGCTGCCAACCTTTTCATTCATCATTAGTGTTCTCCAGGGTTGTGCTCTCAAATGTTTTCTTTTTGGTGAATGGTTTGGTTGTATCATGGTGTGTTTACCCCATAATCATATCCACATGTGGTATGTTATTGGAATGTGCTGTACTCTTCAAATTAAGAAGAGTATGATTAATTTGTTCTATATTCAATGATTTTCCGCTAATAACTGGTTGATTAATAATGAATGTGTTCTTTCAAAGTCAAATTTATGACATTTCTTGTACATGCTTTTTGAAAATGAAGAAAAATGTTGGATGTTTAAACTGACATAGTGTGCGTTTGGATAACTGCTTATTTAAGAACTTATTCAATAAGCTCTTTTTAAAATGATGAGTTATATAATAAATTTAGTGATGGAACTTGTTGGAATAAGCTAAACAACTTATATTGATAAGCTCTACCAAATAGCTTATTAAAATAAGCTGAAAACAACTTATGAGAGTCATAAGCTGTTCATAAGCTCTTCCAAATGAGCCCATAGTCTATGTTTTCTTTGTATAATGATTTTCTGTGCAAATGTGATTTTAAGTGTGATGTTATGTGGAAGCTGGGAGGTTTTCATTTAATCATCTTTATGTTTTCATATCATGCAGGCTAGTGCTTTTGAAGAGGCAGTGTTTACTCATTCTGATGTCAAGCCAGGCATGGTGGTGAAAGCTAAGATTCTTTCAGTTGACAGCTTTGGTGCTATAGTGCAAATTCCTGGTGGTGTGAAGGCACTTTGTCCTCTTCCACATATGTCTGAATTGGAAATGTCAAAGCCTGGAAAAAAATTCAAGGTTCTATTCTTTGTATGCATGTTGTTGTTAGTATTATCATTTGTTTTTCAATATCGTATAGACCGTATAATGTAGGGTTGTGTTGTGCATGTCTGGGATGGGACATTTTAGACATAATGTGACTGAAGTCTTTGCCTGGATTATGGTACAGGTGGGAGCTGAATTGGTGTTCCGTGTGCTTGGTTGCAAGTCAAAAAGAGTGACAGTTACACACAAGAAAACCCTTGTATGTGTCTACATGCAAACTCTTCTTCTCCACTTTATTCAATCTTAAAGGAACTATAATTAATTGGTTTAATCATTTTTTTAGTTTACTTATCCAGCCTTTCTTTGGATAGAAGTATTATGGCTTAAATACTTTTGTAATGCTTATCAATATAGGGTGTTTTGATTGAAGTCCGTAGTCTTTCTTAATCCCTATAAATCTAGATTGACAGAAATCCAGCTAAGCACTGACACTTGGCAAATTTAATCCAACGATATGGCACACGTCATTGCCTCCTTCCCTCTTTCCCTTTATCTTGCATTTGCGACCTTTAAACACCTCTTCTTCCTCCAATGAAGACTTCCCCACTGGATCCTCTTTAGAGTTTAGATCCCTTTTCTTCCTCCATCTGTTTTATGTCTTTATTTCTTTCTCTTCTTACAAACCCAAAACTCTGGGAAACGATTGGGTAGTCTACAAACCCCTCTTCTTCCTCCATTGAATATCCCTGTTCTTTGCTTGCTACTTCTTCTAATTCACAATCTCACAACCATTTCATCAAACAATAGGTAGGCATAGATGCTCACTAATTCGTGCACAAATACTTGTATACATTCTCATTAATTTATTCATTACACAAAGATTTATATATGTAAAAAATGAACAAATTAAGAAAATAAAGAACAATTTACAGGTTAAATCATGCAATACAAAAGTCATGTAATAAGATGATTCCAAAAGCCCATTTACGAAGAAATGTGGAAGCCGTTGAGCTAGAAATCATTTCAGCTTCTTGAGTTTTAAAGGTTAAAGCTTTGCAGAGAAATCGTGGAATATGGCCTCTGGCTTAGCCGCTGTGAACTGCCAACATTACACCATCAAAATAAAATAAAGAACAATTTACAGCCTAAATCATGCAATACAAAAGTCATGTTATAAGATGATTCCAAAAGCCCCATTTGCAAAGAAATGTGGAAGCCGTTGAGCTAGAAATCATTTGGGCTTCTTGAGCTTTAAAGGTTAAAGCTTTGCAGAGAAATTGTGGAATATGGCCTCTGGCTTAGCTGCTGTGAACTGCCAACATGACACCATGAACACTCCTAAATCCGTGCTTGTTTCTTGAAGTCATCATGTCAAACAACCACTGGTCATCAAAATTGATGCAACCTGGCTGCAAGCACACATCTTTGGCTGCAAGTCTCTTGCTCCAACATATCAGCCACCAACACCCCCCCCTTTTTGTGTTCAAACTATATTTGTTGTTTCCTCTTCTGTGCATTCTGATTCCAGAATCTTTTTTTAAAACAATGGCTCATACTGCTTTTACATTGTTGGATGACATGTCATATGATGACATGGGTGCCTTGTCATTGTCCACGGGAGTTAAATTTGTCAAATGTTATTGCTTGTCTCCTCTGTGCTGTGTTTGGATGGTTCAACATTTTGCTATTATGTTGAGTTTCTCTTCTCTGGTTGGTGATGCTTCCAATTAAAATTGTTTATTCCATTCTATTCTGTCTGGCTGGTTGGATACATCTTAAATTTCTGAAGGAGGATGCTGGGTTCTGTACTGAATTATCTAAGTTCTTTGGTAAGATTATCTAATGTTCTTTCTTTGTCGTAGGCATGGGGATCACCTGTCTCCTTTTTTGTTTACTATTGTGGTGGAAGTTCTTGGTTGTTTGCTTTTCCTTTTGCTATGCACATTTTCCACATGCTTGTTGTCGCATCATTTATTAGTATTTTTGCCCACGTATTAGTTTCATATTGAATTTTAAATCAGACATATGATATTGTTACAGGTGAAATCAAAGCTTGGGATTATCAGTTCTTATGCTGATGCAACAGACGGTTTGATAACGCATGGATGGATAACTAAGATCGAAGTTCATGGATGCTTTGTACGGTTTTACAATGGTGTTCAAGGATTTGCTCCTAGGCAAGTCTCTGATTTGTCTGTTCTACAAGTTCATAACTTTGGATACTTATGCCATTATCACAGTCAATTATATTTTCATGTTTGCTTAAATCGTACGAGCTTCTTTTAGTAGTAGAAATTTCATCTTCATTTCTTCACCTTTTTCTCCTGATTAACTTGTCATCATTAGCATGTGCCATTTATATATTGTTGGATTTTTAAACGTGTGAAACAGTTTTGTTTCTCACAAGATCAATAATATGTCCTATTGTGCCTTAAAACAGTTCTAACTAATGGAGAGTATTTTGGCAATGCACCGAGTTTAAAGATTTCTGTTCTATAATACTTTTATTTCTTTTGTTTATTTGACCTTTTTCTCATATGGTTTTGAAGAATGTTTATTCTGGACTTATCTCTTCTATTTATGAATTCTTTTAGGGAAAAAGATTGAGCCATGTTTAAACTGGATTTTCTGCATGGGTATTCCTATGTGTGTCTGGGTATACATTTAATTTGTTATTGAAATATAAATTGAACTAGTGTTTCATTGGTTTGCAGTAGGGTTTCTTTTTTCTGCCTCCCCCCTTGGATCATTTGTAAATACTAGATTGTACTGAGTGAATGTTTACTTGTGATCCATAGTTTTTTTTTTTTTTCCTGTTGTATGGATTTAATTACTTTCGTTTTCTTAGTAATTTTCATCTTATCTCATGAGAGGAAAGTTTATCTGCGAATTTCTTGCTATCTTGGTTGGCCTAATTTTAAAGTTGAAGAAATCTCAAACTGTCAAGCCTTTATTTTTGCTGTGCATTATCTTCCTATTTTCTGTTTTGGCTTCTTGAAAAGTTGTTGACCCTCACCTAGTATGTTGAATTGTTGACTACATTCCAGTTGTGGTTTGAATCTGTGTGTTATTGTCTTTCCCTTGTGAATTCTGTGATTATATTTTCAGCTAAAATTATGTTGTTGATTGTTTTGATATAAGAGCAGATCTGAACTTGGATTAGAGCCAGGTGCTGATCCAGGTACAGTGTACCATGTTGGTCAAGTTGTCAAATGCCGGGTCACAAGTTCCATTCCTGCTTCACGGAGGATCAACCTTAGTTTTGTAATAAAGCCCACAAGGTTTGCTTCTTTTTCACTGTAACAGCTTGGACCCTGCTTCTTGAAATTTTTACTAATTTTTTTAAGTATATAATTGATCAACACTGTATTTTTTTGGGGGGATATCTTATACTTCCTCCTAAATGTAAAGTGTATGTTGAGTTCTTTCAATTTTTATGAAAACAGTTATGTAGAGGGCTATGCTTTAAAACTACAGGCAGACATTCTGCTGGGGTACAGATTATTCTAATTTAATGCAACAATGCATTTGACAGGGTTACTGAAGGTGATATGGTTACATTGGGTAGCCTTGTTTCAGGAGTTGTTGACAGAATAGCATCTAATGCTGTAGTTGTTTGTGTCAATGCAAGTGGTTTCTCAAGGGGTACAATATCTGAGGAGCACTTGGCGGATCATCATGGTAAAAGTTATCCTTATGCTTGATAATGGCTTTACCATTGCTGCTGCTTCTTAATTCAATTGCTAATTTTAACTTCTTATTATGCAGGACAAGCTATTTTGATGAAATCTGTGTTGAAACCTGGGTATAATTTTGATCAACTACTGGTTCTAGGTAAATTCAAGATATTCATTACATCTTTATGTGTTTGTATGATGTATCTCTTAACCATCTGGCCCATATTTTAAAGCTGAGTGTCACTCATGTCCTCCTTTTCCTACTTTCTCATGGTTCTTGTTTGCCTAACATTTGCAGTTAGGTTACTTATCATATGATTTTATGCGTTTATGATGAGGTATGCATATGCATGTCTGCCAATAACCATCTTAATGCGTTTAATTTCCCATTTCCATCTGAATTACCCAGAAGCAATGCAGTGCTAAATCGTCTTGCATTTTAACTTGGAAGTATCCAATGACATCTCAATGTTATCGCCTGAGCAAAGTTGTTAGAGAGGCATGAATTGTTAACAGTGTTCTGTGTTATAGTTTCATTTATTGAGGTTTGAAAGTTGAAACTATTTTTGTCCTGTAGAGTTAGGGAAAGTACCCAGTTAGCCACATTTTAATTAACTACTATATTAATTATTAGTGTTTTTGTACCATAATTGTACTGAACCTAAAGTATGAGAATAATTAAGAGGTCAGTTTTTACATCGCCACATCATAAATATTCAGATTCTTATCTCTTTAATTCCAACAGTTTTTGTAAGAAACTGTGTTGTGTGTGAAACAGAAACTTAAGCAGCAGAATTTCTTTGATGTTATTTCTTCAATATGAATGGGATTTACGTTATTGTTCTCTGTCTTTTTCTTTTCAGTGTCATTTATAAAGTTGATGAAACATGTCACAAACTTACAATTATTAATTTAATGTTTCATTTTAATCAATGTAGATGTTAAGGGGAATAATTTGGTTCTGTCTGCCAAAAGTTCACTCATCAAATATGCTCAGCAGATTCCTGCAAATATCAGTCAGATACAACCTAACTCTGTTGTGCATGTAAGTGATGATATGAACTGCTTCTGGTACTTTTTGATGGACACAAAAGTCCTTTTAATTGATTTAGTTATTTTCTAAGTTTCTTTCTTGTCTATGACATTCTGTTGAGATTTTACTCCTTTGTATAAATTGTGTTTTGTACAGGGCTATATATGTAACTTGATTGAGACAGGCTGCTTTGTTCGTTTCCTTGGTCATTTAACCGGTTTCGCTCCAAGAAATAAGGTATTTTAATTTAACCCTCCCCCCTCTCTTTTCCACGTGTAGATCTAGAGTAGGCACTGATAGTCTGAATATAATATCTCTTGTGTAGGCTGCAGATGACCAGAAAACCAATATTTTGGAAGCCTATTATGTTGGACAATCAGTTCGCAGTAATGTATCCAATGTTAGTATATTTCAGGCAGTAAATTTCAATTTCATGAAAGTTTAGTGCAGGCTAAAACAGGGTTAATCTCATTATTTTTTTCTTCATCAGATTAGTAGTGAAACTGGTAGAGTGACACTTTCTCTAAAGCAGACAGCATGTTCTTCAACTGATGCATCATTTATTCAGGACTACTTTTACATGGATGAAAAGGTATAAACGATTATCAAATACCTCTATTATTATTGACATATAGTCTTGTGTTTTGCATTCTATTTATTAAATTGTTTATATTATGCATGCAAGCACACACATAGATGTCTATCCTTGTGTTGTTTCCAAGCCTTAATTAAGGCAGGCCACGAGGATGAGGATCATATGCCCAGTACACATTTATGATCTTGTTGGCTTACTCAATTTCTGTCCAGACTGTTATGTGAAATTTGGAATTAGATGCCTAAGTTCATTTGGTTCATTTATTCTGATTAGAAAATCATATAGGTATCCACTTTGTTGTGCAATTAGGTGAGGGGATGAAGTTATAATGTGGTTTTATTATTTACTTCCCTCTTGTGGTATTTTTCTGAGGGATGAAATTGTATTTGTTATTTGCTATATAAAATAACATTTTTTTATTGTTTCTATATGTGTATTCTGTAATTTATTTGCCTCCAACCACATTTTCTCCTATTTCCTCATAGGAATTTCTTTCACAGCCTCTCCCTTTTCTATGACTTCTAATCTTATGTGCATCTTTGACTCTAGATTGCAAAGTTGCAATGCTTGGGTTCTGATGGATCTGATTTGAAGTGGGATGAAGGATTTAACATTGGTACAGTTGCAAGAGGGAAAGTTGAGGATGTTAAGGATGTCGGTCTTGTTATAAGCTTTGAGAAATGCAATGATATTTTTGGTTTTATTACCAATTATCAGTGTAAGTTCACTTTCTCTCAGGTGTTGTTTAATTAATAACTAATATGTTAGTGTTTCTTGCTTGATTGCAAGTACTAATTCTCATTCTCATATGAATTACTTAGTAGCTGGAACAATTGTGGAGAGAGGCTCTGTAGTGGAAGCATTAGTTCTTGATGTTGCAAAGGCAGAACGACTTGTTGATTTAAGTCTGAAGCCTGAGTTCATTAATAGATCTAAAGAAAGAAATTCCATCAGTCGTACCAACAAGAAGGTTGACCCCCTTTCCACTGTCTGTGTATTTATATTTTATAGCAGTTTTGTCTGACATGGCAGAGAAAGAGCTGAGTAAATTTTTTTGTACAAATTTATGCTATGGAACCATCTTTATGAAATTACTATTTAATATTCAAAATAATCATATTGCATTATATCTTGCTTCTTTCTGATAAACTTCCTCCTCTCTCCCAAGGAAAATAAAAATGTTGAATTTTTTTTATGTTATGATTATGGTTTTATGCTGCACATTGAATCTTGTCGTAAGAAGGGCAGGCTTGTGCAGAGAGGTTTCTTCCATCATTCATTCTTGATCTACTTTGACCAAATCAATGTAATACTTTCGTTCCAGAAACGTCAAAGGGAGGCATCGAAGGACTTGGTATTGCATCAGATGGTGAATGCAGTAGTGGAAATTGTAAAAGAAAATTACTTGGCAAGTGTTGATATTATTCTTCAAATGTAGCCATCTTCTGGTAAAACTTGTTCATGCATATTGACATACTTTACTGAACTTATTCTCCACAACGCAGGTTGTATCAATTCCAGATAATGATAGCACAATTGGGTATGCATCAGTATCTGACTATAATACACAAAGGCTTCCTCATAAACAATTCCTAAATGGGCAGAGGTAAGCACAAAATTAGCTGATTAAAAGTGTCAATTCAGGTTTTCACTTGTATCTCATCTCATCCTACTAAACTGCCAGCCAGCATTGCCTATTTGATTCTAGACTGTAATTCATCATTTGCATGCAACTGACTTATTGTGTTGACCTTAATGAGATTTGTGGTTGGAAATGCTCCTCTTTTTTTTTTTTTTGGGAGGGGGTGTACAAGCAAACTCTTATTTATATTCTGTTTATTTCTCTTTTCATATGTTTTTGTTACCCTGTTGTATACTTTGGAGAGATTTCTTTTACCCCACAAAATTTGGACTTTTGTAGTTCTTTTCCTTACTCTAGTATATCTTTCTTCAATTTCTGCCTTAATCATTTACTAATAATTGTTTTCTACTTGCTAGTCTTGTCTGCATCTCCTTGTAAAGTTATGGTTTCTGGTTGCGGTGCTTAATTTGTTTTTAGCTGATTATTTTTTACATGTTTATAGACCAAATATTTATGCTTAATAGATGCCTCGTGCTCATATATTGTAAAAAAAGTCGGTGTTTTGTTTTACCTGTAATATATGAGGCATATGGTTTTTGATTAATGTATTTCAAAGGTTTTGGAACATGCGAATGCTCTTTTAAGCATTCAATATTTAGCAGATGTATCATGCAGATTCATGCTTCTGAATTATAGTTCTACACTTTTTTCTTATAAAATATCTTTTTTATTTTAAAAAGAGAATTGTTTTCATGAGGGGAAGTTTCACTATGTTTTCCTGGTTTTTCCACAACTCATTGTGTAATATGTTTTACTTGGTCAGTGTTGTCGCAACTGTTATGGCTCTTCCAAGCCCTGAAACATCAGGAAGGTTGCTTTTACTTCTTAATGAGGTCAATACATCTAGTTCTAAAAGAACGAAGAAGTCTAGTTATAAAGTGGGATCTCTGGTTGAGGCCGAGGTATGTGAGTTTTTCTAATTCATTTAAATTTTATTATGTGCACGTGTTAATGGGTATGTGTCAGTATATATTTGTCAGAAGGTTGCTCACTGCATAGTGACATGCACAGTTACATGGAGCCACTCTAAAGCTTCTTTGCACTGACGTGCTTGTTTATTGATAATTATTTCTCTTTTTACAGTTTTTGGTCTTTCTGCTTGTAAACTGACCTTTCCCTCAATATTTCTTGTTCTAACAAATTAAAAATGTGTTTCATGAAGTTTCTTTTTTTTATGATATTGTTATCCAGATTACTGACATCAAATCTCTTGAGATGAAACTGAAGTTCGGATTTGGTATACATGGCAGGGTTCACATAACAGAGGTAAATCTATTCTGTTTACTTTGTCAATATTTAATTAGCATTATAAATTGTGGATTTGATAATTCTCCAAGCTTCTGCCATTATATGGCTTTGAAATTGTGACCTAGGTCATGTAGCAACAACCTTGATGTAGCAGTGCAGCAAGGCTTGCCCCGCCACTCTTGTTGATTCGCTATCTATTTTTGTTTTAGTATAGTATTTTCTCAATGGTTGGGTGCCTATCTATGGACAGGTGCACGATGCAAAGGTTTTGGAAAATCCATTCTCTGGCTACAAAATTGGGCTAAAAGTGACAGCAAAGATTGTTGCAAAACCTAATGAATCAGATGGCAATAGGAAGGGCTCACGGTGGGAGCTAACAGTCAGACCAGAAATGATTGCAGGTTGAGTACACCACTAGATGAAAAATATATGTATGAATGGTTGAAGTACCGGGTAATTTGTAGATTGAAACATATATGCAGAAAGACTAGTGAATTTTAAGAGCAATAATCTGTTTCATAAGCATGAGCCAAAATATGGACTCCTCTTTAGTGGTGCTTTGGAGGTAGATCAAATAGCTACATTCTTATTGGGAGTTCTTTTTACCTTCCATCCTTATATTATTACCATATTTGTCTCTTGCCGTTATATATTGATATTGACTATGTTTTACATGTTAATTGAAAGCAAAGGTACATATATTTTCTTCCCCACCTGTTTTAAAATGAGTGATAGAAGTAATCAGAACTGAACATTGGTTTGGTATTCATTTATTTTATTATAGTTGGTTGTTTTTTTCTTCTGAAATTATCATACTTTTGCTGCAATTTAATATGCAATTTTCTTCAATTCAGGTTCCAGTGATAAAGGTGATGTTTCTGAAAATCTTGACTTTAAAATTGGGCAATATGTGGCTGGTTATGTATATAAAGTAGAAAGCGAATGGGTCTGGTTAACAATATCTCAAAATGTAAGGGCTCAGCTATATATTCTTGATAGTTCTGTGGAACCCCATGAGCTTGAGAATTTCCAGAATCGGTACCATGTTGGGCAACCTGTTTCTGGTCATGTTCTAAGTATCAACCAGGAGAAGCAGCTATTGCGGTTGGTTCTACACCCGTTTTCTGCTCTCCCTTGCAGAACTAGTGAGGAGCCACAAATTAATTCTGTGGAAAAGGATTTAACAGCATATGTTCATGAAGGAGATATTTTAGGTGGAAGGGTTAGTAAAGTACTTCCAGGTGTTGGTGGATTGCTTGTCCAAATTGGTCCTCATGCATATGGAAGAGTACATTTTACTGAACTTTCAGACACTTGGGTGCCTGATCCACTGTCTGGATATCATGAAGGGCAGTTTGTCAAATGTGTAGTTCTTGAAGTCAGCCACACTGTCAAGGGTACTATTCATGTTGACTTGTCATTGCGGTCTTCCAATATAATGCTTTCTCAGAATTCTGCAGATGTTCACAGCATTGGGTAAGTAATAGTACTGCTACTTTGTGATAAATCTTTAAATAGTCCTAGCCTGGTCCTTTTTGTCATACTAATATGCAGTTGGCCGTCAACTTGAATATTTAAATCTAGTGCATTTATTTGTTTCCAGCTATTGAATGAGAAAAGTGAAAGAGCATCTGGATAAATTTGTGTCGCAACTACATAATGGAATTATATTTATATTAGTTATTATAATAATTATAGAATATTCCGTTACTTAATTAATATAATTAGAAAGAGCATTAGGATTGATTGTATTTATATCCATTGATTTACTACCCCTGTTCAAAGCATGGGTTGATGCCTTAGTTGTGTTAAAAACATATACATTGTATACTATATTGTTGTTGTTGACTTATTATTATTGATCTGTTATACTTGATAATTTACTTCCAAATATAATATGGATTGTTTATTTTTCAGGAATGCTAAGGGCAAATGTGTGGAGAAGATTGATGATCTTCATCCTGATATGATTGTAAAGGTTTGGGGCTTTTTTGCCTTTTTCTCTTATCATTATTCTTTATTACTAGGCTTTATGTTAGCTTATTTAATGTAAGGTGTGTACTTACTGTCACATTTCATGGAGTTTTGAGTTGTTAATCGGTCATAACATTCATCATTTACATGGAAAATTATGTTTTTAGAATTATTTACACTTCTTAAGGGGGTTTGGAGGGGTGGGGTCTTTTTCAGAGATAAATACTGCTATTTTCCAAACATTGTCTTTATTTTTTTTTTTCACAAGCTTTTTGTTCCTAAATTGTAGTTTTCTATCTTTGTATTTTTCTTCAGGGAGGACATCTAAGTGCCTTTCCTTTGTTATACTCCACGCCTCTCTCTGTAATTCTCTTCCATGGAATAAAAAGAAAGGAAAATTATTTTTGCTAGACACCATATTGTTTTCTAGGCCTGTCATTTGTATGGGAATTGGGGAAAAATGTTTTCCTGAGGAATCTCTCATTTGTAAAGTTTGATTTTATATTACAGGGACACTATCATTGTAAGTTCTACAGTTTTCATTTCTATTTAAAGTGTCATTTGCAATATTTTATTGTCAATTTTAAGAATGTCTTGGTGGATTAAATTGTTTCAACTTATTCAACAACCTAAATACTTTGCTCAAATTAGATATAATTATGCAACATGATTACTATATGCAGTTGAGTCATAGGTACTTGTCAAGCTCTTATTTCCAAATCTTATTTAGTCTACTTTTCAACTGGTGATAACAAACTTGTCACAAGATGGGAAGTGAATGAGTGCAATGTTGTTTTACCTATCAAAAGTTTTGTTCCCTCTATGATGAACTGCTGGGTGGATAATTTTTTGTCAAGTCTAAGCATGTATTGGTGGCACATCTTTTTTTGCTTTTCCATTTTTCCCCTCTAAATATGGGATATTTTATCTTTTGGATTTATTTCAATGTTTTCTTTTGGCTAGGGTTATGTTAAGAATGTCACACCAAAAGGATGCTTCATTTTTCTCTCACGAAAGATTGATGCCAAAATTCTTCTATCCAATTTATCTGATAATTATGTCAAAGATCCAGAGAAAGAATTTCCTGTTGGAAAACTTGTAATTGGCAGGTAAGTATTCAACCTGCTGATTCTATTGAATTTTTAACATGTGATACATGAAAAAATGTACTAAGACAACAAATAGCAGGGTTAAATCTGTGGAGTCTCTTTCAAATCGTGTTGAAGTTACACTGAAGACATCAGCGATTTCCAATCGACCAAAATCTGAGATTATTGATTTGACTAAATTTCATGTCGGAGATGTTATATCTGGCAAGATTAAGCGGGTTGAGTCATTTGGTTTATTCATTGCAATTGACAACACAAACATGGTATTTCTGCAACCTTGGAAGCCGTTTCTGGTCCATTGTAATTGTAATTATAAGTATTATGATCAAAATAAAATGAGGAAGTGTAGATTTTTTTCATGCTTTTAGCTTGTTAAGTGTATGCATTGTTAAGGGTTTATCTATTTCGTAACTTGGGTGGCTCAAATGCTTGCAGTTTTTTTCATCCAAAAATTTGTGATTGTATTATGTCAAATTATGATTTTCAAAAACCATGGTCTTAAGAAAGTGGTAGTGGTCAACTTGATTCTGTGAACTCACTTGATATCCTTCAATTACATAGGTTGGGTTGTGCCATGTATCAGAGATTTCTGATAACCATATTGAGAACATTGAGGCAAAGTATAGAGCTGGAGAGAGAGTAAATGCAAAAGTATTGAAGGTAATTAAAGTACCAAAGTCTTGCATATGCTGCTGGTTTCTAAATTTTTACCAGGTTGTGGTTTTAAATTTAATTTGCAGGGCATCTTCTATCTATGAACTGTGGCTAATTGTATCATCCCATGTATAATGTTTAATTGGCAGTGCTTTGCATGAGACCTGTTGATTGTCTCTGTAACTTGTTGAAGAAATTTCCAGTCAGATCAATGTATTAATGATTAAAAATTTGCATTTTTTAATAAGGGTATATATGCATCTAACTGACAACCTGAATTCCTCTAGGGTGAAAAACTGGGATCCAATGAAAATATGGACAAGTTCCTTGAATACATTTATAACGAGTAGTAGTAATTTGGTGAAGTTTATCCAGAATTGACAGATAACTAAAGACCCTTCTAGAACACCTCTAAACTGTATAGTAACTTATTTAGACTCTAATTCCATCTTAATCATCTTTAAATTGAATGCAATAATTCATTCCCTTAATACATTATCATCTTGAGTTTTTTATTGTCCTTTTTCATAGGCTTCTTTGTTGATCAGTTCGTATTGTAGTACTAAATTATTATATAACTGCATTTTCCTAACATATATAATCAGGTGGATGAAGAAAGACACAGAATTTCTTTGGGAATGAAGAATTCATATATGAGGGATGAAGCTGTGCTTCAAACACCATCAAAGGAAGGATCTGATGAACCTATTGCAGATGGGATGAAGTCTTTGACTTTTATCAATAGTAGTTTTCTTGGAAGCTCAAATATAGATGTTGAGGATGAAATTGATCAATTCCCAATTCTTTCACAAGCACAACAAAGGGCAGACGTTCCTCCACTTGATGTTGCCCTTGATGACTTTGATCAATTTAATGTAAATCACACTATTAGTCAAAGTGAAGAACATGCAAAGGAAGAAGACACAATAAATGAAAAGCATAAGAGGCATGAAAAGAAGAAAGCAAAGGAGGAGAGGTTAATTAATGCCTGTAGTTATTTAGCATTTGCTTTGCTATAATTTTTATAATTTTTCCTATAATTTTTCCTTTCGCTTACTAATTTTTAGTGTGTGAATTATACTTACAGGGAGAAACAAATAAGAGCTGCTGAGGAAAGGCTACTGGAGGAGGATGTACCAAGAACTGCTGATGAGTTTGAAAAGCTGGTCAGAAGGTCTCCTAATAGCAGTTTCATCTGGATAAAATACATGAATTTCATGATTTCTATGGCTGATATTGAGAAGGCCCGCTCTATTGCTGAAAGGTACATCTAAGGAACACTGATTTTGAGTTTGGATTTTAAAACAATTATGAAATTGAAACTTGACTTTATTAATGTTGATTTAAATTTTATACTCCTCCTTATCTTTTTTTAGGATCCATAAACTACTACCTAATCTAAAGCAAATATTGAGCAAATAAAGGGTCTTAACATTTCTTTTGTCAATTATTGGGCTATTAGAGATTGAACCTTCATCTATTGGAGGAAGAGTTTTTTTTATATGAGCACTAACCTTTAAAAATGTTGAGCTTAGAAGCTATTATGCAACATATTTTTGGTTTGAGAATCTTTTTGTTCTCATTTCTTGTTTTTATGAATATTTACAAAATTGTCATATTTTTTTTCACTTTGTTTTCAAATATTTCTATACATGAATCAGTGAAAATAACCTTTTTCTACCATTTTTTATACAAGTCTTTAAAAATAATAAACAAGTGAAAACAAGGAGGTGTTTTTGTAATTTTATTTAAAATGACATTTTCTCAAACCGAACATGTCCCCTTGATTTTTTGTACAGTCTATGATTTCAGCCAAGGTTGTTAAGTTCGAGAGTTTACGTAAACTCGTTGAGTGTCTGAAAACTCAAAACATAAATTCTTACAATCATGTAAAAATAATATTTAAAAATTCATAATAATGAAATAAAGTTCAATAATAAAGTTAAAATCATACTTAAATAGCCAAATCATATAATGATAATGTGATTTTGGTGCCATAATTATAAATGTGATGTTTCACAACTTGCAGAGAGGGGTGAAAAGTGGTGCTGTCATTCCAAATGGTGTTATTTTGGTGAAAAAATAATACTTTAATAGCCAAATCATATAATGATAATGTGATTTTGGTGCCATAATTATAAATGTGATGTTTCACAACTTGTGGAGAGGGAAGAAAAGTGGTGCTCTCATTCCAAATGGTGTTATTTTGGTGAAAAAAAAGTGATTTGCCTTTGTTTTGTTTAACTCGTAAAATCGGGTGTAAACTCACAAGTTTATCCAAAAACGAGTTTACAAGCGATTTGACATGTTTTCCTTATCTAAGATGTATGAGTTATATCGAGAGTTTAACAACCATGATTTCAGCCAAAGCAGCTATCTCAATGGGTTGGATAGTGCTTCCTGCAAATTACACACATGGTTCCAACACTCAAAACATTTAACTATGAGGATGCAGTGAGGACATGATAAGATTCGTTGTTATATTTAAAAGGCCTCATTATATTGATCCTGATTGGTGATAAAAGAGAAAAGTAACATAGGAATCAATGTTATGTACTATCTGAAGTATGAAGGTTCAGCTAGGTTCAGCACTTCAGTAATATCTTTCAAAAATGCACTTTGTCTAAATGATGCTGTGCATGTGTTGTCATTGTTAATAAAATTTTAAAGTGGAACGACTTGAGGCTAGTCACACCAATTGCTTACTAGTATCTCTAAGGTAATAAAAGTGGGAAAAATCACGAGTTATGTAGTTTGTTTTTTCCTATGATTGCCTTTTAAATTTCTGTTAGAAACATTCTTTGAACAGTGTAGTTGTATCTACTCGTTACATTGTATTGCTCCCCCTAAACTTGTCACAATACATCCATGGATGTGAATTTCATATGACTCTAATCATCTGGCTTCATATTTTTCTTCTCTCTTGAATTGTAATTTTTAAGGGCTCTGAGGACAATAAATATTCGAGAAGAGAACGAGAAGCTAAATATCTGGAAGGCCTACTTTAATTTGGAAAATAAGTATGGAAACCCTAGAGAGGTAAAAGAGAGTGCAATTTCAGTTTGTTTCTTCACTAATATTGTGATGTGGGTATTCTTATTAAGTGTCTCTGTGTAGGAGGCCGTTATGAAAGTATTCCAAAGAGCACTACAGTACAATGATCCCAAAAAGGTCTATCTAGCACTCTTGGCAATGTATGAGAGGACCGAGCAGCATGATTTAGCTGATGAACTTCTCAATAAAATGACAAAGAAGTTCAAGCATTCTTGCAAAGTATTATATGAACTTTTAAATATAAATATCACTCTTTTGATCTAAATTAAAAGTGCATAGGGAACTTAATTTACCCTTGATTTTAGGTTTGGTTGAGGCGTGTACAAAATCTTTTGAAGAAAAAGCAGGATGGAGTTCAACCTCTTGTCAATCGAGCTTTGTTAAGCCTTCCACGACATAAGCATATTAAATTCATCTCTCAGACAGCAATTCATGAATTCAAGGCTGGGGTTCCAGATCGAGGGCGATCCTTGTTTGAAGGAATTCTACGGGAATACCCAAAGAGAACAGATCTGTGGAGTGTTTATCTTGATCAAGTATATCCTTCTCCGCCTCACTTTCTTTTTGTACTAATGTATTATTATGAATCTAATATATTCGTGTACTTGACAGGAAATTCAACTTAAAGATGAAGATATAATTCGTGCACTGTTTGAAAGGGCAATTAGTCTGAGCCTCCCACCTAAAAGGATGAAGGTGTGTACATATCTATATTACCAATTTTGCTTATGTTGTTTTACATGTTTCCTGTCAGACTCACTTGGGACTTTGTTGTCTTGATTGGCAGTTCTTATTTAAAAAGTATCTTGATTATGAGAAGTCCCACGGTGATGAAGACCGTATTGAATCCGTGAAGAGGAAGGCAATGGAATACGTTGAGAGTTCTATGGCTTGATACAAAATCATTCTCTAGCTTTGAAATTTTCAATTAGCGGCCATTGCAGAGTCCTAAGTGGATATCTGAAGTCGAGTTTGCGTTTGTGGATGCATGTTAACCCGGGAAACAGGATGAGTCTGGGCTGGTTGCCTCTGTAAATTTTAGTGGTTCAAACGCTATTTGATACACTGCTGATTGGCTCTCTGCAGCATAACGAGGGCATGGATGAAAGCTTATAAGGTGAGATGTGAATGCACCAAAATATGAATTGCAAGAGAATGACGGATCTTGATTTTGGTTACTCAATTTGGTGGTGACTGGTGAGGTTTGAATTTAGGAGATAATATAGGTCACTGTATTCTCTGTCTCCTGCCCATTTTTTTACTTTTGGGCTGTATTTTTTCAGCTTGACGATAGATTTGTAGCAGTACACAAAAAATCATGGATGCTTAGGGCTAACAGGCTAGACTATGCTGTAATTTTGGAATAATTCTTTTATTGCAATTAATTGAAAATGTACTCATTATTCTGTCGCATCGCTATGCTTACGTTCATAAATGAGGTATTATCTACTTTATGTCCACATTATTGAATGTCACACTTGCCTTCGATTCAAAGGGGAAAGGGAGAGGAAGAATTTTTAATGGAAGTGAGGACGGAAAGTTTCTTATTTGATTTGGTTCGGTTCAAGTAAAGGAAGAGAAAAATTGTCTTGTTTAATTAGGGAAGAGGAGTGAAAACATGTAAGATGTTATATTCTTAACAATTGTTTTTTTAATTAACAAGCACCAGTTATCCACATCACTATAATGAAGTAAATTATTCTGAACAATTTATATTTTATATGTAGTTACATGTTTTTTGAGCTTTCATATGAAATTAAACTAATCTTTTAGTTAATTGTTCATCTATAGGAGACTTTTACTAAATTTCATTAGTTAATGTTAAAGTTTTCTCAACCCATATTAGGCATTGTAGGATAGTTGTAAATCACTAATGAATTTTTTTATTCATCAAAATATCAAGTCAAGAATTTAAAATTTACTATAATTTTTTTATTTTCTTAAATTTAGAAAATCATATACATAATATATAAAATACTAGAATATATTGCTTTTTCATAAGAATAGAAATCATCTTGGAATCCAATTTTTTGAGAATGCCATTTTTTTAAAGAATGAGATATACACACGGAGCAAGTACCAGTCTGAAAATTCATACTTCAATTCTTACACCTATTCTGTCCGATTTTTTTTTATCTTATTTTTAATTAAATGTTAAATTTTAAACTTAATTTATCATAATTATTAATATCTATAATTAAATTTGACTTAAATTTTTTATTCTAATTTATAATTTGATATAAGAAAACTGTTAACCTTCTACTGCTAATAAAGTCTAAACAAAATTTCGGTATAATAATACATACTTTTTTAATATTATTCTCCAATTAAAAATAAATTTATTTTACTAACTAGCATTGACCTCCATTATAATAATTAAGGTGAAATTTTAATTGTAGTTAAAAATAACATAAAAACCACTTCAGATATTGCACTTAAATTTCGTTCTAAAGTCCATTGCAATTTAATTTGTTAGTTTTGTTATTTAAACAACTAAAAAAAGTAACACTATGTTATTATATGCAAATATTTTTATTTCTTAGTTTTTAAATTTTTTTTATGCGTATCCTAAAATAATAAAAATTCATCTCAAACACATAACGGCTTTCCTCCGAATAATTCGAAAAACATTTTCCTTAATTTGTCAATTTGTACGATTATTACAACTTCTGATGTTGTAGGTTAAAAAATAGATAAAGAAAGCAAAAACTCAGGTTACTATCACTTTCAATTTATGGTTCTACTCAACAAATTTTGTCGATAAATTATTCATGAGAGAATGTTCCTTTCAAATTTAAATTTAATAGACAGTAACATTGAACGGTTAAAACTGCTGGCTATATAAAACAAAACAGAATGCAAGAGCGAGCATCCACCACTTCGATTCGTCGTCTAAAATTAGTTACACCATAACCTCAGTCATATGTCACCACAATTTCACTCTCTTTCTCCACTTTTCTTTGATGATGTTTAATCAATCACATTTTAGATCTCACAACTAAAACACATGTCGGTATGTTTTTTTTTTCCTGCTGCGATGTTGTTATCATTTACACGGCTTGATGAACAAAAATCAATTGGGTCTGTTATTATGTTTCAAATTTTGAGCTTTGTATTCTTGTATGTTTGTTTCTTGGGCTGTTTGGAAATTAATCAGAGGAGGTGGAAAAACCAGATTTTTGAAAAGTTGATTTGTTGGTATCTTAAAAGTTAAAATTAACTGTTTTAGGAGCAAATGTGTTACTGTTGATAAATTTCTCTCTCGCCTGTGTTTTCAATAAATGATGATGATGTCTGAAATCCTGCTGTACAATGATATTGATATTTAAAGGGAATTCAACAGTTTGTCAAATAGCTCACATACTCCAGAAATCTTTTCTTAGCTTATTCCAATAAGCTTCTCAGATATAACTTATTAAATAAGTTTTTTTTTTTTTTTAATCTTATTCTATTATGTTTCACAATCAAATTTATGTCACAAGTTCTTACGTGAAAAAAACTTATGGAATAAGTACTTAAATATGTTGTTTACCCAAATGCAATCGTCAATATTGTGCAGTAGATGCTGAAATGTTTCTGATATTATAGGAATGCTAGAAATTATTTAGTGAATTGGAATTATATTTTAGAATTTGAGTGTTTGTTTTGTTTGTTTGTTTTTTAAGGATGTGAAAGAGTGTAAGTGGGTGATGTTTTATTTGTAGGTTTCACCAAGAATGGACCAGCCTACAACTAATGTGGACCTTGAGCATGAGAAGATTGAAGATGAGAAAGAAGGAGGTCCCTTGTTGCATTGTGATCTTTGTGATACAGAATTAGTTCACAGATTGGCTCAAATGTTGATGCCAGCGTTAGCCTGTGCCTGTGTTGATAACACAACAGGAGACCCTTTCAAGTCTCCGGGTTCGGTGGCTGTTGATTTGAGAAAGGAAATGATAGATTTTGTTACCCAAAAAAGTGAATCGTTCATTGCTGAGTCTGTTATCTTAGAAGGAGACCCAGAAGGTGGAGTGTTGGATCATCCTTTTGATATCATTTCCTATTTTGTTGATGAATTTGCAAATTCCAAGAGGAATTTGTTGAGCCAGGTTTCAGGATGGCTACTAAGTGACTTGAGAGAGGACAAAATAGATGATTTTGTTCAGGAGATGGGAATGAATGGTTTTTGGTCACTGGATAGAAGAGAAGCAGATGCAAAAACTTGGCTCAAGAATGTTGACTTCAAGAACTTATTTCATTGTAGCATGAGTTTTAACAATGCACAAGATCTTGCCAACCATGTTGATGATTGCAACTTTAGATCTATGATTTGCTCAAATGAGGGATGTAATGCAAGGTTTAGTGCTTGTCATTTGAAGGAGCATGATTCAAATTGTCCTTTCAAGATAATTCCATGTGAACAAAAGTGTACAAATAGCATTATGAGACGCGAGATGGATAGGCACTGCATAACTGTTTGTCCAATGAAGCTTGTGAATTGTCCTTTCTATGCAGTGGGTTGTGGATCAGCTATTGCCCAATCTATGATTGAAAAACATTTTTCAGATGAACTTCAATCTCACTTATTGCACATACTCAATAGCATCCACAAGAAAGCAGCAGATGAAGATCTTAAACGACGAGTAGAGCAAATTGTACAGGTTAGTCAACAATCAACATAGACCATAATGACTCCATAATGTTATTCGGTGTTTTAGTGTAAGAAAAATACTTCCATGGTTGAAATTCAGCACTTGAAAAAATACTTCCATAATGACTCCATTATTTTTTTATTATTTTAAGCAGAAAATTTGTTAGAAACATTCTAAATACTTGAAGAACTGAGGGACTGTTAAAGGAAAATTGTGTCATTTATATAAATGAATGAGGGTCGATAAACCAAAGTTAATTTTGAATGTAGGGCCACCAAACTATTTTCCAACTTTTTTTGGTTATTTATTTACAAACATGATTCATAATAGAATAATATGGCGTTGTGCGATCCATATACCGCTCCACTTAGTGAGAAAAGACTCAATTGTTGTATTAATGTATTCATAGACCTCATTAAAATTTTTCAAGGCTCACTTTTCATTTTGAACTTTTGTTATCAAATATCCTCTTCATTATGTTTCAGTTTCAAAAAAGGTCTGAGACCAAATGTGGGGAGGTGTGGAGGGTAGGTTTAAGTTATTTGTATGAGTTTCTAGCTATAAAATTCCTTTTGGTCATTTTCTCCGCCAACATACTATAAACCTGATTGTCTCTTTTGGCCTCCTATTGTTCTCTTATTTCTTTTGTTTAATTTCTGCTGATCTTAAGCTTAATTGTAATTTAAACCTTCTCAATGATGCACCACTATCTGTTGCTTGGTATACATTCTGATGAATATACCCCCCCTCCCAAAAGAAAAGGTAAAAAAGAGATACAAGGTGTAGCAATAGTAATAATCTGATAATATTAATATTATTTTTAAAACATTACGGAGCATCTTGCACTAAACATTTTGGTTGCCGCTATTCATATACTTTATGTGAGTGTGATATTATGCTTTAGTTATTTGTGAACAGTTCATGAGATCTAATTCAATCAGTTATTTCCTAAGAATTCTGCTTTCAGTATCTAATTTCTGCTGGATTTCCACTTTGTATTTTAGTTTACTGTCAAAAATACTTTTAAGTAAACATGTCACTAACAAGTGTTTGAGGGAACAAATTTGGTTTTTTATCCTATCCCTTGATGGAGCATGAAATTGTAAACTTCTATAATTAATTTCCATTTATCTTCCCTTAAATTTCTTGGTATGATAGGCATCATCAAGCAGCAGGTTAGCAGAGGCTAAGGATGTAAGATCTTTTAAAAATATTGTGAAGGATCTTGAAGCTAAACTAGGGCCTCTTGAAGTGAGTGTCAAAGTGAAAACTAGTGCAGAAACAGTTGCCAACAATGAAGACAGTAGCACCAAAACAAAGGGTGTTGAGCAGCACACACAAGCTGAAGGGAGTGCCATCTTGGATAAGACTTGTACAGAGAATGCTATCAACAATAAAAATAGTGAGCATAAGGAAAGTGGAAAGCAAGGGTAATACATCATTATTTTCCTTAGTAACAAGAGGAATATTAAGGAAATCTTGTTGTTGTTGTAGGAGAATATAGTGTTACTTTATTAAAAATAATAATTCTAAATTCTTTACAACATCTTTCTAAATTTCTCTTTTACTGAAGCATTTTTTTATATATATTTTAAGATATTAAATGTTTTTATTTATATATTTGTATTTAATAGTTATTTTATAAAGTGGTAGAATGATTATTAAGGAGATATCATCTTAGGAGGTTCAAATTACGCTATAAGTGGCAACAGGGCATTCAAACTCAGAAAGTGGGAAAATTTTTTATGATATGTTCTTTTATATGTAAAATGAGTAAAATGTTTTTTTTTTTTTATAAAAACATTTTTTATTTAAAATTTTCATACAATATTTCTTATAAAAAGTATTAAAATTATGTTATTTAAATAATTAATTTTATAAAATATTAAAAAGGGTGTAAGTATTAGTGAAAGTGTAATAGGAAAAAAAATTATCCTAATGTTTTCTAACCCATTGATTAATAATTTAAACTATGAAAATAGAATATGATAATTTGACGGGATAAGTTATCATGTTATTCAATAAACTAAAAAATAAAATAGGATATGGTAAGTTATCCTGCACTGACCACTAAAGAAATCATAAATACTTAAAAAATTAAAAGCATAAAATTTAAGTTATATTGGGAGATGAAATTATAAATGTAAAAAGTGGCAAAGAAATTAAATATTAATGTTTGGATAGGAAAATAGAGAGGAACCAAATAAAGGAACAAGAAAAAAAAAAGTGTGAAATAGAGTAAAAAGATTTGATATTTTTTCTTGTTGAAGCTCCATATATTTATTTTATTGTAAGCAATTATGTTCATGTTAATTAAGATAAATAATTTTACGCTAATTGATCAACATGCTTGGTGTAAAGATTTATTGTTTAAATGAGTTGAAATAAAGAAATTCTTCACTTGTTTAAACGTGTAAAAGAAAGTAAAAAAATAATTAAATTATATTAAAATAAAAAAATAATAATCCAAATATGAAATTTTTTTATGATAATATTTTAATTTTTAATTTTTATAGTATAAAAAAAACCATCCTTTAACTTCTCTCCATTTGTTCGACTTATTTTTAGATTCACTTAAATATTTTATTAACTCTTTTACATTATTTCTAAACAACCTAAATTCACTTCTAGTTTCTTTTCTTCTCTTATTTTTTCACCTCCAACAAAACACACTAAAAATTTAAATGTCTATTACTATTTAATCTATCTACAACTTAGTATATATCATCATCATGTTAATATTACATTATTTAACTGTTAAATTAATAAAAATTAATGTTTATAAAAAAAATATATTAAACAACTTTAAGAAGAGTTGATCGAAAAGGCTTTCTCCTCAAAAGTTAGAATAGAGACTCCCCCTCAAAGTTCTAACGCAGTTGATTCTAATACTTGGCAACAAATTAATACATGTGTACCATAAGAAAAGAAAAAGCAGTGAAATCATAATTAAACCATGAAAAAGGGGCTTCAGTTGAATAAAGAATTAAGAAACCTCGTTATTGCAGAGTTCTACAACATAGAGATGATTAAATAAGCAAAGGATGAATGCCAATACGACTAAAGCTGGGCAAAAGAAAAACAAAAAAAAGCAAGTTCCCAATAAATTTCTCCCAAAAATTTAAAGAATCTCTCCCAATTTAGAAACATTTTCTAAAACTAAAGAAGCATAGCATGAGTTGTTTCTATAGTCCTTCATAAATATGCAAACTCAAAACACAGCAATAAACTCATTTAAGAACGAACTCCCTTAAGGCTAACCATGCGAGAAGATACCTCCGCCTGAGATCCCCTCAACGCAGAAGCACCTTTATAACGTGATCTCTGATGGCCTGAACCTGTTCGCTCCCTCGAATACCCACTTCCAGTGCCTTGCCCAAATGCCAATGCCCTTCCACCACCCCTCCCAGTTCTGCTTTTCCTTGACTGAGAATATGACAACTCTTGCCACCTATTACCTGAAACAACTGCAGCAGAAACATGGTCCTGTGCCATTCCTGTTCTTGTCTCTGTTGCTCTCTCATTGCTCTCTGCAAGGATACATAATTTCTCTGTCAAGTCGAATGCCAAAGCCTGCACTCTAGAATGCCCAACATCTTGGAAAACAATGCACCCAGTTGGCTGGTCCCAGCTAGCATCAAGCTCTTCGTTCATCATCATTCTGCTAACTATGCTATGTGTTTCAGCAACAGAAAGATCAAACATTTTTGTGAGATGATCCAACCTCAAAGAATCATAAGACGAGGAAAAGGTAAAGAGGTAAGTCCTCAGTGCCTCTTGCTTGATTTTGCCCTTTAGCATTTCAAGCACTTTATCGCTATTTCTGACGAATTTCCATACATGGATAGATCCAATGATATCAAAAGCTTTGTTGAAGTCTCCCTTGCTAAGAAGAACCTTTGTGGCAGCCATAACATGATCTCTCACATTTTCAGGAGGACCAGTGAATGTTTGTTTCTGGCTAACTTCAAGTAAGCGGCAGAAATTCTTGCTGATGATCTTGCGTTTTGCATCATGGGCATTGGCTGCAATGTTAGGGACTTGAAGCAACATAGCACATATAAGATGCACTGCTTCGAGGAGGTCGAGATTTATGTGCATATGATATGGCATTTGACGCCTTCTTTCCAACCTTTCTTGTTCTGGGGTCTTCTCATGATAACGATTTTGTGACACACCTTGTGCAAGCAACTCCTTCACCCTTCCACCAGAATAAAGTTCAGTGAGACAACCATGTGACTCAGAAATGAGCCCAACCCGAAAAGCACACAGACCCAGTTGTGCCATAGCTCTGTTAAAAAGTATCTGTGTTGAAATGTCCATGAGTTGAACACTATCTTGCAAATGGCTCATAAGCAGCAAATCACGTGCTACACTGAACTCATCAGCAAGAGCATGGTGATATATATCACAAAGCATTGCCCGTGCTTTAGTGCGCTCATCTCCATATTTGTATATAAAGGATACCAATATATCCATTAGGGTCCTACTATTCTCAGGAAAGGTGGGTTTCCGTGACACAAGTGAAGGAGTAACAACAAATGCTGTTGGTATCCTTGTTTCTTCAAATCCTTTAGGGTCATCTCCATTATCCTCATCTTGAGTCATCTCAGCTAATTTTCTCATGGCATCATAAACCTCTTGTGGTTTGTAGTAAACAAGTTCTACCCTCCTTAAGGCCACCTTAGAAGCTGCTTTGAAATTTCCAATGCTTTCAAGATATTCCTGAACATTCTCAGCAAGGACAAGAAACATGGGCTCATCCCTCAGTCTCTCAACATATTCACGAGTGTGAGGATCTATGCACTGGAGACTCTTGAAAAACTCAGAATCTATTCTTTCTATGAATGCAACTAAGTTACCCCAAACCCGAATTGGTCCACTGTGGTCTGACCCTTTTTGAGTTTCCTTCTCATCAGGTTCCACTGAATCATCAACCACTATGTTTGGGTACTGCACTAGAATATCAAGAATGACTAGCATGTTCTGCACACATTTTTTCCACACATTTATAGGCATGTGGCCACTAAGACCAGGATTAACATCAAACTGAGCAGAAATCACACTGAAAAGAATTTCCAGTTTCTGTGAAGGTGTTTTTGCAACTTTTGTTAAGAAGGAAAGCTGCTCAACCAGTTCGAATCTTCCTGTTCCCTTCCTACCCCTAGCTGCTACAACCTCTTTGAATTTCTTGTTAACTGCGTCCCAAGTGATCTCTCTAGGGTCTTTCATAAATTGTCTATCCAAAAGTCTGTCTTTCTTGCTAAGCTTTTGGTCCCAGGGTGTTTCGCTGCTATCTTGCTTCTCATCTTCATAGCGAGAACCTTCAGAATCTGATTTTGCTCCTGTAGCTTTTAGCTGCTCTGGTTCAATAATTTCATCTTCAGATTCATACTCTTCTTCTGTTTCCTCTTCATCTTTTTCCTCCTCACTCTCAGGATTCTCCCTAAATTTAATGATCAAGTCCTCATATTGCTTATTATTTTTCTTCAATTTCTGCTTCATTGAGTTCAGGGCTTTAGCATTGCTACTACTCATTTTCTTTTTGGCATCCTTATTTGACAAAGCCTGAGCTAAGAAGTCCTCCAATATCACAATTGCCTTTATATAAAGACTCGGCACTTTCTCAGATTCAATAACACGCATCACTTTCTCGAGTTGCTTGTTGATCTTGTCAAAGCTTTCTTGCAAGCTCACCCAATCATTAATCTTTATTGCATTCTTCATTTGATTAACAGTTGAAGACATCTCCCCAAACCGTTTGTCTTTTGCTGACCTCACAACACGCCTTTGGCCATCAGAGTCATCACTGTCACTAGCATTATCCCTCAAGTATCTGCTAGTAACAGCTTCGCTAGCAGATTCCCCCACAGTAGTCTCAATCTCATCATCATAGTCACTCTCCTCCTCAGAGTCACTACCACCCTATTGTTGAAAATAAAATGTTTTAACACAGATCAATAACATTATCTACAGTCAAATGGAAAAAGAACCCACATTAATCAGATATTAAAGCATATGTTAAAGACCTGGGTCCAAAATTTAGAAGACATTCTTCTTAGAAAGTTCAAATCAGCAGATCAGTAAGATCAAGAGAATCTGCAGTACATAAAAACAAAACATTAAACTACGAGGGGATCATTACAGTACATAAAAACCATGAATTACAGTGTCAATTCAAATTGGACATAACAAACTGCTAAAACGACAACTTTGTGTCACCACCACTTTTACCAAGTTGTGTTCTCCCGTTATTCTTTGTTCAAACCAGACCATAAAATCTTAATACACAACCAAAGTTTATAAAATAAATAAATAAATTTGATGCAACCAGATTCATATAAAAACATCTTACACAAGAGCAGTGTATTAATCAGACAATATGTCAACAATAACCAAACCATTCATCGGTGAAAACATCTTACACAACATCGAAAACAAATTACATTATTCAATATATGAATTCTCATGATTATAAAATCTGAAAAATCAAATAATCATTTGAAAAAAATAAAATTATATGACTAATATATTTTAATCTTGACCATTCATGATATGAGATGATCAAAGTTTGCTTCTCTCGTTCTCACATAAAAAAGCTCTCTCGATAAATACGTCGCTTGTGTATAATGGGAGAAATGATAATGTAGATAAACACAACTGGGCAATCACAAAGTTGAAAGTTGATACGAATGATTAGAACACAAGAAAGTAACAATGCCAAAAGCCAAATCATAATGAGGAGAAAGTTACGGAGTCAAGTGGAGATGGAGGCTGATGATGATGCACTCTTCGTCAGTGTGAGATTAGGATTAGCAGGAATTTAGAAATTTATTTAGCATTATACTAGGAATGGTTAAATTACTCGGTCTGCACCAGCAAAATTTAAGCACTCTGGCTAGGTTATTTACCGGTTATATTGATACTGAAGAATACATGCAAATTTTAATCGGAACAGTACGGGCATGAGCATCTAAATACTATCCTGCCCCATACGTGAATTTTTATATATATTTAAACTTTATTATTCATATTAAATTATTATATTATTTATGTAAAGTTATATAAAACTAATATAAAAATATATTTAATAATAAATTAAATAAAAAAATTATTTTGATTCATATTTTAAATAAAAAAAATTATTTATTATTTTATATCATTTAGTTAGATCAATACAATTTAATTATTATACGGTTGATATAAGATTAAATTTTTTTAAAATTATTTATATGACACACATAAAATATTTTTTATATAAATATTTTTTTTGTATTATATTGATATTTAAATTATAAAGTAAATAATAAATAATAACCATATTATATCTATTTTATAATCACCTCCTATTACCATACACTTATTTTATGATATTTAAATTTTATTTTTATATTTTAATTTAAAATAATATTTTCTTATACAACATATATATTACAAGCAAATTATAATTTATTAAATCTAAATTATTCTTACCATTTATTTATATTCAAAAAAGTTTTTAAAAAGATATAAAATATAAAAAATATTATTAATTTTTATTTCTGTTATTTTTACTGAGTTTATTATATAATTTTCTTGTAATTTACCTATTAAATAATTTTTTTAATAAAAAATATAATTTTTTTTATATAAACGTATATTTTTTCATTGCAAAATTTTATTGTGATTATTTATCTTTTATTCAATTTTTTTTAAAAATTTATATATATTATAAATATTTAATTCATTGAAATAATTTTTCAAAAAATTTATATTTTTAACAAAATATTTTCGTGCAGTACATGAATCAAAAATATTTGTCTTAATATATATATATATATATATATATATATATATTATTAATTATAATATATTATTTTAATTAAATCTGTTATTTTTCTTACAATTTCAAATTCAAAAGTTAAAAAAATATATTATATGTCAACTTTTCGTTGCCGTTTAGTACGTGAGCTTCTCTACTTTAACCCTACTTTTATATTCTTAATGTTAGCCTTATTCAAAGCTATTATAAGAATTATGAATTGTTAGAGCTAGTTGTCAATACTACTATAAAAGATTACCAAGTGATCTCACACGAGTGGTTAGCCTTATTCAAAGTTATTATCGTTCGATCAGATCTCACACAAGATAAAGTCATTAAATAACTTATATGTTTAATTTCACTTATAATTTTTAAGAATTTTAGTTTAGAAATTCGTTGTATTAAGATATGTTTAGCACTTGTAATATTTAAATATTTTTTTTTTATCTATGCTTATACCTTGTTCAGCAACATATTAAATTTTTGTATTATTATGCATAAAGTTATATAAATATTTTTTTCTTTATAAATATTTTTTTTTCAAACGAATGCGAGTAATAAATATGCATGTAAGTACCTAAAAGATATGGGTATGAGGATTAATATTACTATTCACGCAGATATAGAACTTGGTATGATCATTGTTTTAAAATGTCAATATAAGAATGAATACTATAGTATTCTAACTATATCTTATCTATTGCCATTCTTAAAGCATACTCACCTGAGCTTTATATCTTAAACAATTAAACACATCCATTTTTTCAATAATCTTTCATTATTTTAGTACATAAACTACAGAAATGATATAATTGGAGTTTACATATAATGTTTTCGGTCAAACTAGTGAATGTGTATATAACCCGTTATTTATTGCCTGGTTGCTTATGTGACTCATCATTGATGTTGAGATATGTTTCAAGAACTTATATTAATTGATATGCCAAGGACAATTTTGATGGTTTAATTGAATTTGTTTTAATATTACGAACTTGTGATGTTATACCTATTTTTTTAATAATTTAATTAATTTAAACATTAAAATAGAAAGGTGACAGAAACTTTTGTGACAAAATAGAGTTATTTCACTCAATTATAATAAACTAATAGAAAAATAGTCCCTAATACACTGTTTGATTATTGCATCATCTATCTTAATTAACCTTTAAGCATTATATCTAGCACCGCAACTCCGTGACTTCTTCCTTCATTTCTCTTGCTCTATACAAATACCACCCTCGTATAACTACTGTTGTTCGCTTTGTCCATTGTGCTCCATGACCCTTTCATAAATTTAATAATAATAAAAAAGGAGTAATTTTACTCGATTATAGTAAATATACATGTGCATTTGCATGAGATATATTTATATTTTTTTATTAGTTAATTTAATTTAAAAATAATTAAAAAATAGTTATAATTTAAATATAAAAAATAATTATTTATCAAGTAATGATCAAATAATTATTTTAATGTAAAAAAGATTAAAAAAGTAAAAAAAACCTTTGACTAATGTTTAAAATAAATTATATATATAATAGTTAAACTTAATTTATTTTTTAAATGTTATAATTTATTTACGCGTGAGTCTAAGCATTTTAAATTTTAATAATTTATAAATACATGTAACAATAAATAAGCTACGTATAGATATAGATAAATGCAAAAAAAAGTTCTTAATATACTATTTGATTATTGCATCATCTATCTTAATTTACCTTTAAGCATGATATCTAGTACCTCAACTACATCACTTCCTCCATTTCTCTTGCTCTATACAAATACCACTCTTTCATAAATTACATATTTATCATTCAACATTGACACTACCTTAATACTTTATCTTTCAAAAAAAAAAAAAAGTTTCTTGTCAATGCACTCTAAGATCACTTAGAATCCTTTCTCCACCATGTGCTCATAATTTTTATCCCCAAACTATCTCCTAAATCTATCTAAAATATTCTCTCTTTTACATAATTTTAATATAATGACAGAGTTGGTGAAAGTAAATGAATGAAGGTTGGTGGTGAATAACTGATTTTAAGAGAGATTGTGTGTGTGTGTGTGTGTGAGAGAGAGAGAGAGAGAGAGAGAGAGAGATTTGTAACTAGTAAATGTGAATATAAATAATTTTAGCCACTTATTGCGTGACAAATACATTTTTGTTTTAGTTTGCAATAGCAAAGAGTAATGAACAATTGTAATTATACAATTTTGTCAAAATAAAAAATACACAAACAATCAAAGTTATTATATGATTATAATTCAACAATTGGATTGACAAAAATAACATTTTATATAAAATTATTAACAATATAAGAGTGAATATAGCTTACACCAGCATAATTTAATCTTTTAATATTGAATCCAACAAATTTAATTAGTGATGTTGTTTTTTGAACATACCATGATTTAATATAAAATATTAAAAATCTTAGATATTTTGAAGATGGAGCAATTCTTGCTCAGAAATTGTTGATAACGTTAATTTCCATGCTTTTTCAATTTTGCAAGTGAAGCGAAAGAAAATTTCAGTTCTAATTATATAGTGAGAATTGATGAAAATATTACAGGTGAAGTTGATTGGTTAAACACCTAAGTATGTATACGATACGAGAATAAGTATTCTGGATTATTTTATCATCTTCTGAGAATTAGAAAATGTGTAGCTACTACGTTGGTGCGAAATATTGGTATATCAAGTAAACTTTGCAATGGAACAATATGGAAGGTTGAAGATTTGGGTTATAATGTCATCATTGCAAGTGTTGTTACAATTTACAAGAAATTGTTACGATAATATGGTACATATTCGTAGAATGAATTTAATGCCATGACTGATCAATACCATTGAAATTTTAAAGAAAGCAATTATCCTTCTAATCTATATTTTACAATGACAATTATTAATAAGAATCAAAGGCGAACCTTGAGAGACCAGTTTTATCTATGTAGACCAGTATTGTTTAAAAATTTTAATATGCAATATAGATAGAAGTTTAACCTCTTCGAAAAAAATATATAAAAAGTGTAGGTTATAAGGAAGTATTCCATAAGGTATGAATTAATGTACTGAAACTAAAATTTTGTTTATGATGTTTAGCACACTTGGTCTACTAATTTTATTGAATGCTCAGTGGTATAAATAAAAAATACTAACAAAACACTTTTTAATACTTCATTTAACTAAAATTTATTAAAAATTATAAAAATATGAAAACAGAATTTTTTATTTAATAATATTCACTTTTAATTTAATAATTATCTCTCATACTTTTTATTTTTAATAAATTTTAATCAATAATTAAAAGTATATTAAAACCCTTCCTCAGACAATACAAACTTTTTGGCACATCCATTCGATAAAAGGAGTGCATATGTATATCAAATTTTTTTTTTATTACTTAGGTAATAACACTTTTTATGGCTTATATTTTTGTTTCCTACACCTTTTTTTTTTAATTTAATTCCTCTAAATTTTTTTTGTATGATTTTGGTCCCTGTATTTATGTAACTTGAGTGCTTTAGTCCCTCTAACTAATGTAGGCATATAAATAACCAAACCAGGGAAATGATTACTATAATTATCCTTAAACACACAGGGGGAATGACTGTAATCAAATCACCAAATATTTGGTTTTTAAACGTGGTTGTAAACACCCGGATTAGTATGATAATCGGCAGACAAATTACTCAAATACTAAGAAACTGTTGCTGTCGATTTGCTACAATGTAGTTTCAAACTCACTTTCTTTAGTAATTTTCAGACTTTCCTCATCAAAAGATACAACCTCTGATCAAGCTCAAATTTGTTGCAATGAGATGCATCTCCCCTCAGCATCATCAGAAGCCCACCAAATGAAATATTTAACTCCCTGCAATTCAAAGCCAATAAAGCATATGACTATTAAAAATAAAACACTATAACACTAAATTACTAACGTAGTGATCATATTCATCTCTAACTAGGGAGCCGCTACTTGAAACAACATCCACTACACAATATCAAAATCTCAAGATAATTTTTAACTGATTGGCATAATAGAACTACTACATAATCTCAAGATACTTTTCATCTTTAATTAGTGAGCAGAGTAACCTGGAAACAAAATGAGACAATTGGCATTATTCAAACTAAATATACGTGATTCATTAATTCACTTCATTCTCACGATTAATTAAAAACAATTCACATCAGAAGGAAGAAGAATTCATTGTTCCCAGTAACTAGCCTCAAAATGGCAAATCATCAACACATGCAGGCTAGGCTATACCGAACTAAATTACTATAATTAATTTAGTAATTACAAATTAAACGTATGAAACTCAAAATGAGCAATACACATACGCTTTTTCACGCCCTGAACCGTCAGTAATCCTGTAGAGCTTCCCATACATGACATATTCAAAATTGTTAGCCAGTGATTGCCGATTGATCTGGAAAAAGGAAATATATGGCAGAATTCTGTAAGCCAAATTCATCTACTGATTTGACATGCAATAGGAAAAAAGAATCGGAAATAGCACCACAAATAGAAAATGACAGCCAAAGAGAGCTATAGTTATAAATTGGGTTATTTATAAATCACACTACCGTCCACAATTTATTTATGCTATCAATGTTATTTTGTAGTTTACTGGTGTCGCATTTATCACAATTTATTATCTACTTGAGTAGCTGCACAACAGAATATAAGTATGACAATTTTAACAAAAACCCAATGAAAAAGATCTATAGTTTGAAATTGGAGATATCACCATACCACAAGTTTCTAAGTTTGAGTATTCAACGAACATATTACACATTAAAATGTAGCCTCAGTAATTGAAATGAAGAAAACATCAAGAATTATTTATGACCACTACAAAGTACCTATCAAGCTCAAAAGAAAGTTTTATCAAACTGTAAAGCGACCAGCTATCTTTTACGGTAATAAATGTTGAGCTTTAAAGGGACTACACAAGAAAAAAATGTGCTCATAATTTTTATCCCCAAACTATCTCCTAAATCTATCTAACATTTTTCTCTCTTCTACATAATTTTAATATAATGACAGAGTTGGTGAAATTAAATGAATGAAGGTTGGTGGTGAATAACTGATTTTAAGAGAGATTGTGTGTGGGGGGGGGATTTGTAACCAGTAAATGTGAATAGAAATAATTTTAGCCACTTATTGCGTGACAAATACATTTTTGTTTTAGTTTGCAATAGCAAAGAGTAATGAACAATAGTAATTATTCAATTTTGTCAAAATAAAAAATACACAAACAATCAAAGTTATTATATGATTATAATACAACAATTGGATTGACAAAAATAACATTTTATATTAAATTATTAACAATATAAGAGTGAATATAGTTTACACCAGCATAATTTAATCTTTTAATATTGAATCCAACAAATTTAATTAGTGATGTTGTTTTTTGGACATATCATGATTTAATAATATAAAATATTAAAAATTTTAGATATTTTGAAGATGGAGCAAGTCTTGCTCAGAAATTGTTGATAACGCTAATTTCCATGCTTTTTCTCAATTTAATTGATGCTTTTGGCTTCTTCATGAGTAGGAAATCCAAAAGACATTTTAGATTTTTTCCCTTCTTCCCAGCAGAACCAACACTAATTGATTCAGTTATAAATCTTTTTCCAGTCTGAACAAAATGTATTTCTTAAACCTCTTCTTCCTCATCTTCATCTTCCTTCAATTCATCAATGTATCTTCTTCATTTTCAACCTTTTGTTAGTATGCTTCAATGAGCTTCTTCTTAATCTCCAATAGAATTTTTTTACAGGCATTCACATCACCCCTTATCTCCATTTGGTATCTTTTTGCTCTTGTAATCTCCTCTGTTGTGGTTTTTAAACATGTCACATGTAACATTCTTTTTGTTGTTAATATCTTTAAAGTTATTCCATTGCCAAGTAATGTCAATATTTTCTCCAAAGGGCTTCACTAAGCCACAAGTAACAATTGCAAAAGCTCCCTACTTTTGTCCTTGTCAGGAAGATGCCATGAAAGGAGACTAGAAGTCTAGAACAGCAAAGAGAGCGTGGGTTTTTTCCTTTCCAAGTAAGAGAACGTGCAGATAAAACAGAGCTTTATCTCTTTCAGCAAAAGAGTGCGTGAACAGCAGAGTGCAAACAAAAAACCAGACCATGAACAGCAAAACAGAGTTTCAACACCACGGCAGAAAATGAACAAAAAAGCAAAGCTTGAAGTCTTGACCAGAAAAATAGAGGATGACCAGAAAAAATAAATCTTTATCTCCTTAAGCAAAACACGGCATGCAATCATGAACAATTATGAACAGAGAAGGAGAGTGTGAACAGAAATCAAAGCTTGAACAGCAGCAAAGCATGAACAGAAAAAGAGCTTGATGCAGTGAATGGAAAAACAGGGGAGATGCCGGAAAAACTGATTTTTCTTGTGAAAAAAGGCACTGGATAGGAGACACACTAGAAAAGTTTATTTGGCCGGCAAAATTGAATAGGTGAGTCAGAGAGGAGGGGAGAAAGGGAGAAATCGCAACTTCTATTGCTGTGCATAGAGGAGCATGGTGCAGAGACGAAGAAAATGTTCATTAGAATTAGAATATAGGTTTCAAAAAGGGAGTAAATAACGTTTCTACCATTAAAATTAAGCAAAACACACAGTTTTGAAAAACAGAATACGGTTTATTCAAAACGCACAGTTTTACTAAACCTATTAGGGTTATTTTCTGTCCCTCACATGATTGCATGCCATGATTTAATTTTATGTTCTCAGCTTGAATTGTAATGCGATTTTAATGATTTGCATAGTGTGAAGCTATTTTCATTAATTAAGCATTCCTTCCGCTGTTCATTTCTTCCGGTTCCTTTTTTCCTTTAAGTAAAAGGTTGCAGAGTTGACATGGTAAGTTGATTTCAAGTTCCCAGACCCATGTTTCAGTGCTTATGGGTACTAGACACATGCTGCCTCTATCAACCTGTTCCGTGAGTGCCATCAAATTCACACAAGAAACTCAAGACACAAAACTTTTACATTTGGTTTGCACTGCCATCATCCTATAAAGAGCAAACCAGAGGAAGTTCCCAACTCCTGGGTGAACTCATTGATCTTAGGGGCCTGCTGAGAGAAAGCATATCTACCACCACTAATGACAGTTTGTCCTTGGAATGCTACATTAATTGAATGCCAGCAGAGAAGGGGTATGTTGAAGAAAATGGGCATTCACGAGAAATCTTGGTGCTATAAAATTGTTTACCATTTACTATAGCCTTTAAGGATAAAGAGAAAAGATAGGGTTGTACCCAATTTTAGTCCTATTCAAAGTATATGAGTCATATCCCAAACATATCACTCAATAATTTTTATAAAAATAGAGGATACTCCCTGTATATATATAACTACTGATCCACATACCAACTGGAAGGCACCTACCCAAAAACATCTTTGGCAGAAAACAAAATACTCCTGCTGCATCAAGCACACATACATCTACCATTAACCCTAATTCTGATTTGAATTCCAAGCTCACGATGAAGAACAAGAGCTTCCAATCACAGAAGTAAAACCTTAGTAAATTAAGCAATGATCGGTATGTGCCTAAGGTTAGAAAATGCACACATCATTTAGTGGAAAAAAAGGCTTCATAACTAATCTTTTGCATCACTGTCCACTTGATAATCATATTGCTGCTACAACTACTACTACTACTGCTAATAATAATAATAATAATAATAATACTTCATGGAAAAAAGGCTCCATGTAAAAGACAATAAATTAGTTACCTGAGTGTAATAGCCGGTGTCTGGTGTTCCATCGGGATTAAGCGTAGGAACCAGTAAAAGTGCGAATTTCTGACCCACCTTTAACGGATATAACTCGGAATTGATGTCTAGGTGCATAAACATGTCAAACCTTTCACTTCTTGCTTCAATGCGAGTAACTTGAGGTGCACAACATCGAAGCGTTAGAATCAAATGCAGAGAAAAAGTGAAAAGATAACTACTCTAGTAGGAGCAAATAATCACGTTACCATTAAAATGGATGCACGGCTTTAAAAGAAAAATGAGATTCCATTTCAAACAAAAAACTAAGGATCTGTTTGGTTTCAGAAAAATTTTCTATTATTATTATTATTATTATTATTATTATTATTATTATTATTATCTCTTTCACTTTTAATTACAAAATTATCACCTTATTTTCATTATGTTTCATATTATCAAAGATGTGTACATGAAATAGTAAAAATAGTATTTTTAATACCAAAATTAGAAAATAGAAAACTGAACAAAAACAACATGACAGTTTTATAATTAAAAATAAAACAGAAAAAAAATTATGAAACTCGTAAAAAGGCGAGAAAACATGCAATAGACATTGCAGAGGGTAAAACCCTAAACATTTTACTCTGGCAAGTTAAACTAAACCAACAATATAGTGAGAGAATTGAATTATTGAAGAAGAGGCAATAATCATAATAATAATACCTTTATCGAATAATTTTTTGTCATCGGGGTTTAATTTTTCAACCCTGAAGATATCGTCGAAGAGAACCTCCACCATGGCTAATCGGATCAATCAAACACGACGACGTATCAGATAAAGAAGAAAACAGAAAGGCGAATTAGAAGAGCAATAAATAAATATAGCGGGCAATGGCCTGTGGAAACACAAACGAAGCATAAAACGAGAAAGGGAAACGAACCTGAATTGCAGCAGAGAGATCGAGTTTGAGTTCTGTTACTTCACAATATTCAGTGACCACTTATGCTATTTTCAGACGATTATGTAATGATTGAATATTTTATTTTATAAACAATAATATTTTTAAATTTAATGTATTATTTATTACATATTATATATACATACATACATATATATATATATATATATATATATATATATATGTTAATTCATTTTTTTACTAAGATGCCATATGATATTTTTTAAAAAATTTATTACTTTAGCCATTGCTGCGTAAGCAATTGAACAGAGAGAGTTAGCGAAGGAGAGAGAGAGAGAGAACTAACTTGGTGTCGCAGAAGAAGGAGTAACTGGAATCGAACCGCGAGATATGGGAGGAAAAACCAAAGGCACTTGCTTTTCGCATTTGGGTATTTATAAAATGATCAAAACCCCTAAATAAAATCATGTTTGGGCTGGCCCAATATTTTTCTGCAATTTTGTGGGCCTTTGCCTTGTAATTTTGTGATTTTATCCCCTTCACTAATAGGCCATGTACAGTTTTTTTTTTTTTGGGTGTACAGAAGCCTTGTGTATTTTACTACTAATATTTACACTTTTGTTTCTTATGGGTGATTTTTAAGAGAGAAAAGCATAGGGAAATAAAAGATTAAAAAGCAGCTATTTAAATAGTTTATTTTTTATACAAAAAGAAAGTATTTTATTTGAGTGGAAATAAAATAGATGAGAAATAAATTTAATCAAATATGTTAATTCACTTTTTCACTAAGATGCCATATGATATTTTTTATTTTTTTAAAAAAATTTATTACTTTATTTATGTTTTAATAAATTTCTATTTCTTTATTTATATGTTATTTAATCATTTAAATATTATCAATCTAGTTTTAATTTAATTATATTTAAATTTAAATTTATCAAAAATTTAAATTAATTAAAAATTTAATCTAAGAGTAAATACATTGTTTATATTTGATTAAAAGAACATTATTTTCATACTAATTAATAAAAAATACAGAATCATTCATAAGAATAACATCTTATATATTTTTAAAAATTTCTTAGTAAGAAAAAAATATAAATATATTTAAATTATTTTTATTAAAATTTCTTTCCAGAAAGTTAAGAGAACGAAAACTCAAAAAAAAATAAAAATCTTCATAGTAAAACTCGTAAGTATTTTCATATAGCTTGTATCATTCATAAATAAAAGAATAAAATTGTGACTTTGATGGATCAAGATAGTAACCTGGAACATGATTTTAGTAGGTTTAAAATGCTAGTTGTTAATTATGTTTAGGAACTATATCATGCTATTGCAACTACTTCGTGTGATCTTGTGAGTGATTGTTCTTTTTCTCCTTCATAGGATAGGGATATCAAAAGCATAAATAGGGAGTTGTCTTTGAATGAATTTGGAATGACTCTTTAGTATAGATGGTTGTAAGTCTCCAAAGAGTGATGGGTTGCATGCTCTCTTCTATAAAATCTTAATTAAGAGTGTGCATAATTATCATATGCTAACTTTGTTGCCTATGGATGTTTGAAATGAGAATAATAGAGTTTGTATGAATTTCATATGGGCATCACTATCTAAACGAAAATACCATCTAATTTCTTAAAATATTTGTCAATCTAAGGAAGAAGGAGGACTAGGTTTTTGAGATCTCCATCAATTAAAATTTCCTTACTTGATAAAGCTTGGTTGGAAATTATTAAGCTTAAAAAATGTTTATTGGGTAAAAATTCTACAACATAAATATACTTTTGTTCAAGGGAAAGATCTTGCTATCAGAAAATATTAACATGTGTCTAGCAATTAGAAGGGAATTATTTCAGCTTGAAAATACATGTCTAATGGTTTGCTTTGGTAAATAGACGGTACTCTGTGAGGTTTCGGAAAGACTAATCTTCCAAGCTAAATCTGTTAAACCTCAAACTTTGACATCCAAGATCAACACTTATGCTAATTCAATTTTCTCTAATCCACTTTTTATTTAAACTTTTTTTGACTAAGTTTACTAAGAAAGAAACTATCATTAGATGGGAATGCCTTAAGAAGGGGAAACTAAAGCTGAATGTATGGTTCTGTGCATAGAAATGACACAAGTAGCTGCGTGTGGAGGCTTAATTCACAATGACCAAAGGAAGTTAGTTGTTAGTATCCATTGCAACATTGGAGTTGGTTCTGTTGTTAAGCATGAACTATAAGTTGTTTTGATGGAGTTTTGACTATTTATCTCCCTAAAGATTAATCAAATTGTTAGTATTAAGATGGATTCTAAAGTAGTCATTCATCGTATTATGTGTATGGTCATTTTTATAAGTTACTTTCTTTAATTAGAGAAGTCAAAAAAATTCAGTGGATTAACCATGTGTATAGAGAGTTCAATAAATGAGTGCATTGACTTGCTAATTTGGTTTAAGATGAGCATTTAGGTAGTTGGACTTTTGTAAGGGCTCCTCCTTCTTTGGTTCCTTTATTAAAAGAAGATTCTTATTGGATTCACTTCCATATAATAATTTGTTAGTTTGTTCTATTGTTTGAACTTGTAAGCCTTGTTGATATAAAAATATTTCTCACCTTATCATACAAATATAGACAAAAGTTGTAATGAAACCTTAGTTGATTATGAAAGATAACTCCATGGTTATCATGTTAAATGTTATTGAAGAAACAAATAAGTATATTGGCAAATGACTCTTATGTAGTAATAGATGGAAAAAATTCAATTAAGGTCTAGAAAATTAGTTGGTATAACTAAGTTGAAATAAAAAAAAATAAAACAATATGCAAAAATTTTAATCTTATTCTTAACTCAAAATTTTTTTTCCGTGATTATCATGATACAAGTTATTCATGTCAGATTACTGTATATTATTTTGCTACCACAAATACTATTATAGTAAAAAAACAATAATTGACATTCATTAATTATTAATAATATATTTAATCATAAAAAATAAGAGAGAAAAAATTAAATAAAAAAGAAACAAACAAAAAGTGGAATTTTCCATTTTTTTAAATGGGTTAAAAAAAATAGAAGAATAGAAATAGGTATTAATTTGTCTCACTAATTTTTTTCTACCCATGTTTATTTAGATTATTTTTATTATTATTTTCAAGCTTTCAAAAATTAATTATTCTTGTAACATAAAATAAAAATTTACAAATTAATTTTATGTTAAGAAAAAACAATAGAATAAAATTCAATTTTTAGTTAAATTTATTTATATCAATTTTTATGTATTTTGTTTTTTTCTATTTTCTCTTTTTTATTTAAAAAATTACTTTTATATTTACCACAAATTTATTTATTTATTTTTCTTTTCTTCTTTATTTCATTATTTGTCTTATATACTTGTAATTCTATAAGTCACAAAAGATTGTTACCAATAGGTTGGTGGTAAAGGAAAAAAAACACGTTGAATAAGTGATGATAATTGACAAATAAAAAGAAAATTTTAATTTAATTTTTATCTTTAAAATTAACAATAATTTATATATAATAAAAATAAAATATGTAATAATTGACGTTGCTTCAGATGTATTAGAACAAGATTGACAACAATATTTGATGTAAATTAGTTCAAAAAATCAATAAAGAAAGAGATAAGAACCGGTTTTAGAAAAAATTGTAGTGGACACTTTGTAATTTTATTTTTTATTTTACTTTTAAAATATTTTTCAAATAAATATATTTTCATACATAATATTTAAACAAATATAATTTAATTATTTATTATAATTATTATTTAATAAAAGATGTAGTAGGATTATTTTATATTAATTTAAAATTTTAATTATCTTAATTTTTTAACAATTTTTAAATTAATATATTATGTAATATTAAAAATATGTTATCTTATTATCGATTTGATGTTAATTTAATTATAGTTGAACTAATGAATCATAGATTATTGTATTTGTTAGTTTAATGTGAAATTTAATTTTAAATTAGACAAAACTCAGATGTCTGTCATACCATAAATACTATTGTTCTCTAGTCATAGTTGTATTTTTATTTCAACAACTTTTCTAATTAAAGGTGAGCATTAAAGTTAATGTGCATTAAAGGTTTACATATATGGTTAAAATAAAACTTTAATTTTGATTAGATAACAACATTAACAATATTTATAATATTGAACCTAAGTTTTATCTTCTTAAATATTAGACATACAGTGATATTGAATGCTTTATTAAAAAAAACATTGAATCATCTTACAGAATTTTATAATTTTTTATTTTACTTAAAAAAATTATATACTCTTGTTAAAAAATATAATATTATACGGAAATATTTGTTATATTTATTAACCTTATGTTAATTTTAAAATATTCATTATTTTAATTTAAAAATTACATTTTTATATTTCTTTCATGTAGCATTATGTCTTGTTTTGATAAAAGGAAAGAAAATCAAATAAAATAAATAAAAATAAAGATGTATATTTTTTCTTTGTTATAAATTTTTAAGAGAAATGATATTATCCTATTTTGAAATAGAAAAAGTTGTGCAGTTCAAAAAAATTATATTTTTTTTATCCAAAAAAATATTGAAAGTATCATATATGAGATCCAAGGTCGAACCATAAATTGTACTTGCAAAACTATCATTGTTTTCAGAAATGCATGTTGACTAATCACTGAGCTGTTCTTAAATTATTTTTTTTGCTGACGTGTTTGCATTAAATTTTATATTATTTTATTTTTAATAAAAATTATTATATATAAAACTTTATTATGTGTTTTTAATTACATAATGTATAAACTAATAATAAATTTTTCCTCTTCATTTATAAAATGAAGTGAGTAAACTCACATGAAAAGGAAAATATGCTTCAATGGATAATAACTCAATTTTTAACAATTAATGGTAGTATTGTGAAAAGTGGTTGTTAGAAAAATTTGCAGAATACACTTCAGAACTTATTGACACACAGAAATTATACAATGCAATAAGCATAGAATTATTGTTTGAAAATGATAAAAAACAATATTATATGAAAATTTTTACAACAACCATTCCATAGTTCTTGATTTATATCTCACAGTTCCTTAGAATAAGAGAATAAAAAAGAAAATTAAATACAAAATTTTATGCAATTTCAAAACAATGAATTTGAAGTTATTATATAACTTTAATCTTCCTCTTCCTTTACAAGTGAAATTTGTTTTTAAATATTTTCTTTTAATTAATTTTAACCGTAACAATGTTCAAACAATTGAATATCTATGCAAGTGGTTGGTGTAAGAATACCAAAACAAAACATGTCATGCCATATTATATTATATAAGAATTAGTTATATTATTTAAATTGTTAAAAATTAATATCGTATATGATATTATGTATTGTTATTTTTATATAAATATATCTTTAAATTTTATTTTAAATAGAAAAAATATTTAAAATGTCCTCTCTTAATAGTTTAAGAAATAATTTTTTTTATATGAAAAGCCATCAGTCACCCTTTAAGTACAAACAATTTTTTATTTGTTTTTATGAAAGAAAAAAAGAGAGTAAATATTACCTTAAATAATATTAAGAATTCAATTCTTAGAAATTTTGAGGAAAAATTTTTAATCTCATATTTTACCAAATATTTTTAATTTCATACAATTTTCTACATTTGAAGTTTTTAAATTATTTTTTATTTCAAATTGGCTTTAAATTATTGATTATTTGAGTAATACCTAATTTTAATATGGCTTCCCAATCTATTTTTCAATTTTCCCTACAAACTCTAACTTTCACCACGCTTACAGAAAAAGAAAAAAGATTTGGGCGACTTTGTGTAGAGAGAACTTGATAAGGAGATTTAATTCCAATAATTTAAGAATTAATTAAGAGACTAAATGATGGATTAATCATAATAGAGGAACAAAAATAATTAGGTCTAAAAAATAAAAATCAAGAAAAATTATTATAAAATATAATTATACATCAATTATAATAAAGAGAAAAAATTACATCGAAAACTAAAAACATTGGGGAAATGCAAAGTTTTATTAATGAAAACAGAAAAACAAAAGTTAAATAAATGAACTGTACCATGCAAGTCCCTAGAAGAAAAAAATATATAACAAATGAAAAGTCCTAGAAAAAAGAAAAGCCCATGTGGTTGGTCAGAGACACTCACCTTACACTCCTCACTTCATTCTAAAATTCTAACCCAACCATTTTTATTTTCCCATTAGTCACATCTAAAATTAGAAACCAAATGAAAAATTTGTAATATTTAGAAATATGAAATGAAAAATAAATAAAACGAAAAAAGCTATTTCATAACCAAAATATAATTCATAAAGACTTGTTTTAAAAACTTAAAATAAAAGAATAAATAAAAAATCATAATTTTTTATGAATTAAAAACTTAATTGAATATTTATTTTTTCTTAAATTTATTTTCTATATATAAAAGATGGTGCAAGACAAGAATAGCATAACGTGTTGTTGCTTTGAGCATTGCAAAAAGGAGAACAATACAGGTAGCCAACCTGTGAGGCTCCGAAAAAAGAAGTCAACCATTTTCTTCTTCATCATCGATTCTCTCTTCCCACATTGTTCGGTCTCTCTCTCTTACATTGTCACCCTCCATTTGTGCCACTTCCTTTCTGTGTCTCCTTCCTTCTTTGCTCCTCTCTCTCTCCCCAAAATCTCCTTCATTGAGCCTTTCTTCTCCCCTGGGCCCACACTATCACATATTAAGGTATGCATGACCCGTCATGCATGCCCTTCATTAAAATGAGTGTAACAACAACATTGTTATTGTTGCTGTTATATATATAGTATGGAGGATCTTACAACATTTAATGTTCAAACCTTGTAGCAATACAGTTTTTGGTTCTTATAATATATAGTATGTGCCTGTTGGTTACATGTATCTGATCATTGTTTTTGTGGGTTGTCATTGATTTATACCAATAATGTCAATGTGGTTTAACCCTTGTCTTGCATTACTTCTGAAATGTGTATTATAAGATATGTTTCAAATGTCTTTTTTTTTTTTTTTGTCAACATTCATTGACATTGATATTTTATGATAACTCTGAAGCAATTGACAAGTCTTTTGTGAATCAATTTTTAAAACTACAATTCCTTCAAGGAATTAAATTATTGATACAACTTATTTCCCTTCAATCAATGACTGGTGGAATACATATGCATTGGTTTCAACTGGCTAAGACATGGACACGGAAAATATATATGCTTATGAGGCCAGTAATTTTATCAAACAATGTCTTCCACTCTCCCTGCTATGAAGATTTCTAAATGGAAATAAAAATGATTGGAATTCATTTCCATTTTGTGCATTTGGTTTCCTTCCTTTTTCCATTAAGGACCAATAATGCTAAGAGATTAAGAGTCTATAAAGATGTTCATGAATCTTTGTAGGTGAAGATTTGAAGAATGACATTAATGTCTACAACATTTAGCATAAAGTTATGGCTAAACAGAGAAATTTTGTTGATTAGGATCTTGATCATTTGAAAATATACTTATAGCAATTTATTAACTGAGGAAAACGTTACCTTCCAGATTTGCTGATTTGGACAGTACCTTGAAAATTCCTCTTGAGGTCTGCCAACTTCGGGCGTGAAGATGATACTTGAAGGATCAGTTAGCATTAACGGCCCGGAGTTGGAGAGCATGCTTTCTTTTAGATCTCCTACAGCAGATGTGGAATATGACTTATTTGGTAAACCATTAAGGACAAAGAATAGAGACTTGGAGAAGAGCTTGTATTCACCAGTGATGGAGCCAGAGAGTCAAAGAGATCAAGCTGCACTCAAGTTGCAGAAAGTTTACAAAAGTTTCAGGACAAGGAGGCAACTTGCAGATTGTGCAGTTCTTGCAGAGCAGAGATGGTTAGTTTCAACATATGTACCTGGGTAAACACAAAATTTGGAATTTATGTGAAATATTATCCTTTTTTGGTTAATTCCTCGTCCAATTCAAAATAGCTAATCGTCTTTTGTATGGGGGTCTACATTTTCATATTAGGAGTCTTAGAGCCATCTCATAAGCTACTGTCAAGCTGAAAGAGAATGAAATAAAGAATTTGATTGGAATACATGGCATTGTAAAAAAAAATTATACTGTTCTATCATGAATTGTCATATAATTGGAAACCATTCACTTTTGTAGTAATTATTTTACAAGTCATATCTAGGATGATTTATAATTAGTTGACAGTCTAAAAATCTTTACATTCGCTGTATATCAAACTTATGCTCATAAAAAGAAAGAAAGATTTCATATTTCTTGTGCTTGTGAACTCTCTATCAGACACAAAGTTTTATGTGACTGGATTAAATGTATATGTATAGGTGGAAGGCTTTGGATTTCGCCGAACTGAAGCGCAGTTCTATTTCATTTTTTGACATTGAGAAACCAGAGACGGCCATGTCACGTTGGTCGAGGGCAAGAAAGAGAGCTGCCAAGGTAAGTTCTCATATGACTTGTATAATAACATATCAATGTTGTGAGTTGAAAGACTAGTAATTTGTTTTTTCTTTTTTTCTTCACTGTTGAATAGGTTGGAAAGGGTCTATCTAAGGATAGGAAGGCTCGGAAACTTGCTTTGCAGCACTGGCTAGAGGCAGTAAGTCTCCTAGCTAAAATGATATAGTTCAAATTAAACTGCTAGTTTCTCTAACTGGCTGTCAACTTTGAACAGATTGATCCCCGACATCGCTATGGCCATAACCTTCAATTTTATTATGTCAATTGGCTCCACTGTGATAGCAATCAGCCTTTCTTCTATTGGTGAGATAAAAACCAGAACAAAAAATTATGCTTCTGTTTGACAAGTAACTTTCAATGAAACTGATGGATATATCAATCTACAAGTGTAGGCTTGATATTGGGGAAGGAAAGGAATTCAGTTCAGAGAGATGTCCTAGATCAAGGCTTCAGCAGCAATGCATCAAGTATCTGGGTCCAGTGAGTTTCATGTTTCCTTTAACATCACATTCTTTTTCATCATGATGGCTCAATCTCATGTTACATAAGGGGAGGAGGGATGGTTGGTTAAACACTAATTTATGAACTGGCTTTGGTTTTTTAATTTTTAGTGAAAAATTTTGAGCTATTAGATAGTTTAACTGCCAAGCAACATGTAATTGCAATTTCAGAAGTTGTTTCTTTTGCAGGTGGAAAGAAAGGCTTATGAAATAATTATTGAGAATGGGAGGCTCTTCTACAGGGAGAGTGAAAAACCAGTTGAAACAACTGGAGATGCAAAGTGGATTTTTGTACTTAGTACATCCAAGACATTATATGTTGGGCAGAAGAACAAGGGCACATTTCAACACTCAAGTTTCCTGGCAGGAGGAGCCACATTGTCTGCTGGTAGATTAGTGGTGGAAGATGGAGTTCTTAAGGTATCAAAAAGGAAATATAACCCAAGATTTCCATAACAGATTAAAACATTGTATCCCTTTGCTTTCTATTTGCCATTGCACAGCATACTGACAGTAGACTTTTTCAACTCCAAAGGCAGTTTGGCCTCACAGTGGGCATTATCTCCCAACAGAAGAAAATTTTGAGGAATTCATGTCATTCCTTGGAGAGAATAGTGTGGATCTTACAGATGTAAAGGTAAATGGTGACTTTGCTGCAGTATAAGATAGCATCTGTCAGTCTAATGCAAACTTCCATTCAGCATTTACATGACTGAAGAAAATCAAACTCATAGATTAACATAAATCCACACTGTTATCTCATACTAGTTTACTTGGGATAGAGAGCCATAGCATCATGCATAGAAAACTAGCTAATTGTCATTTTCTTATATCCAGAAAAACCCTGATGAAGAAGAAGACATAGCCAAAATGAACCAAGATCTTCTCCTCCTAGGCAATCCTTCAGAGGCCAATAATCCTCCAAGCGATGAAACTGAAAGTTCTGACACACTAGCTGCACAGCCACCTGACTTGAATGAGGATTCTAATGCCAATTCAAACTCTCAACCACCCACGTCAAGATTGTCGGAACGACTAGGATCAAGAGTACCTAGACTTGACATACCAAAGAGAGTCACGCTGTTGGACATATTTAGAGAAAAAGTAACTGCTCCAACTACTGAATTTTATTCTCCATATGCAATATCAGATAGTGGTTATGAGACAGCAGAAGAATCATTTATTGATGAGGAGGAGTTCATGGTTTCCAAATCAAACTTGTTTGTTAAGGATCAAGATGAAGAAAATGAAAATCCTATTCCAAAGGAGAAAATAATGAAGAGGATAAATTCTCACAAAGGAAGGAAATCATATCAATTGGCCAATCACTTGTCTACCAAATGGACAACAGGTGCTGGTCCTCGTATTGGTTGCATGAGAGACTACCCTCCAGAGCTTCAGTTTTTTATTCTGGAGCAGCAAAATTTGTCTCCAAGGGCAAGAACTGCAGCTCCATCACCCGGGATACCATCACTGTCGCGCTTCAGTCCACATGTTGCATTTCCACCTCCTTTACCTGATCCTCAAAATGCCTGAAGTAGCATGTCTATAGCTGACAATACATAGGATGAAGTACCAATCAAGGGGTGTCACTTCTGTTTGGAGCTTTGAGGTAGAGAGAATCAAATAGGTCTTTTTGCAAAGCTTTTGATGCTATTCTTTAAAAGCCATATAGTTTTTGTAGGTGGTGATGTGACGAATGAGGAACAACAGAACTTTCTATAGTTCCAAAGAGGAGAGAATATGATTGAGTTCTTTCACTCAATCTAGATTGAAACAATAGTAACTGGCAAATCATTAATGACATGTATAGATATGCAGCAAATTTCTCTGTGGATTGCTGACTACATATGTGCTATCCTTGAAACTATGTACTAACATATACACAAGATGAAATATGTAGAGTTAGACTAAATTAACTGTTACCAACACCAAAAATGTTTCATGAGCCTTTTCAATTCCTAAAATCTACCAACAAACACACTGTTTAGACTATGATTTGAGATAAGTGCCATGTATAAAATAATACCTGCCTCCATTTTGTGAGGTAGAATTATGAGTGACAGAGGTGTACATAAAAATACATTATGGAGTATTTTGAGAACATGTATTAGTAAAAAATTTATAAAAAAAAAAAAAATAGAATTAAAAAAGATAACCGGTGATGATTGCGTTCGGTGATGGAAGTTGCAATAGCTGGTAGCATAACAGGCAAATCTCAAAGTCCATGGCCTAGCTATGTAAATGAGAGTTCCAAACAAATGAAAAATATGTACTTTAAGCAACTAGTTCTCCAATAAATAAAGCACTGTCATGCTTTTAGTTATCTTTGGGTAGAGAATGTTGACTACAGACATAAATAAAGAGCTTGGGTTACATGTCTTAATAAAAATGTAATATGTGGAACTAACAATATTATTAAGGGCACTAAGGTTCGGAGCTGTCAACCTTTGGAAACGTACACTTACTTTCTATCCAAGTCGTCCATAATTCTGTATAATGAAAAACCCACTAAATTTATTTTTACAGCCACATTAAATCATCATCATCATCCCATTAACCATAAACAGTATTAAAATATTAACCAACACTATTGAATTTTTTTTTTGCCTTTGTATAAATTATTATATTTTTAATATATAATCATAAAATTTAATATATTAATAATATTTAATGTCATAATTTTTTTATTCAATAAATGCTTAACATAATAAAAAGTTCATCAACAAAGACTTAAAGTTTTAAAAATGCAAACAAACATACCCTTACAATCTAATATTTTAAAATTTATGTTGAATATAATATATAATTTATTTCCATTATTAGATCTTCTCAATATATTATTTTTTATAATTTTTAATAATAATATTGATAATTGACAATTATTAAAAACTATCATGTTTTATTGCAAAAGTAATATTTGACAATTTTAGTTAATGTAATACTGTTTTATAACTTTTAGAATTCGTTGGGTGATCAAAATAAGGATGAATAAGATATAATACCTATCATATTTATTTTAATTAAGTGTTTGTTGAGTCATAAGGATAAGATTAATAAAACTGAATAAGATATAATAACTATCATATTTATTTTAATTAAGTGTTTGTTAAGTCATAAGGATAAGATTAATTTCTCTTGTTAATTGTCTTATTCTATTCTTTTAAACTATAGTTATTACTATCTTAAGAATATGACTAAGTTAAGAGAAAAAGAAAAGATAGATAACAATTGTCTTCCCAAAATATATTTAATTTATTATATTTCCCCTCTTCTGTACTCCCTCATCTTTGTCATTTTTTATATATTGATGTTATATCATTCTTTTTATCAAGTCTGCATCAAATATTAGATATGATAAGAGTTTTTCATGCTCTCATCATATCTTACTTTTATTCTATTTATCTTAATTATATCCTAGTTATTAAACGAGTCCTTCAGTTTAGATTTCATGTTGAGTAAGGAAGATGTTAATGATCACTAACAATTATTTAGAAATTAATTAAACATGAAAGGAAGGATATGAGAGTTTTTTAAATCTTCCAAAACTTTCCTAATCTTGTTTTTTTAATTTTCCTTTTTTGGAATTTTAGTAACTTATATAATAGATTTATCATTTATATTTTTATTTATTAGATTAAATTTTTAGCATGGTTTAAAGTTAGAACAAAAAAAAATATTTTTTCAAAAAATATTAATTTTTAGAGTGATAATTTTTTTAAAAAAATTATAAAAAATAAAAATAAAAATTTTTAAAGAGAAAAATATTTAATTTTTATATTAAAAAATTTAAAAATATATACAAAGATAATAATAATAATAATAATAATAATAATATTTATATGTTAAACATCTAAAGAAAAAAGAAATTTTTTTCATCTTTTTCTTTTTTCAAATAATTTTAAATATATTTTTTTCTTCTCTCTCTAAACTCCCAAGGTAAATCCTTAATGAATTTTTTCATTACGGAAACTGCTAAAATCTTCAATAGATCAATCGAATATTAGTCGAACACCTATTAGCTTACCCATTTATCACGTTAATATTTCCTGACATCTTAGGGAATTTGTTTATGATATATGGTATGTGTCTTGAAATCCACACATTTTATTGTTATAATGTAGTTGCCTTCTTTGGGAGACAAATTCTTGGAATACTCAATGTTATTTGTCATTTTGCTCTCAACATTCACATTCGTAAACTGGGTTTTATTGTTGTTATTATTAGATATCTTAATTCATGGATTTTTTTAAAAATTATTTTGATATATCATTTTTTATTTATTGAACATTTAGTTTCGCGTTTAGTGGTTATGAATCCACATTTACTTCAATTAGCTTTCATATTAACTCCATGTTTACTACATTTTTAATATAAATTTAAATACGCCTTTATTTCACCTTAAAATATGAAAATATGATTACTAAGTAATTGGATTTGCATATTCATATTTGTGGTCATTATTGCTGAGAATCCAAAAACACATGAAACAAAATAAATGTATTAGAATACGAACTTCCTCATATCAAGTTAAAATCATGCTTTCAGCATTATAATTCTTATTTAGAGATTATATCAAAGTATTTTTATTGTAATAGAAAAGCTTTCATTGAAAGTTAAGTAATTTTTGCCTATACAAGTTTGGACGAAAGTTGAACCATAGTCATTTTTATGCCAACTCTGAAATAATATCCATGACTAATAGACATGGAAAGGGGCATTTGTTTCTATCATCGTAAATATGATGTCGATATTTTCAATATGGTTAAAGATGCTTATAATTTAATAAAGCCAACTTAAGCCACTCATTGTTTGGAAATTGTTAAGGAAAAAATTAAAAAAGATTGAAGCACTATTGGGGTTTTATACGAAAGATTCTCTTTTATATGAAAATATTAATTATAACCCTTAATTTTTTATGCTTTTTTTTTTTAATCTTATCATTTTTCTTTCTCATCACTTATTATAAAAATTTGGAATTAAAATTACGTTATTTTTTATATTTTTGAAATAGAAATACTTTCTAACATCCCTAAGGATATGTAAAACGTTAATATAAAAAATTGCAGACCTATTAAAAATATATTAAGTATTCTTTTAATTTTCACATAAAAATATTAAATAGCCACGCCAGGTATAGCACACTAGTATTACACAATACATGTAATAAAAAAAGTATCTTCATTGTTACTATTTGATTCAAAATTTTGGAAAAAAATATACATATGGAAAAGCACAATAGCTTAAAAGATAAAAATTGATGAAAACTTAATGTCATTTTATGGTTAAAGTGAAACTTTTTACATTAAAGATAATTGAATATATCTGAATAATACTTATGATGCATTTAGTATATGTAATTAGTTACATACGATTAATTATAGTATTAAAAGACTCAACCGTTTATTGTAAAAGCTTGGAATCTCAGCTAAGGTTCTTACTTAAGACTATGCAGTAATGCCATTTGAAAAACATGGCAAATTTTTTTTATCAAAAGCATTTGCAAAATTTTATCAAAGTAACAACTAACTGTATCACAAAACTGCCAATAGAGAAGAAAACCACTGTATAAAAGTCAAATCACAACTTTACTCCATCACAACAACATCAAAATTTAAGTCAGAAAACAAGTATAACATAGATTAGCAACATTAAAATATGGTATCCACTAACTACCACAAAAAAAGAACGTTTCACCACAATGTGTATCCTGAGCCAAACAACACATCCAGAGACCCTCAGCGCAACCTTCTTGCTTCTCTTTCAGACTCCAGAAGAGTGAGAATGTCTCCTTCTCTCACTGGTCCCTTCACATTCCTCATGATGTGACGGTTCTGATCATCCAAAAACTTCACTCTAACCTGAGTCACTTGCCCTCTTGACCCAGTTCGACCCATAACTTTGACTACAACAGCATGCTTCACCTGAGATTCCATCCTGCTCAAACACAAGAAACAATTACACAGTTAAAAAAGGAGATGGATAACGGACACGATCACTGACATATCTGTAGGAGGGGGGAAAAGAGTGGACAACATATATGAAACACACAGATACAAATATAAAATTATGACTCCAACATAAAATTGAACAAAGAAAGTGAATAACAAAAAAAAAGTAGAGCAACTCTGAATAAACCCCTCAACAAATACTCAAAAGAGAAGAAAATAAAATAAATCACAAGGGAATATGAACCTAACTTGTTTCACAAGTTCAACTAAACTTATGCATCCCAACTTAAAAAGGTTAAGTTATGAAGCTTCTAAAAAAATTAAGGGAAAAGTTGACTTTAAGTAAAAATTTTGATTCACCTTATCCTCCAAGTTGGCTCTTAGACTAAAATAAAAATGCAGTTCCCTGCGGTTAAGTGAAATTTAGCATCAATACAAACTCGATTCAACAGCCATCATAGTTGTTACTGAGATATCAAGACATCATCAATCACTACATGGATATAAATCGTTCAGACCATAAAACAGCAATCCAAATCATACTACTGTATGAAAAACGTCTAATATGGAAGTCCAATAACTATATAAACAACAACAGCTAGGTAGATATCAGAACAAATATGTTTGCAGCCTCATTATGTAATTATAATCCCAAAAGCTTCAAAACAAACTCGGAATACATTTTGCAAATTTATTCCAGCATATGTATGATATAACATGCCCATAATCATGTTCTGTATCATAAAAAAGGTTCATTGCAAAAAACAACTCCAGCAAATGTCTGATTAAGAAACCATTGTTAAATATACAACAACAGCAATAATAAAAATAATAAAAGCGGAACAGTCATGAAATTTCAAGCAACAATATAAAGGGCATAGAAAACATAGTGCAAGAAAAGTGTGTTGCTGTGCCAGCATCTTTTGTACTTATCTCACTAATTTGTTAAGGCAAGTAAAAATCTACCTTTCTTATAGCTATTAAAGTTTGAAGCAAATACTGTCGCACTGAGAGAATTTCTAACAATGCAATATGTAAAACTAATTTTCAATAAAGTTTATTAAAAATCTTAAAAATTAATGATTCTACCTCACCCTTTTATAGTCTTCAATGAATTTAAGCAAATAACTAAGAGCATGTTAAAAAATCTGTTTCTAACACTGCTTATTGCACCAGAGACCAAGTTGCCATTACTATTGCGTAAAAAAAACCAAAAATTCAAATTCAGCAATAATATATAAAATTTCAATTAGAAGCAAAATCAGCACTATTACCGTAACCATTCAAAATGCTACTTAAGCAGAAATCATCATCCACATCAAACCAAACAGATCAGCATAACACAGTTACCGACATTCACATCACAAAAACACATAAATAATGAACGAATCGAACGTACACTTTGCAGATGTAGATTAGCACGTCGATGAAAGATTAAAAACAGAAAAAAAGACAACCTGATTGTAGAGAAGCGAGGTTGCGGCTGCTCTCTCTGTCTCTACTAACTTTTAGCAAAAGAAACGAAGACGAAACCCTAGTTATTTAAATTTATAGACACATCTTTATCAAAATGACAATAATAAAGATTAAAAAAAATTAAGACAATAATACCTTATTGTAAACTAGTTAATAATAAAAAATTATAGGAGAATTGTATAATTGTTTATAAATTTATAGATTCCAAAAATTTATCGTGTTAAATATAATTAAATTAAAGATAATTTTTCTCAAAAGTAAGCAAAGTTTTATAGAAAATTCAAGATTCAGATTAAGTTTGAATTCGATATTTGTATGTTTATTAAAATGGTGTATCATTTTTTAAATTTAAATTAAAAAATTTAATACTTTTTATTTTAATTTATATAAAAAACTTTTTATTCTGATATTTATAATTTAAATCAAATTAAAATTAAAATCAAAAATAGTATTTAAAAGTAATAAAGTTAATAAAATAAAATAAATCCTTATTCTTTTGATTTAAAAATAAATAAATGCTCGATTTTGAAGAATGAGAAAGATTGACGATAATATAATTTTTAATATTATTTTTACTCAAGAATAAAAATTTAGATTTAAGAGTAAGAGAAGAAAAAAAAATCATTACTCTATTGACATCTTTAAGAGTAAGAGAAAAAAAATAATTATGAAAATTATAAATTTTTATCTAATCATATATTTATATTTGATGTATTTATATATAATATAGCTTAATAGATAGTAATACAAATAACACGTGATTACAAAAATTATACGTGATAATAGTTACAACAATAATAATATTAATGACAATAATAAATATAAAATAATAAATTTAATAAAAATATATTTTTATTATAAAAATAAAATAAAAAAATGTATTTTTATCAGTTGCATTTGTTTCTGTTACTGATTATTTCCACTCCTAACAAGTAGAATTAATCTGTTTGAATTAAAGGAAGATATAAAATAGAAAGTATAGTTTTATCCATCTTTAATATAAATATAAATATAATTTCTTATTTTCTTACTTTACAAACATTTTTATTGAATAATAAAAAAATTTATGTGTATTAAGTTTTTTTATTAAAATTTATATGATATATTTTACATTCATAACATTAAACATTATAATTGTAAATGAAAATTATTATTGAATAATTGTTATCATACACCTTATACACATTTGTAAAACTGATTTTAATATTTAAATTTTTTAAAACTTGAAGCTAAAAAATCCTAAAGTTATGTTGATATTAGTTTAATATGAGAAGTTGTGTATGCCATTTTTATTAGTTAATACAAGGCTGTGATATAATATAACAAATTTCACTCAAAATGTATCCATAATATTATTAAATTAGATATGTTTAAGCTTTTTGTTATTTGGGTGATAATAAATTGGGTTGATCATTTATTGTGAGACAGCTAAAGTGAAAGAATATGTAAAATGAGAAAATAAGAATTTATATTTATATTTATATTAAAGATGGATAAAACTATACTTTCTATTTTATATCTTCCTTTAATTCAAACAGATCAATCTTACTTGTTAGGAGAAGAAGTAATCAGTAACAGAAACAAATGCAAATGATATAAATACATATTTTTATTTTATTTTTATAATAAAAATATATTTTTATTAAATTTATTATTTTATATTTATTATTGTCATTAATATTATTATTGTAACTATTATCACATATAATTTTTGTAATCGCGTGTTATTTGTATTACTATCTATTAAGCTATATTATATATAAATACATCAAATACAAATATATGATTAGATAAAAATTTATAATTTTCATAATTATTTTTTTTCTCTTACTCTTAAAGATGTCAATAGAGTAATGATTTTTTTTTCTTCTCTTACTCTTAAATCTAAGTTTTTATTATTGAGTAAAAATAATATTAAAAATTATATTATCGTCAATATTTCTCGTTCTTCAAAATTGAGCATTTATTTATTTTTAAATCAAAAGAATAAGCATTTATTTTATTTTATTAACTTTATTATTTTTAAATACTATTCTCGATTTCAATTTTAATTTGATTTAAATTATAAATATCAGAATAAAAAGTTTTTATATAAATTAAAAAAAATTATTAAAATTTTAATTTTAATTTAAAAAATAATACACCATTTTAATAAACAAACAAATATCGAATTCAAACTTAATCTGAATCTTGAATTTTCTATAAAATTTTTCTTACTTTCGAGAAAAATTATCTTTAATTTAATTATATTTAACAAGATAAAATTTTGGAATCTATAAATTTATAAACAATTATACAATTCTCCTATAATTTTTTATTATTAACTAGTTTACAATAAGGTATTATTGTCTTAATTTTTTTAATCTTTATTGTTGCCATTTTGATAATGATGTATCTATAAATTTAAATAACTAGGGTTTCGTCTTTGTTTCTTTTGCTAAAAGTTAGTAGAGAGACAGAGAGAGCAGCCGCAACTTCGCTTCTCTACAATCAGGTTGTCTTTTTTTCTGTTTTTAATCTTCCATCGACGTGCTAATCTACATCTGCAAAGTGTACGTTCGATTCGTTCATTATTTATGTGTTTTTGTGATGTGAATGTCGGTAACTGTGTTATGCTGATCTGTTTTGTTTGATGTGGATGATGATTTCTGCTTAAGTAGCATTTTGAATGGTTACGGTAATAGTGCTGATTTCGCTTCTAATTGAAATTTTATATATTATTGCTGAATTTGAATTTTTGGTTTTATTTACGCAATAGTAATGGTAACTTGGTCTCTGGTGCAATAAGCAGTGTTAGAAACAGATTTTTTAACATGCTCTTAGTTATTTGCTTAAATTCATTGAAGACTATAAAAGGGTGAGGTAGAATCATTAATTTTTAATATTTTTAATAAACTTTATTGAAAATTAGTTTTACATATTGAATTGTTAGAAATTCTCTCAGTGCGACAGTATTTGCTTCAAACTTTAATAGCTATAAGAAAGGTAGATTTTTACTTGCCTTAACAAACTATTGAGATAAGTACAAAGATGCTGGCACAGCAACACACTTTTCTTGCACTATGTTTTCTATGCCCTTTATATTGTTGCTTGAAATTTCATGACTGTTCCGCTTTTATTGTTTTATTATTGCTTTTGTTGTATATTTAACAATGGTTTCTTAATCAGACATTTGCTGGAGTTGTTTTTTGCAATGAACCCTTTTTTATGATACAGAACATGATTATGGGCATGTTATATCATACATATGCTGAAATAAATTTGCAAAATGTATTCCGAGTTTGTTTTGAAGCTTTTGGGATTATAATTACATAATGAGGCTGCAAACATATTTGTTCTGATATCTACCTAGCTGTTGTTGTTTATATAGTTATTGGACTTCCATATTAGACTTTTTTCATACAGTAGTATGATTTGGATTGCTGTTTTATGGTCTGAACGATTTATATCCATGTAGTGATTGATGATGTCTTGATATCTCAGTAACAACTATGATGGCTGTTGAATCGAGTTTGTATTGATGCTAAATTTCACTTAACCGCAGGGAACTGCATTTTCATTTTAGTCTAAGAGCCAACTTGTAGGATAAGGTGAATCAAATTTTTACTTAAAGTCAACTTTTCCCTTAATTTTTTTAGAAGCTTCATAACTTAACCTTTTTAAGTTGGGATGCATAAGTTTAGTTGAGCTTGTGAGACAAGTCAGGTTCATATTCCCTTTTGAGTCATGTTATTTTCTTCTCTTTTGAGTATTTGTTGAGGGGTTTATTCAGAGTTGCTCTACTTTTTTTTTGTTATTCACTTCCTTTGTTCAATTTTATGTTGGAGTCATGATTTTATATTTGTATCTGTGTGTTTCATATATGTTGTCCACTCTTTTCCCCCCTCCTACAGATATGTCAGTGATCTTGTCCGTTATCCATGCTCCTTTTTTAACTGTGTAATTGTTTCTTGTGTTTGAGCAGGATGGATTCTCAGGTAAAGCATGCTGTTGTAGTCAAAGTTATGGGTCGAACTGGGTCAAGAGGGCAAGTGACTCAGGTTAGAGTGAAGTTTTTGGATGATCAGAACCGTCACATCATGAGGAATGTGAAGGGACCAGTGAGAGAAGGAGACATTCTCACTCTTCTGGAGTCTGAAAGAGAAGCAAGAAGGTTGCGCTGAGGGTCTCTGGATGTGTTGTTCGGCTCAGGATACACACTGTGGTGAAACATTCCTCTTTTTGTGGTAGTTAGTGGATACCATATTTTAATGTTGCTAATCTATGGTATATTTGTTTTCTGGAATGAATTTTGATGTTATTGTGATCGAGTAAAATTGTGTTTTTATTTTCTATATAATGCTTTTCCTTCTTTTTTTGTTTGTTTTTAGATGTAGTCAGAGCGATTACTTTGATATAACTTTGCGAATGGTTGTCATCTAAACTTTGTCATGTTTTTGGAATGGCATTTCTGCACATTTTTAAAATTGATCAGAATTGATTTGGATAAAATTCATTTTGAGCTTTTAATATAATTGAGAAGTTAACGTTATTTAATCTTTTTCTGTATATTATTTGAACGTGTTTTTTGAGAATTGTTTTTCAATTGTAAACCGACAGCCTGAATACTCTGGATATTTTCATACTTTACCATGTACGATCTTAGATACTCTAAAATGAGACTAAATTTAGATAGTAAAATTATATAGTTAGATTGAAGCAATTACGAAATCAATCAAGTGAAATATGTTACAATTTCAACTCTTTCATTTTCCACATGTAAAACAAACAGTTCAAAACATTAAAGGGTGTAATAACATTTTTTGTAACATGTTGATTGCTCATACGATGGAAGTTTTACTCTTGTGCATTGGTTATCAAATATTGAAGAACGCAGTAGTCCCGAGTAGGCGCCCACGTTTAGAAACGGGTTGTTTCGATTATTTTTATTTTTATTTAGAAGAGATAGAAATAATTATTCTTTTTTTTTAAAAAATAAGTTGAATTAAACAATTACCTTTTTTATTATATAGTTCTATTTGTCGTTTTCCAACTTATATAAAATGTATCCTAAGTATTATTCATGTCTGCTGTCAAAATATCTTGATTTAATGCTTAAATTGTCTATTTATTTTTATTATGAAAGTTTGAAAATAATAATAAATTCATTTTTTTCATTTTTTTCTTCATCTTTTCCATTATAACCTATGATTTCTTGAGAGTCATTTTAAACTAAAATTTCTTAACTTTCATCATTCATGAGTCAACTTAAGCATTAGTGTATTATGATACCATTAAGTTGTTGATAAAATTCAAAGGCTCCTGTTAATTTTTTTTTTATGAATATTCTTGCCACATCCTCGATTGATAAATCTTGAAGGGCTTCTGTTTCTCATTATTGGTTGTGACTTTGTTAAGTCACTCGTGTTTTATTATTTATCAGTCATGCAAGTTGCTATTTATTTATTCTTCGTTGTACTCAAGGATCCTCTAACATTTTCTGAAATTAAGTAATCCTTAAATTACAGCTTTTTAAAAATAAGAGATAAACATTACTTTGTTACTAAACATAATAGATAACATTAAAGAAAAAAAATGGGTTTGAATATATATATTATGTTTAGTAACAAAGTAATGCAAGTCTAAACCGTGTTTTTTTTTGTCTCAAGTCTTTAACCGTTAAATGTATAATTGTTTGAATTCCTAACCAAGTTACACAAGCACAGATTGTAGTTGATGGTCGCCAGGTAATGGGCTAGTCATGGGCTAAGCGGGGGCACATTCAATGTGTGACCATGGAGGTGTTTGACCAAGAAAACAACTATTTTAGGAGGTATTGTCAACGGTGATTTTGCTGTTGTGATTTGTGTGTACAAGTTAATTTGGTTCACAAGGTCCTATGCTAATTTGGGATGAGTGGAGTGGTTGATGTTGGTTCATGGAGTTTTTTAAGAGGGTTATTTAAGAGGGTTATTGGGTCTTTGTGTTTACACAGTTTCAAATCTGTAAATATGTCAGACAAAAAATAATATATATAAACTGTAAATAGGGAGACATTACATATGTATTAGAGCAATTTCACGGGCGACTCCTAAAGCAATTTTATGATGACATGACATTCTTCAACAAAATACCAATTCTTACTAAAACAAGTTTCTTAATGTAAGAAAACAACATCAAACAAGAAAGAGAGAAACAAGCAACATATCATATTACGGATAAAAATATATGGTTATACAACTTTTTAATTGACTATTTTGTACTAATATTTTTTTTTATCACAATCATATTTAATAATGAACACACTTTTGAAGTTTAAGTCAGTTTTACTTTCTCTTCAACATTCTGTTTGATTAGGGATAAATAGAGAAGTAAAAATAAAGTAAAAATATGATTAAAAAATATTATTTATACAAGTAAAAACAGGAGAAAAAGAAGTGAAAATAGTTTATGTTTATTTGAATGAGTATGAAATAAAAAATAAATAAATAAATAAATAAAAGTAAAACTGAAGTGAAAAAGACGTGTTATTTGGATAAAAAATTACGAAAAAGAAAATAGTAAATGATCATAATAATAACATTATTGTAATATTTTTCTAGTAAAAGTTATTTGTATTATTCTATATTTTATATTATATGAAGTACATATCAATATAAAATTAATTAAAATTAAAAACCTCCCTCCCCTCTTTCATTTCTCCCCACTTTTAAGAGCAAGATTCATAAGGTGGGTCTCATCTTTATTTTGTATATTTCTCATCCCTCTTATTTCCACTCAAATAAACTACATTATTTCTGTATAAAAAATAAACTACTTAATTAGCTGCTTTTTAATTTTTTATTTCCCACTCTCATGTTTTTCTCTCTTAAAAATTACCCATAACCATAAGAAACAAAAGTGTAAATATTAGTAGTAAAATACACTAGGCTTCTGTACCCCCCGAAAAAAAAAAACCTGTACATGGCCCATTAGTGAAGGGGATAAAATTACATAATTGCAGAGAAATATTGGGTCGGCCCAAAAATGATTTTATTTAGGGTTTTGATCATTTAATAAATACCCAAATGCGAACAGCAAGTGTCTAGGGTTTTTCTTCTCGCAGTTCGATTCGAGTTACTCCTTCCGCCACACTCTCTGTACCTCCCCAACACCACCAAGTTAGTTCTCTCCCTCTCTCTCTCTCTCCCTCTCTCTAACTCTAACTCTAACTCTAACTCTAACTCTCTTTGTTCAATTGCTGTCGCAGCCATGGCTGAAGTCATCCACGAAGCTGGCACCGTTCCAGATCCTACCCAAATCGATGTCAAGCTCTTCAACCGCTGGAGCTTTGATGATGTTCAGGTACGCCCAAAATCACATCAAATTTTATTAATTAAGATTGAACTAGTTCATAGTTTAATTGTATCTGAATATTTTAAGATAAATGTTTTGTGTTTTAATAATGTATCTTTATTTGTTTTCCTTTTCTTATTAGGTTAACAACGATTTTCTGCTGATTAGTTTAATTATATCATGCAATTTTTTAATTAATTGTGTTTCATGTTTTCTTAGTATTATTGTATCTCAAAATGTTTTTTTTTTTGTTATTAGGTTAATGGCGTTCTCTGCTTTTTAGATGAATTATATATGTATCTTTAATTAATTGTGCTACATTTTTTCTATGTATTGTTATATATTAAACTTAGTTATTTTTTTCGTTTTAAATTTAGTTTTTTAATGTGCTGATAGGTTAACGACATTTCTCTGGCTGATTATATTGGAGTGGTGCCATCGAAGCATGCAACTTACGTTCCTCACACTGCTGGTAGGTATTCGGTGAAGAGGTTCAGAAAAGCGCAGTGTCCCATTGTTGAGAGGCTCACCAACTCTCTCATGATGCATGGTAGAAACAATGGCAAGAAACTTATGGCTGTTAGGATTATCAAGCATGCTATGGAGATCATTCATTTGCTGACTGACCAGAACCCAATTCAGGTCATTGTCGATGCTGTCATCAATAGGTATGTGCTGGCACTCTAAATAGAATATCATGATGTGTTTATGCGTTGATGGATTTGCTTTGAACTTTAAATTGCTATTACAGTTTTGTTGTTGCTTCTGCTGGCAAATTGCGGCTAATATGTAACATGATGTGGTTTGCAATTTAAAACCCCATTAAGAATCTTTTCCTTTTGTAGATTTGTACTGTAGGAAGTTAAGCAGCTTGCCAATGCTGAAATTTCTAGTTTGATTTTGGGAAATGTGTCATTGATTTTATAGATTTGTGGTTTTGAGTTCAAATTTGTGTTTACAGTTGTGTCTGATTTGGAGGATGGAGTGATGATTATTTTTTTCCCTATTGGTTTGATTGCCTGAATGATGGCAGCCTGTATTAGCTCTATATGACCATTCTCCTTGGGACCTTTTGTACTGTTGTGTAAACCGATAATTTGCTTTGGTAATCTTACTGCACCTATATTCTATGTAATATTTTGTTTTTCTGTATGTTTTAATTGTAATTACTTGGAAAGTTCTTACTTCGGGGAATGAAACTCAGGTTAAAGATACTTACCTTAATAAAAAAGTTTTTGACCCAGGACAGTTAAAGTTGGAGAATGACATGATGATTAATTGTTTCCCTATTGGTTTGATTGCCTGGATGATGGCACTTATGTATTAGCTCTATCTGATCATTCTCCTCAATAATTTAAAATAGAATTTTTGTTTGTTTGTTTTAGTGTAATACTTGTTGCTTAAATATATCATGATGGCTCTTCATGTCTTGGGTTATTATCATGGAGGCAAAGTTAGGTTGAAGTGATACTTCACATTTTTCTTGAGCAAATTGTGTTTGCTGGAAAATTTTAATAACATTAATATGAGACTATACAACTGCAGCAATGTGAATATTATTTGCAGTTCTTGATATGATCTGTTGTAAATTTTTTTTTTTTGAATTTTTATTTCATAGTGTATTTATGTCTTTCAATAATTCAGTGGTCCTCGTGAAGATGCAACTAGGATTGGTTCTGCTGGAGTTGTGAGGAGACAGGCTGTGGATATCTCCCCCCTTCGCCGTGTTAATCAGGCCATATATCTTCTAACTACAGGTGCACGGGAAGCTGCTTTCAGAAATATTAAGACAATTGCTGAGTGTTTGGCTGATGAACTTATTAATGCAGCCAAAGGTTCATCCAACAGGTATATATTTAGAGTTCTATCCCTCGAGTGTGCATTTTTTGTTGTATTAAGTCTCTTTCTCTTTCATCATACTTTGTTTTTAATGGTTTTGGGATTGCTTCTGAAAATATTATTCCCTCCAGTTATGCTATCAAGAAAAAGGATGAAATTGAGAGAGTTGCCAAGGCCAATCGTTAAACAGTTCGAGGAAGCAGTATGGTTGACGAGAAAGATTTTGTTTCGATCTTTGTACTTCATTTATTGACCGTGGTTAATTATGTATCTTATGTAATACTTTTGCTGGCTTTTAGTTACCTTTTATCTGTTATGGATGATTTTGTTGCTTGGACGTAAATTTGAGTTCCGAGGACCGAGACCATGAGTTTTAGTACTAGCCTGGTTCATATATTACCATATGATGATTTCATTTCATGGTCGTGTGTTTCCTTTCTAGCCTTGACATGTTTTATTTCTGCCCAAACTTAAATTATAAACTTATTAGGATAGTAAACACTTGTAATTTCAACGTACGGATATTCGAATATTGTAAAGCAGTGATGAGTCTTCTCATGAGCGAGTAATTTTGGGTAGGAGACTCCGATGCGATTTCAAAGATTCCAAATAGGATATGGCTTTTTCCCTAAGCCCTTTTAAAGGGTAAGCTTCATAACGTAAATTTTACCCGGAAGAGGCACAATATTTGAGTAACGGCGTTTCTATTAATATCGTGGGCAAGAATGGGTTGATCATGGATAGTGTGCTTGAGACAGCATTTGATGGATAGTGGAATAAACGATGTCCAATTTTCTTTGGGATAACAAAATGAAAAAAATTACTAGATTTATTTGAGAAATTTAATGTTGAATTTGTCACTCTGGTAATTTCATGAGAATTATAAATATAAACTTGCTAGCCTTTGAGTATTGGACACAATATTTATGAATGTAGACGTGATTAATGTTACCCTCAAGTAAAATCTGGTAACCTTAAAGATTTCGGATTTTTTTTTTTTTTTAACTTTGGGAATGTAAATAGGTTCTTTTAAGATTTTGAAATTATGAGTATATGATTTTTATATATAAAAAATTATTAATGTATTTTGCCATAGTTTTGAACGCATTTAAATCGTAATTTCTAATAAAAATCTTATTGATTTTCAATTAATATTTTCAAGACACTCACTGACAAGACTTAATATACTTTTGTTAATATGCATTTAAACTAGATTTGTTTCATGAACCAAAACAAAATATGGATTGGTTGAGCTTGATGGGCTAGGTTCGGGTTGCAGTAAACCCGGTCCATAAACTATCTCCCTGTAGTGGCAATCCTGCTCAGCTCTTCCCCACACGAGATCGGCAAAATGGAGGAACAAGTCCAAGTGAACCCTAACCCCAACCCTAACCCTAACTCGCTTAACCCACTCAGTGAGTCCTCCGCGTCGCCCTCGTTCGCCGCCGACGACGACGAACCAATTCTGAGTTCTCATACACTCGCCGCCCTCAAAGAATTCCTCGCCGAGCAGCAGAGCCACTCCAATGCGGAGGTTGTTTTGGTCTCCGAGGATTGGAGGTTGAGCCAGTTCTGGTACACCCCTGAAACTGCTAGAACCGTCGCCGAAGAGGTTCTCACTCTCTGCCATGGCCTCCATTCTCGCGTTGCCTGCATTGCTTGCCCTACTCTCTATTGTTATCTCAAGGTTTCTTATACCTTTTCACTTCTCTCCCTTCGAAGTTTAAGTTTTATTTATCTTTTAATTTACCATTTTGCTCAGGTGAGAGTGATTGGTATTGGCCACTGTAAATAGTCAGAACTCAAATGTGTGAAATTAATGTGTGTGAGTTTGAGAGCCTTCCTATATATATGTTTTCCATTCATAATTTTGGTGTGAAATTCACAAGATAGTTTGAACTGTTAAGCAGTGTATTTATAACTCAGATTACGTTTGAAGTCTGTTATTGTAATCTTTTTGATTTGTATATAAGATTGGAGTGTAGGGTATTAACTTAAAGTGGAAGATGTTTACAATAATAAAGTGATTTATTGATTCCTATTGCTCCATCTTTTTTGTTTTTGATCGGTTTAGTGTTTTTCTGTTTGCTTTTGCTGTATTAGTTACATTCCCTTTTTCCTTTCTTCAATATTACAGAAAATGGATCCTAATGTTTCTGTGCAACTTCTTGAGTATGACAAACGTTTTGAGCAATACGGAAGTGATTACACATTTTATGACTACAATCACCCTGTGGTGATACCATCTGAATTGAAGCATTCCTTCAAAGTTGTGGTTGCAGATCCTCCATACCTGGTGAGTATTAATTGCTGAGATTTTACTTGCTGCAAATCGGTGTCTTTTATAACTTTTACTTCCCCTTCTGCTATTTTTGTTTGCGCACTTCACAGAAAACTATAGATGATTTGAGTGGTAGAGGATTAGTTGATTATCATGACTTGTGAAAAAATGAATTTTGCATACCTAGTGTGCAAGTTGTAAAGTAGTTTGAACTTTGAACTGTATAACTTAATTCAGTTAAAACCCAGATGCTATCATATGCGTAGTCAGTGCATATTTTAAAAGCTGTGTATATTTAATTAGGAGTGTACAAATTCCACTACCCGTTTCTTGTTCTAATTTCAGAAATGTAGATCCCAAAAGATTTATTTATTACACATCTAATGTGTTGGACTTCTGTTCAGTTTTTTTCAGCCCTCCCTCGTGTACTTTTTTAAACGTTTTCTGATTAAAAGTAACCACAGTACTATGATATGAAATTGATATTCTAAGTCTGGTAGTTTTGATTGTAAAAATAATCAATATGAAGCAAAGCAAAGCAAAGGCTGAGCTATATAGTACTTAATATCTCTTTCGATGAATTGAATTGCATGTGTCATGGATAGTTAGGGTTCCTATATTTCAGTGTGAACTGTGAACTAATTTTACACCTTGTTTCGTGTATTCTCATGGCTTCTAGCAACGAGGCACCTGTTTTCTCTATTTCTGCATTTCTCACTATTTTCTATGAATGATTGTAATTGTTTGTTGTCAGAAGAGGTAACCATGATTCAAGTGTAAAAGAAAAATCCAGTTTTATGTAAGGCATGAGAAACGTTTTTCCTTCTTTTACAATCTAAAAAGTAAACAAGTCAGATTAATGTATACAGGGTGTTGAGCCAGTTTCGGATGCCCATATAACCTACGTGAAAGCTCTTCCATATTACCTTCAAAATCTACAAATAAGAATGACTGTCGGTGGTGAACTTTTACTCTTTAATTTGTAATGACAATTTTGTCCTTTTAGGGGGAAATAGAAAAGACATAAAGTGTGAGACCTATCTATGAGATTGACAGTATAGATTATTTCCAATTGAAAACACAATGCTCTGGTTGCTGATCATTTTACTCCAATTGTTTTGTTAATAGAGCAAAGAGTGCTTGGAGAAAGTTTCTGAGACAATTCCTTTGCTCATACAACCTGGAGAGTCATTTTTGCTTCTACTTACAGGTACCAATGAAGCTTAACCTGTTGTGTTTTGTATCACTGCTCTGGAAATGATGATTTACTCTCAATGGTATGTTTATGATAAGATAATCAATTTAAAGAATTACTAAGAAATAAAACTCTATCCATGGTTGGGTATTCTAATTGTTGTATTACAACTGTAGGTGAAGTGCAGAAAGAAAGGGCAGCACAGATCTTGGGCTTGCATCCTTGTGGTTTTAGGCCTCATCACTCCAGCAAACTTGGAAATGAGTTTAGGCTGTTCTCAAACTATGACCCTGGAACGAGACTAGGAGGGTGGGAAAAATAGGTACTTTTCTTTTTGTAGCCTTGCATTTGATGTCTCTAATTAGATATCTGTAAAAAGTTGAATATATTTTGCCCTACAGCTGCCCACACACTAATGGAGATGAATGAAAATATAGTCGGAAAAATAAATAAATTTAGGGACAATTTTTTTTTCTATTTTCTTTTTAGTTCACATTTTAATATTTTCTTTCTCCCTTTGTTTTCTTTCTTCTAAAACAATTTCGTGCAACATATGCTATGTAATGTGTCTATGCAACAAAGTGTGGGTCAGTTGTGGATTTTCCAATATGAAAATGATATATAGGCGTATGAAGCTGCAATTTCAGATTTGGTGTCTCGGTGATTGAATGATCTTGTCTGCCACCACGAGGACATTGAGGCTATTCTTCTTCAATTACTTATCAAATACGCACCACATTTCTGTATCATTACAATGACAACAAGCTTGATTTTGACTTTGGTTTGTATGAGTTATCGTCCATTTCTCTCAATTTCTTGTAAGAGGCATAGTTTTAAGGTGTATTAGATTATGAGTTTATAATGGACCTATTAAAATAACTCTCTTCTGATATTTGAAATTTGAACTAAATGTTTGACCTAACCAAGTAAAATGTAATTGTGAGTTATAATGTGCTAATATGGACAATTTCTACATGGAATCTAATCGTGTGGTCCCCAGCCAAGGATTTTTCTCAACATGAGCATCTTAAAGTTAATATACTAAAATATAATGGGTGATTCTAAGGTCCTTCTATTCATTGTAAAAGTAGTAGAATTGCAAAAGTCAAGTTGTTGTATAAGTAAATTTTAAAACAATTAAGACTATGAATTAGATTGTGTTAAATCGATGGATAGGATTGAAACTGTAAAAGTAAAAAATCAGATGAGTAACTTAAATTTGTTAGTCAGGAAGGATAAAAAAAGTAAATAAGAAGCTTATATATTTGGACTGTTGATGAATGAGTATACAAGTTCTTTGTTTTCCTTCCAAGGATGACAGTGTTAACATTGATTATGGTATCCCAAAAAGTTAATCACTGACGTTATTCATGTTGTCATTTAATTGTGTACCGTCGGAGAAGATGAAATGTAGTTTGGAGAAGACAAAAATTGAAGAAAGAATGATATAAATAATGTTGATAAAGTCGTAGTTTGTATGACACTGTAACTCCCTACGTCATTTTCGTTCCAATTGTGATCATCAATTATTACAATGAAGCAACATAAGGCAAATGATACAATGTACGAAATAATGTTCTATGTTACTTGTACATCAGTTTTGATCCACAGCTATAGTAGAAAGTGTTGACATATTTATAAAACGATATTTTCTATATCGGTGCGGTGAGGTAGCGTATATAAAAAGAAGCGAAGATTAACATTTGGTCTTATAAGTCAGTTTTGAGAGAGACTAACATAGAAGTTAAAAATTAACATTAAAAATGCCGTTTGTACATCGCATGTCTCAGAGAACCGTTGCAGAAGAAATATATATAAATAAAATAGTGTAACCATATTAGTTGGCTCCAAACACTGATGTAGTTAATAGTGACATTGTTTTAAACAATGAAAAGTTTGAAGCAGACATAATATTTTGTTGTTAAAATCAGATTAATGCAAGCAAACAAGTGCTAAATCTGAGGAAGAACTGTCGAAGGGTAGCATTTGTTAAGCTAGAAAAGAAAGTAGATTAGGATGAGGAAGAGGAAGACAAAAGAGCTTGGATAAGGCAAGTCAAATAATACCCTTTGTTTGTTTGTAAAATAAAATGGATGTCAGTGGAAATGAGAATAAAAACGAAGAGGTTTGTGTACATTTTGTTTGTTTAAGCGAAAGTTATATCTGATTTACAAAAAGTAATTTGGATTTGTTATAGGTTTTTGTTGATGAATGTAATGTTGAAGAGGAAATTGCAACTTCAGATGAAGTCGATATGAAAAATGACAGGTATGAACATTTATTTGATTTATCCAACATTAAAAATATGAAATTTTTTAGTGTGAATGATTGTTATAAATTTTATAATGAATATGATAAATGAATGGGTTTTGGCGTGAAGAAAAACAAACGTGATAAAAATAAGAACGGAGAAGTTATGTGGCAACAATTTGTCTCTTTAAGTGAAGGTTTTCGAAGACAAACATATCGAAGTTTGCCAAATTAACTTAGGGACCACAAAGCGATGACAAGATGTGGTTGTGAGGTTGAGTTGAAGATACGAAAAGATGTAGATAAAGGGTGCTGGGTAGTTTCACGATTTTTTAGTAATCATAATTATAATTTAGTTGATGACAATTATTATGGAATGCTAAGGTCACATCAAAAAATGGATGATGCTGATGTTGAACATATGCGGACAATGAGAAAAAGTGGTATTCTAACGTCAAAAATATATAACTCATTTGTTAACCAAAGAGGAAGTTATAAGATGTTTGGTTTTGTAAAAAAGATATGTACAATCAGATTGAGAAAGGTAGAAGAGGAGATGATGAGGATGTAAGAGAGGCAAAAAAATTCTTATTATGACTGCGGTTTAAGTATATGAAGTTGTATTGGAGTCATAAAGTAAATTGCAATGAAAGGTTGTTGCATCTTTTTTGGTGTGATGGTACTAGTCAAATTGATTATGCAATATTTGGAGATGTTGCTTTTAATGCTATTTATGAGAGGAATAAATACAAATGTCCTGTGGTGGTATTTCCAGGCATTAATCATTATAAACAAACGTGTATATTTGGGTGTGCTGTTGTGTCTGATGAAAAGGAAAAAATTTATGTATGGGTTCTTCATTAGTTCTTGACAGCAATGAAGGGTAAGTGTCCTAACTGTGTAATTATGATGGTGACGTTTCTATGAGGAATGCTATAAAGAAAGTATTTCCAAATATTCATCATCGATTGTGTGGGTGACATTTAATGAGGAATGTGAGATCAAATGTTCGTAATGAAAGTTTTTGTAAATTGTTTAAGCAATCCATGCTTGGTGATCTTGACATTGAATAATTTGAACAAAGGTGAGCTTCTGGAGTTCAAGAGTGTGATTTAGGAGATAATGAATGGGTTCAAGAACTATATAATAAGGAGATGTGGTGCATTGCTTACATTAGGAAAAAAAAATTTGCTGCATTAAGGACAACCTAAAGATGTGAGGGCCTGCATCTCCAAATTGGTAAGTATGTGAAGTCACGAAATAATTTGAGAGAATTTTTGAAAAATTTTAAGCAGTGTGTGATGAATCCACTTTTTATTATATTTTTACTTACCTTTTTGGTGCTTCTTGATAGAAAAAATGGACTTAGATAGTGCAAATAATATAGAAATTACATTTTGAGTAAATATCATAGGTTTATTAATTTTTGGTTAATTTGCATTTAATTACATAGATATAGATTGCAATTTTAAATATCTTAATAATTTTTGCAGAGTCCCCAAGTTAATTTTGAGAAATCTTGGCCCTTGGATGAAAGTTGCCTCCAAAGTAGCCACTTTTAGGAGCAAAAGTGGCAACTACAGCAAGTTTGGGCATTAAAGGCTCCAAAGTAGCCACTATCAAGCCCAAAAGTGGCAACTCCAGAAGCTCCAGGGACGCCAATTTTGAAGCATTTCTGCGCGTGGACACTATTGGCTCTCATAGTAGCCACGCGCACCAAAGTAGCCACTTTCAGCACAAATAGTGGCAACCCTTCCATCCTGCGCGTGGACACTTTCAAGGCCCAAAGTGGAAACTTTCAAAGGCAAAAGTGGACACTTTGGTGACATGTCATCCACTATAAATAGATTTTAGGAATTAGGGTACGAGACTTTTGACACTTTACACAATTTTCCTTTGCCAAATTGGGATAATTTCTTACGACATTGGAGTTTTGGGTGACAGTCAAGGGTCCTCTATAGGTTTTAATTTTCAATTTCTCTTTTGATTTTTGTTGAATTTACATTAATGATGTTTACGTTCTTGCATTTCTTTCTCTCATTTGTGAAGCCCATCCATATGGAGGGTTAAACTTTCTTGTAATTCCTAGTCAATGCACATGAATCTTGAATTCTTGGGATTAATTGCAATACAGATCTTTCTTTCCTTGAATTTATACCCCAATCTCTGAATGAAATAGAATTTGCATGAAGGGAACATTGCTTAATGAACCCTAATTTACCTAACGAAATTCTAAATCAAAATTGCTTAATTTTGATTAATCCTTGAGGTTGCTTAATCTTAGGGATAGAGATTAGAGCCCATTAAGATGCTTAATTTTAATTGGGATGTTAAAGTTAGTCTTCGCTTGTTAGATTAACTTAATTCAAGGGGAAGAAAGGGGATTATTGAATCATTTGAAAGAATAATGATGGAACTCATTGCTTGACTAGGGATTACTCATTTTAATTGATTGAATTTCATTAAATTTACATTTTGTTCTTGATTAAAATCCAGAAATTGACAAACCTCCCCCCAATTTAGTTGCTTTAAAATACATGTTTACCCTTGTTCGATGTATGTTCCCAACCAAAAATTTCTTGGAGACGACCTAGGATAATACCCTAGTACTGCATTCATTTCTTTGCATATTTGATGAGGATTAACGACAATCTTTTGCATGACGAATAGCTAAAATTCGTTTCATCAGTGTGTTGATAACATTCGCAACAAGGAAAAAGAAATGAATTTTAAGTCATATTATGGTGATCTAGTGTTCATAAGTCATGCAGTTGTGATGGAAAAGTTTGCAAGAATGGTGGGTACTAGGAATGTTTTCAAATTATTTCGTGATATGTTAATGAAGTCATTGTATTTTAAAGTGGTGGATGTTATCGAATACCTTTCATTAAGGATTTATATTGTTGTAAAAAGTGATCATGGAAGAAAACAATTGAAAGTTTGTTTTCAATCATCAAAAAGGGACATACATTGTTGTTGTCTTGGGATGAAGCCATTTGGTTTACCATATGCTCATATTGTTGCAGTGTTGGTATCCCTGAATGTTGACCACCTACCAACATGTGTTGTCTTAAATAGATAGATTAAAATGACAAAGGTTGGTTATGAGGATGATAATAATAATATGACAAGAAATGATAATGAAGTCTCATTGAGGAGGAGTTGGTATGGCTTGTTGTGTGATAGTAGAAGGTTGATGTTTCAATTGGCTAGTCGAAGTTACAATGAAGTTTTTAACATTCGTGACATGTTGACAAAAGAGATACATCGACTACAACAAAAGTTTGGATATCACAATGTCATGGTTAGTGGCAATTTTAGCGATTGTGGTGGAATCGATGCTACTGACCACCAAATGGCAAACACGAATAGTACTGTGGGTATGTGTAGTGGTGTTGTTAGTAGCAAACACAAGCGTGTTAGATGGTGTGGTTGCTGTAAACGTGTTGGTCATACTCAACGTACTTGTCAACATGCCATTAACATAAGTCAATTACTAAGGATGACGCATTCTTGTGATTCTTCTTCAAGGAGCGTCTGTTTTGAAGAAAATGTTCTAGACTTAACCATGGTATAATTTTCTCTTCATAACAATTATTATATGTGTTTTGACGTTAATACAACATTCAAGATTCGTTATATGAAAATAAATGTCTTTTGTTATCACTA